ATTTGCCCCGACACCTAAACTACCGGCTGGACTGTAAGACCACTCCGACATCATCGGAGACCAGCGCTGACCTTGAATGTTGGTCCTATGATAAGGTCACGTGCCCAACTTATGAACTGTTCAGCCTGGCTTAGCAGCTTAGTACTTGATCGTCTAAAGTCTAGCTGAGACTCGGGCACATTGCTTTCATGCCGGACATTCCAGTCGGATCCCAGATTTTTGACCTTGCATTTCATCCCACGCACTCGACTGTATATACTGGCCTTCTTAACGGAAAGGTCAAGGCCTTTCGGTATGATGAACAAGGACAACATGAAGAAAGCTTCGTGTTAAGACCTTCCAAGCGTTCTTGCCGTTGCTTGGATACTAGCGAGGATGGGTCTCATCTTTGGGCAACTGGGAAGGCAAAAGCTATTTTGTATGTTGTATTTTGATATTTGGGCCATGGTTGTCCATAGTACTAAAGACATATAGCACAATTGATACAACCACTGGGACAGTCATTGAGACTCGCAAAAATGCCCATGAGTGAGTTAGTAATTCCTTGATGTGACTTCATGCTTCGTTGAGGCAGCTGATGGCAGTGCCAATTAAAGTTCCCCAGTGAATCGCATCAAACGCCTCATGCCCCATATGCTGGGCACTGGTGATGACGACGGAGTGATCAAGGTCAGCCGATTCCGTTTGACGTGTGTTACGATCAACTTCTTACGTATAAGCTGTGGATAGCTGTGGGACCCTCGAAAGTCTAATCCCATTCGAGGTTATACCCATCATTATGACTTCATCTCTGATTTCCTTTGGTTAGACGACAAGAAGCAACTTATCACAACCAGGTAAGCAAGCACCCATAACAATAGTATCCTCCGCATTCCAACAGTTATATATATTATTCTGTGCGACAATCAAGCGGCGATGGCACATTATCAGTGATTGATGTGCGTGGAAAGAAGCCAGAACCGGTGGCACAGTCCGAGGATCAGGAGGATGAGCTACTCTCTATTGTTGCTATTCGAAGGTACTTCCACCTACATATGTATTTAAACATGCTCATTGTGTGTATGCGAAATGCCGGGCTAATAGCGGATCCAAAGTAGTAGTCGGCACGCAGACGGGAATTTTATCCGTGTTCAATCGTAGTCGTGGATGGGGAGACTGTGTCGACAGAGTTCCTGGGTAAAGTTCTTCTGTTTCTGGATGCTTGCCTGAATACCCCTCATCGTCGCTACAGGCACCCCCAGTCGATTGATGCCCTTTGTACGCTGCCGTCGTCATACCCGTCTTCTGACTCCACTATCCTCACGGGATCGTCTGATGGTCTTCTGCGGGCCGTGCAGCTATTTCCCACCAAGCTCCTTGGGGTTGTTGCTGACCACGGGTCTTTTCCCATCGAAAGAATTGCAGTCGATCTCGGTGGGGAGGGAAGATGGGTCGGTAGTGCAGGTCACGATGACACGCTCAAGATGACAGATCTCAGGGTCATTTTTGAGGACGAAGAGGGTGAAGAGGCAGTTGACAAATCCGAAAATGTACAAGCCTCGGATATGGACCCGCAGGAACCCGACGGAACTGTTGTCGAAACCCAAGCACCTCCCGAGGGCACTGCAGTAGTAATCGAGGCGTCTGACAGTGACGAGGATGCACAAGACTCTCACTCCCCGAGGGAGAAGAAAAGAAAATCGAAAAGCAGCAAAAACGCATTGGCAGTGAGGAGCAAAAAGGCACGGAACCAGATTGATGCGGACCCTTCCTTCTTCCAGGGCCTATGATCTTGGCACTGATGTGAGGCATATTATACATACATTAACAGCATCGCTGCCCTCGACGCTAATCTAACCCCCATAGGTGTATCTCATCGCCTTGCCTCTTGATACGGGTAGTACTTACAGCCGTTCAGGGACCGGAGGTCCATTATAGTTAACCCGTCGGGAGGGTCCGAAAGGGATGCTGTGAGATCACTGCATCCACGATTATCCATCCCTGTCAGTGTTTTGGTTGCTACATATTGCATCATCTTAATGTGATCCGTGGGCTTTGGTTTTGGTCCGAGAACGGTTGTCCTTGGTCTATTAATGGACAGATAGATCTGCGAAGGTTCAGCGCTTAGATACTTGTTATGTGATATGTAATTATGCTATCTCATTCATGTTAGCTCACATTGCGTATCTCGTATGCACGTTTCAGCGCTCAAGCGCTCAACTTCAGCTCCTGCAGAGCGTCACGGGTGCTGGAACCTCACAGAACCACGTGATTCAGTGGTGTCGAAAATTTAGAAAATTTAGAAAATTTACAACTCGAACCAAACGTTCTCACCAACCAGAGTCGCAATCTGCTTTGACCGTAGCTTGCAGCATTCATACGCAACACTTTTACTTACATCTTCAGATTTAGCGGTATGATACTGTTGCGTCACCCAATCTGCGGTACTCTTCGTGGCGCACGGAGCTTGTCAACGCGCGCATCGGCTATTCTTTCGTCACTTGACATCCCTGTTGGTGCTGCGGAACTCCCAGGCGTTTATGATGGACAATGGTCTGGCTCTGGGGAGGTGCTGGAAAGCGTGTGTCCCGCCACGGGGGAGGTACTTGCGCGGGTCCGTTCGGTAAGTGCATAGTAGGCTTGCTGCGTACTTTGTCCGGCATGTAATATAAAATCTCACAGGCGACACCGGATGAGCTGCACGAAGCACTGGGAAAGTCTAAGGAAGCTTATCTTCATCTCAGGACGGTTCCTGCTCCCAAGCGAGGCGAGCTTTTACGACAGATCAGAGAAGCACTCTCCGCGAAGGTACAGAGTCCCTTTTTCCACCGAATTTGGCACCTCCAAAGGTAGTCTTATTGTTTTTTTTAGCGTGACGTTCTTGGGGCACTGGTCACCCTCGAAATGGGGAAAATCAAAACAGAAGGTATTGGGGAAGTTCAGGAATTCGTGGATATTGTGCGGATCCTTTTGCTTCTTCCGATGCTGATCTTGAAACCCTTGATCCCTTGAGTGCGATTATGCGGTGGGCTTATCTCGAATGATGAACGGCAGAGTTGTGGCATCTGAAAGGCCTGGTCACACTATCCTGGAAGGTAAACTGCGCAATTAATCCAACTTTTGACATGCTATGCTGATGCACCATTTTGTCAGTGCCCAACCCCATTGGTGTCGTTGGCGTGCTTACTGCTTTCAACTTTCCGGTTGCAGTATACGGGTGGTATGACTTGCTATGGCTGTAGGGAGACCTGACTAAGTAATTGAATATAGGAATTTTGCGCTTTCGGTCGCCGCCGGGAATGCGAACGTCTGGAAACCTTCGCCGAGCACCCCACTTTGTTCCATTGCCATAACAAAGATCATTGCGCGTGTGTTGGAGAAGAACGGCCTTCCTGGTGCCGTGTCTACCCTCATCACGGGCGGAAAGAATGTTGGAGAAGCTATCGTTGAAAGTCGCGATATACCCCTTGGTAAGGCTTTGTTTTCAAGTGGCGTAGGGCGTTTGTTGAATAAAAAATATTTTAGTTTCATTTACAGGTAGTGAGGCCGTAGGTAGGGTGGTTGGTAAGGCTGTTCAGTCTAGATTCGGCAAGAGCATATTGGAGTTGGGCGGGAACAACGGTACTTTTGTTACTCCGAAGAACCATGAGGATGGCCTCTAATAACCTCCCATCAGCGTCAATTATCATGCCAGACGCAGACATGCAGTTAGCTGTGCCAGCTGTCTTTTTTGGCGCTATTGGCACTGCTGGCCAACGGTGCACATCTACCAGGAGACTCTATCTCCACCGTGCAATTGCGCCGAAATTCCTGGATACACTTCAGAAATTATACGCTACCATAAATGTCGGAGACCCCCTAGTGGATGGCACTTTGCTCGGACCGTTGCATACACGTGCAGCTGTTGGAATTTACAGTGATGCTGTGCAACGGCTCCGCCAATCCGGCGCTGAAATTCTTACTGGTGGAAAGACATATGACCATGCGGCATTGAGCCAGGGTAATTTTGTCCAACCCACGATCTCAGTTCCAAAGACCGCGGACCCTGCTGATAAGATATGGAGTACTGAAACTTTCGCACCTATCCTGAACGTCGGCTTGTTCGATGAGTTGGAGCAGGCCATTGAATGGAACAATGCTGTTCCCCAAGGACTTTCCAGCAGCCTCTGGACCAGAGACATTCGGAACCTTGGCAAGTGGATTGGCCCCGAAGGTTCAGACGCCGGCATCGTGAATGTATGTGCATTTGGCCTTGAGACATACAGACTTGATGCTAATGAAACACTTGAGGTCAACGTTGGGACTAGCGGCGCCGAAATAGGTGCCGCATTTGGAGGCAATAAGGTCTGTCACAGCTTCTGTTCTGAATGATCGACCTTCCCAGCCTAATTGCGCGCTTTCTCACCTATAGAGCACCGGATGGTCAGAATATCTCCAGCCGGATCTGCTTCTCTTCTGACTTCTTTATTTCAGGGGCCGCGAATCCGGTGGAGACGCCTGGAAGCAGTACGTTCGCTGGAGTGCATGTACGGTGAACTTTTCCGATGCTGCACCTCTGGCGCAAGGAGTGGACTTCTCCACATGATCGGGATTGTAATTTGAAAGTCAATCAAGACCTCAATACTCGATTGGACGATGAGTTATCTCGCGGCTGTCGTGGCACCGCCAAGTGGGATTTAGGGTGATTGCAGGGGTCAGCCAAGTATGGGTTATGGTACCCAATGACACTCTTTCTGTCGTCGCCTTCATCGTTATTCTTGTAATCATAGCTGCCGTTTCTTCTCTCATCACAACCATACCTATATCAGGTCACCGGCCAGCGTCGCGATGATATATAAACGTGAGAGCAGTCCGAATATCCGTCAGCGAGGTGACCTGGCTTGAACGTTTGAACTTAAATCTACTTAGATGTGCCAGATGTCACCCCTGCTGACATGAGTATGTTGACATGTCACCCAGCAAATACTGATTGGAATAACCGAGGCAGTGCGTATGGTGAAAGCCGCATCGCTACGTTGCATAGAAAGGACACCTGCAATTATAAGGCTGCCGCATGATTATCTTGGACGAGTTTTTATCTCCACTCTTGCAACACCCCTCAACTTCGCCACTCCGTTGACGGAGTATCAATCGTTTAGTGAACATGCAATCCGACGACCTACCATGGCCAGAACTTGGCAACGTCTCCCGTGGCGCCACTAGAGGCAATCAAGGTCAAAAAGGTGCCTTGGGCCCTCCTGATGCCGACGGTCGCTGTGTGCTCCAGCTACGAGTTCAACCCGGCGTGCTGGCTGTGAAACTAAACCGACGTTCAAGCGATTGGTATCGGACTCTCGACAATGAAGTCAACCGCGCCCTGAAATTGACAAAAACCTACTGGAGAAAAGCAAGAAGACGTCAAGACTAGTTTGTCGATGATTATTTACAGACATGCTTTATTGTTGACATAGCACTCTTGACGGCAGTGACGCTCGCGCAGATCAAGATCACATGGAGTTGCATGAGTGGTTGCAACAACTCAAGGATAAGACAATGTCACATTTAGAGGTCCTTATGCAGAAAGGCGACATTCAGGGCCCTCCATACGTGATGCCCGATGATATTGAGCTCGCCTTTCTAAGGAAATTTATTGAGCGACACAACGCCGGCATCCCCCACAATCCCCGCTTGCGACATCTTGGCCCCAATGCTCCCCAGCTTCCGCCCATCGACGACTCCATGGAGGTCTCAACACCTGAATTATCTGAAGGGAGTTATCCGCCCTCCAGTTTAGTGGATCATATCGCTCGATTGCAGCCAGGTCAGCCGTCATGTTCGCTCTCAAGTACTTTCACGCAGTCATATTGACTCCCCACATACAGAAAGTAGTTCAAATGTTTCAAGTCCAAATTATGTGCACTCACCAGGCACATCTCGCGCACATGTCATTCGAACATCCTCCTCGCCTTCAACAGCAACATACGAGCAACTCTTACAAGACGCGCAGTCATCTGGTTTGTCTGATTATTCAGCTCTCCTCATGTTTCCGGGTTGAATTTCATCATAAGGCCAATATCTTCAAGAAGCACGGGCAACGCTCGCACGTGCGCAGTCGCAAACACAAGATGCGTTTCAACGATATACTGTTTGTCTGGATGCGGAAGCTCGTGCTAGGCGGGATGTCAGCGCCGCCGAACAGCATCGTGACGAACTCAGTGGGTGTTTTGTGCTGCGCTAGCATCACGGTCCCACCTAACGAAGCTTTTGCTAGTGACAGCTCTTCTCTCTAGAACTCAGAGCTCAACAGGTAAGAGCTTATTTGGAGCAATTATTTTGCGTACTGCAATCTTACTTCCTCTTCAAGATTACTCGCGGCAATCATCGCTACCTCATGACGATACTTCTAGTCAACAAGACGTGCGTTTGGAACCCACATTTCCCGAGACACACCGCTCATTCCCTTGCAGCACCCATATTCATCTCACCATCTTGTCGACCGGAGACCCTCAGCTGACATGGTACCATCACAAAATAGTCCCAGAGTTGACTGGCGTCAGCCAGATATGACAGGGTCATTCACTGGAGCACTCGAAGCAATCCCACAATCAGAGGTAAGAATGTTTTCCAGGAACTTCCTTTCCACACTGAGTTTACCGGGCAGATGCGATCATCAAGAGATCCATCCTACAGGCCAGAGCGCAAGCACTCGCGGAGTTGGGAGGAGGGTGGTCAAGTTGACGTACATAGTATGTGGCGAAGACCTTTTGGTTAGGAACCTGGTCCTGAGAAGACGACAGACTTTCAGGATTCAAACGTGCCGCCACGCAAGCGTTTGCATCACATAGTAAATTCATCTGGTCACAGCGCACCTTTGATATCTCAGGCCATAGCATTGCCCCTACGACTCTGAGATGGCAGGTCGCTTATCGGCGTTTAAAGAATCGCCGACAGTGCGACTTTGCATTTTTCAGCAACTTTTGCCCATCCTGATTTCGTGCATATTATAACCATCCCTTCCTAGTTGGGAGGGTGGTCAGCATATTCTTCTTCTCTCGGACATTCTATACCATCTCATTTTCACATCACTTTCTGGCCAACTGTGTCGCTAATTGTATTTTGAGCTCTGTATTACACCGCTATACTTATTATTGATTCGTCGTTCTAGATCACTACAAGATCTCGATTGTTCTATTCGTCTGCGCAATTGCACACGCCAGAAATGTTCTGACATAATGACTTGTCCATGTGATTTGGCCGACGGGAGGCCAGATCACACCAGAAAAACTGAGGTGAGTCACAGGAGGAGCATATTAAAGAATCCATATGCATTCGTATACCCTGATCTGATCACGATTACTGTCGGAAAAACACTGCATGCCGTGATGATACGTGGCGAGACTTCTTGTTTTGTCAGTACCTAATGCATGCTGTTATGTTTGAAACGACTTGAAGATAAGTGCGCGGCTCTTCCATTGGCATGATGGCGTTGCGACGCTATCCGATAACTCAAATGCCGGTTTTGAGTCGCCCAGCCTAAGTGTACTTATGATTTGATTAACTAGCATCGCCCAATGAAATGCACGAATATTGAAAGGACACCGAATCACATTTTTCCACCTGGTTCACTTAGTACTTTGTGGGCTTGTTGTGGGCTCAGTGCCAAGTGAGTACCTCATCACGTACAAATGAACTTCTGGCCAACTCCAAGTCTCCTTTTGGTCAACGTTAGCATCACCTCCGAGGCTTCAAGCTTCAAGCTTCCAGCTTCAGGAATTAGCTGTGACCGTTGGGACACCACCACTGGAATAAGCGGGTAAATATTTGTACCGTATTTTTATCATGGCCCACGTGGACATGTCAAAGGTGCTAATTTTACGGTCACCTGGTACTACTGGATCGCTTTAACGCTCATTGGTCAAGCAGCAACCGTTACAACGCCACAGGCCTACGAACATAGGCTGGTGTTCCATTAGCGACGCTTACAACCTGTATATCCTTTCTGTCCGACTAAGGGGGAGGTTCTGATTTTGACCCTTTCGCAGTATTCATGATGCAGCACTGCCATCCCCGTGGAGTTTTGACCAGATATGAAACGAGCGGGATGTATCTCCCTGGATCTGACGCTTATGCCAAGGACCAATGACACCCGACACAGGCACGTTATTTGGCATAGTACGGTCAAGGGATGGACCCTAGGTGTCAGCTTTTACGCCCCGAAAATGTTTCACCATGTCCGTGTTCAACGCTCGTTCTACATTTCTGTTAACCCCAAGCGTCTTCGAATGTTAGTTTCACGCATGTTACGCCTTGCTGAATTATGCTGATGGTACTTGTTGCGCATTTTGACATCGCGTTCCTATTATTGTCTCCGTGCTAGTACTTGCGCCCTTGCCCTTGCTGCTCCCTTCGGTAGATGTTAGGGTACCAGCCATCCCAAATTTTAGGCCCCCGGTGTCTAGTGAAGCAACCGCTTCGCCATGTGGTCCAGACGAGATCAGTGGAACAACCTATTTCACGCCGCAAGTTCCAGTCGTACCATCGCCCACGAGTCCACTGATGTCCTGCGATCACGCCACAATCGCACACTGCATTGCGATCCTACTATCTACGCCGCAGCTATCCTGATGAGACGCTCGAGGCTTCTATCCTTGTATAGGATCAAGGAACATATCCCGATAGAGACTAGGAAATCTACAATGCATCTGATCCTCAGTTCGTGGAGATCAACAAGCCAGGAAAGCATTTGTCAGTTCCTGTACAGGACGGCATCTCACCTGTAACTCGTGATCCCGACTCTGTCGCGGATAGATTTACATTGACCCAGACAAACGAGTTTCCGTATCGGCCTCCTGAAAATCAGTGAGTAGATCATGCCAAGTGTATCAGTGATCATATGCAGAAGGTTGAAGCCTACTGCGGTTTGACGATGATCTAGCTCGATTTACGACCACGGTTGATTATCTTGCATACCATTAGTCACGGACATGAGCCCGCATCTCACTTGACTACTCGGGACGTCATCAGTCGCAGACTGAATTTAAATTTATCCTTGTCTTCTCTAAGATTTGTTGTATCAAACAATGACTAGACCCTACCTGTATGAAGTCACCCACCCTTGGGCCTTCTCCCAGATATGCATCGAAAAATAGCAGCATCTTCTGAGCGTTACGTACTCATATGACTGATAGTGTGGCCGCCTGTAGGTCTTGTACAGTCATAGATTCTTAGTAAAGAGTAGACCGCCGAAACATAGTACAGCTACCCACTAAGCCAATTTCCAAACCACAGCTTCGATGTGTGTCCCCTGCGCTTGAGCTGTCAGTGCCAAGTCAGTAGGAGTGCTGGCACTTTGTCGTTCCTGGCGATCATTTCGATTCACACGTGAATAAAAGGGTTGGGATACGATTGGATATTGTTCTTGATTTCGAGTTTGAACCTTGGGTACCAGTACAGTCACGGTTACCATAGTGGCTCCACGGTGGCATTGCGAAGTTCAGAAGCTAGTCGGTGTCACGGTCGCGTGGTTGGCCTGGCCTTGGTCGTAAGGATTCGGTATCCATCGCGGTCCATAATTTGCACTTCTTCGAGTTGTTCCAGGTCTCCGAAGTTCATATCCAGCGCACCGCGTCGCGTCGCGTCGTTCGATGGCAGGACCCCGGACAATTGGAATATTATGTAGATCGGAATCAAATTACATAATTGCTAGCTTCCACGACATCCGGACGTCTTGATATGAAATCGGTACAGAATCTGCAGATCGATGCTCCGGGTAGATCAACTTATCATGATAACTGATACTTAGTACTACCACGAACTTAACTTGCAATTGGATTCTGGAGTCTGGAGAGGCCATGAGCCACGTACGCGTTTGGTCCGGCTCTCGCAGTGACCTAGCAAGTCTTAGGGTGGTCCTGAAGTTCTTAACCATGGTGAGGGTACCGTACCGCCAGCCAAACAGTCGGCACATACCGTTACCAGTCCAGCCTGAACGAAAGTTCACAGCTGTCTTCCTTCAAGGCTTCTATTAGGGTCAGATACCAAGATAACCACGTCACGGTACCCACTGCAGCCAGAGAGAACAGGTTTGACCTAGTCATATCCAACTTGTTCGTGGTATTAGTTTAAGCCAGCCAGCGTTGCCGATACGTTTACCAAATATACTGTACATAATACACTAGAGGTATAGCTAAATACAAGAGAACTAACAAGCTCAAATTACAATGCAGGATGCTCAAAACATATATAAAATGCGTGATGAATAAATAGATTCGATGTCGGGTACTGGTATCACCATGGGCCTGGTTATCACCAGATATGGTTGAGTCAGGATGAGGTGAAAGATGAAAATGAATAGAAAGGAATCCAATGCCCTATGTCACGCAAAGATTTCAGAGCCTTCGATGCCGTCTGTGAAATCCAAAACAACAATCTTCTGGTCATGCGAAGTGCTGTAGGAAAGCGCCGTCAGCAGGTCTCATCAATCAGAGTCGAAACGGGAACAAAGGAAACACCGAGGACATCAACGATCAAAAGTCCAGCCAACTGTCAAAGCCCGACCCAATACCCCAAAAATACCGAAAAAAACACTCACCTAACGATCCTCCCCACATCAAACTTAACATCAAAAATATGACTCGCATGCAAATCCCTAAACTCTCTCACCAACTTCCCAACACCCCTCTTCTCGCTCATACCCGAATTTCTATACCCGACGACGCCATCCGCGACGCCTACTACGCTTGCTCCGTCTGTGTCGGATGCGTAGATCGAGGTTCTGGTGTGTGTTGAGTTGCTGGTATGTGTTGAAGTACTGGTGTGTGTCGAGTGGAATGACGACGAGGAAGAGTTTGACGAGGAAGAAGAGTGCGAAATGAAAGAATCAACATCCACAGCAGGTTCCCTCCACTCCCAAACCCTAACGCTTCCTATCATAACTCGCACTAACCACATACCCAGTCTTCGGATCAAAACACAATGCGCGAACCAACAACGTATGACCAGCAAAAGTGTGCAGACACTCTCCTGTAGATGCGCGCCAGAGCTTGATAGTGCAGTCGTTTGAACCGCTTAGGATTAGGTCGTCCTAGTCGAGTTGTATCAGTAAAAGGTATGAATTGATTGATTGATTGCCAACGACCGATGACCGATGACCGACGATGACTACACTTCGGGGACGCGGGAAAGAAAAATAGAAGAAACACACCTTAAACTCAATACAAGCCAACCCCCTCTCATGCCCCTCAAACACCCGTTCACATCTCCCACTAGCAGCATCCCACAACATCATTCGACCATCCCCACTGGCACTCACTACTCTCCCGCCTTCGAGTCCGATGGCGTTCACGGGTCCTTCATGGCCTCGTAGGACGGCGTGTAAAGTGAGCGTAGATCGGGAGTAGACGTTGATCAATGCGTCTTTGGAGCTAAGTAGGGAAGACGTTAGTGTCGGTTCGGACGACGACGTGTAATATCGGGAGGATCGGATATGGTTAGAAGAGAGAACTTACCAGCTAACAATCCAATTCTCATCCATCCTCAAATCCAACACGCCCCCAGAATGGCCACGCAGAATCGCACGTACATCAGCCCGTACTCCCGAACCACGATGTTTTGCGTATAGGTCCCAGACGCGTACTGTGCAATCAGAAGAACCGGATACCATCATTCCATGCGATTCCTCCTCTTCCCCCTCATTCGCATCCTCGTTGGCACCACCCTCCTCTTCTTCACTATTGATAGGCCCGCGAGAAAAAGACCGGCGCGAGCAAGATCGCTTCGCATCAAAGTCCTTTTCAAACTTTAAACAAAGCACACTCCCCAAATGAGCCTCAAATGTCGCAAGACACTCGCCAGTGCGGATACACCACACTTTGATGGTCCTGTCCCTAGATCCTGTAATGATCCGTCGCGAGTCAAAGTCGAGGCAGTAGACGCTATGGGGGCCGATCAGTCATTAAATTTCAAACTCGAACTCAAACGCAGAGGAGAGGGGATATAATTCACCTGTCTCCGTGCCCCTCAATCCGCATCACCCGTGGCTCACCGCGCGGATCTCGCCATCGCCTTTCGAGTGTGGCGCGAGAGCGGTAGAGGGTGTGCCAGTTAAGCCGGAGAGGTCCTAAATTCGTGCCTCTTCTTAAGATCGGATCCGCATAAGGGATGTAAATCGATGGTCGGTTAGCATTAATTTCTTCATCTATAAAAATGCCCCTGGAGCGTCCGCTGTGCCGCAATGCCTTGACTCGATCCCAATCTACAGCCCAGCCACTAGGCCCATCTCCCTCCACATCTTCGGAGTCCTCCAGAAGCGAGAATCCATATACACCTTCATCTGCGTGGGCATAACGCAGCGACAAGATATCCGAATCCGAATCGTCTTGAGAAGAAGAGGAGGACGAGCTGGCTAAGGAATTTTGTGGGAATGAATAAGAAGACATGTAATTCACTGAAGACCCGAGCCCGTACGCAAAGTTGTGTGTATAGGAATGGTTGTATGGGCTTTGATAAGGTGAGCGGGGTCGGACTCTTGGACGGCCTTCTCTTCCTCTCCACACACCGAGCCAGACGCTTGTGTCTTTGGCTAGGGTGTAGAAAGAGTGAGATACGAGCATACAGGCTAAAACTGAACGCATCGGGAGGAGGGAGAAAATGTATAGAATGAGTTCTGGGGGAAGCGGGAGGGATGATTTAGCGGGGGGTAGGTATTGCGCGGAAGTGAACGTGGAGGTGGAGGCTGAGGCGTATGATGTTGGGCAGAGGGTGTAGGCTTGGGAGGGAGTTTGAGGTCGAAAGAGACACAGGTGAGATAAGGTTGGGGTGGTGGTGGTGGTGGGAGAGGGTGATGCGGACCGTGTATATGACGATGGGGACGCTAAATGTTAAATGTTAATTCTGTATTAAAAAAATTTGAAGAATCCGTACCTGTGAGATCGCATTGAATTGCATCAAAATAACCTTCGTGATCTACGAGTTCACCTTCTTCACCGTCAAGTGGGTCTAATGCACCGTAGTCTACGTGGACATCTCCATTGGTATTACCCTGAACCCTGGATCCACAATAGAAGACGCCTGATACTGAAGGACGTTTGGTCTTGCGCTTTGCGCGCAAGATATTAGGGGATGACCTAGGAAAGTGCCTATGGGTTGGCGATGGATGTTTGAGTATAGGCGAGGACTTGCTGCCTCGAGGAGATGGAGAAGAGATGCTTTCCCAAAGCTTTGTGATATTAGGACGTACGCGGCGTTTTGTACTGCCTCCCGAGGCTATGCTGTGACTTCGTAAATGGGTAGAAGTGCGGGTTGGAGATGTCCGGAAGAAAGGAAGGGTGTTTCGCCCTTGCTGTGCTGAAAGGAATTGAGAATGATATTGAATATAGGAAGGACTGCTTGGAGGTGAGATCATGCTAAAGTCTGCGGTTGGTGCTGGTGAAGGCGGACGAGAGTGTCCTAGCGTAGCTTGACTGAAATCTAATGAGAGATTAAAATTAATGTTTAAGCGCAAATTTGAGTGCTCTTCTTCTTCTTCCTCATCGGAGAGCTGGAGAGCATTATTCGAGTTCAGAGAGAAGACCGGCAAGTCTAGCGTGAGCTTGGATGGACCTGCTATTGGCTGCTGCTCATCGTCAGAGTGAGACTCCGGAGTGGCCGTTGGAGATGGATGAGCTGTATAGTAAGGTGTCGAAGGCGAGCCTCCACGATAAAAATCGGGGACTGTCCTCCTAGACTCCATTGTCAGTAAAACCAAGGTTGCGTGTCGCCAGCCTTATTTGTAGTCCCTGTTAGGTAGACTGCACGCTACTGCGGGCATGCGTCTGCAGGCGTCTGCCCTTCCGATTGCCTGAGTCTCGCGTGTTCAACCACCCCCACGTGACTTAGACGCCATTCAGGGGCCCACGAAACTTCAAGACTCCAATCCGACTTGACTTATTTTTATTAGGTTGATCGCCCGTGCGTGACGCTCCACTTCGGTGGTGTCAAATGATGGGCTACTTTTTGAGTGTATGACACCTGCAGAGTAAGAGATCAGCTGAAGACCCAAAGGCTAAAGCACGGCTGACCCCAAGAGCAAACTCGAGGCAGACGCTCCGAGTCCTACCGGTTCAGGATTCCCAGCGATGAGAAATTAAGCACAGTAGCAGCCGTGAGTGGCAGCCATTGCGTGAGGGCCCTGGTAGGGGCACAGCTGCAGGACACATTCGACTGTGATCTGAATCAAGTATCATTCTTTGGAATATATGACATTGGGCTACTATCATTTCATCGTTCCTCGAGTACTCAACTACCGCGCTGACTCTCATGTATCGTATATAAGTTAAATATAAAAAGCGTTCAACTGCATCCTGCGAAAGGTATGCGAGTCAATGGAGTGAGGGACTTGGTGTTACCCATGTTTTAACAGGACCTTTAAAGCTATGCTTTCCCCACCAAAACCAGTTGATCGTGATTATGACCAAAAGACCGCCCACAGCAACAATTGAGTAGTTCATGTTGAGGACGTTCACTGGGTATGCCGTAGGTAGGATGAATAAAACGCAGATGAAAATGCAGAACTACACAGATAATCAATGGCTATTTGTAAAAATGAAGAATGCACGCACCAGAAAACCTGCAAAGTTCACTGGCCATGACCATTTTCCAAGGCGAAAGGGTCCAAAATCGTCAATGCTAAATTTAACACATGAGTTAATCGAGGCTTGGATACATGATTTTCAATAACGAACGAGTCAGGCCAGAACACACGAATAAGGATGGGTTGCATGTAGCTCAGCATCACCGATATGGCTGCTGAAGATAAGATGGCGTTGAACTGTGAATGCGGAAATTTTATCAGAACAAAGGCATCAGAAGAAACAGGCCGACTGACTGCAACCGCAGACCCGATGTAAGCACACGATATAAGGCATCCTATCAAGACGCTGACCCATACACCCCAGTATGGCGCTTGGAATCGGTTCAAGGCCGTAAATTGCTTTTTCATCGGGAACGCATTATCTCTTGCGAGGGCATAGAACAGCCTCGAGCTCGCAGTAAAATTTGTAATCGCAGCCATCACTTGGGCAAGCAGCACCACAACCAGACACACTTGCGCCAACTGGGGCCCGACAGCATCATAGAAGAGTTGAGAAATTGGGATGGCATATGTGGTGGCCTTAACGGACGCGATGTTCTGGACTGCGAAAAGAAGTGAAAGCATGTACGCGAGACCGATTAACCAAGAGCCTGCAATGCTGCCTACCACAGCGAGTGGGGCCAGGATTTCTGCGCGTACAGCCTCTTCTGCTACTTGAGCTGCTGTTTCACATCCCTCGAGCGTGTATACAGCCTGTAGCACGACAGCGATGTGAGTCACATTGCACATCATACGTACATAATCAAACCTGACCTGAAGAAACCCAAGAAGCACGACGAAGCCTTTCGATTCCCAGCCTGTGAAGATAATCTGCCAGTCACTAACTTCGTCCTTTTGCAAAGTAAGCTTTTGCTTACTTTTGAAAATTCGTGAACACAAATTCAGGAGAATTCTATCATACATAATCAAGTTTCGCGTGAAGAAAGTTCGCCAGGCAGATTGTGAAAACTTTACCTTCACAGGTGCTTTCACAAGTAGGGTGATGACCAGGACAAACGTCCCACCCAGCGTCCACCAGACGTTAAACGCGCTCATTCGCCCTATAGCCTTCGTTCCGATGGTATTGATAATGCCAGAGAATATGTTCATGGCCCATGCGATCGCAGTGATTTCTATTCGCGTCAAAATCCTTCCTTGTCCAACCTCCGCCATCGATGCAAGGTATAGAGCAATACTAGATGACAATTCGCAGGCTGTGAATCGTATGATGCTAACGAACCTTACCTCAGATTTCCGGAAGCGCCGGTAAACACCATAGCCATGGAATAAAGCCAGCCAGTGAAGACTGATTCATGAGCCACCGCGTGAAAGGTGGATGTTGAAACTTACAGCCAAGGATAGGCATGTCTGGTTTCATCTTGCAAACCCAAAAGTAGAGTCCTCCCATTGTTGGGCTATACGACAACGTAAGTCATGGCTCTTGGTAGGGTATAACGACTTACTCACTATGTACTGCAAATCTCTGCGAGACTTAAAGCGATCAGAAACATAAAGAGACTGCATATCTATACAGAACAGCAGCTTGTATCGTTTTCAGGCAGACCGAAGCGCAAAACTCACATTCCATCCCCAGAACAGGCCAAGCGGACCTCCAGAGAACAAGCCTGTCTGAAACGCGCTACTCATTCCAGTCAGAATGCCTATGGCACAGAACGACATCCCAAGCACTCCAAAGAGGGACATCTCGCGGCGGAATTCGACCGCGTACCCCAGCTCCTGAAGGCGTTGAGCAGACACAGAAACATCGCGTGCCTCTTCCTTGTCATCTCCTACACTGAAGTCTCCATGTTCTAACTTGACCATAGTGGACGTGGCACAACCTGATTGTGGTGAGTAGATAAGAGGACCAGCGTTATATGGTGACTAGTAGAAAAACGAGAGCAAGGAGAGATAAGGTATAACAAACCACTCTCTCGCCTCCAGATAAGCAATGTTTGCTTAAGTACCGACCAGGACACTCTGTCAAGTGCATGATTGGTGTGAATGAGGGGTATCTTCGGAAGCAGAGACCATGAGCTTGTAGAGCTTCAGACGCGCCACCTGACTCCTTATCGTAAATGGTTAGAATAATTCAAATCATGTTTAGTAAGGATTTCGCTGACCTTGAGAGAATTGAAGGCGCTGCCAGGCCCACATGTGCCAATCAGTGTGAAGTCGCGTGTACATCACCGCATAAGTGTTTATCTGGCTGCTCAGAGGCTTCGTCGTGAACTTATCCAACAAGATGGGCGCTCTAGGGAGATAATGCGACGAACCTCTAAGTATGTGTTTTGATTCCCTGATGAAGCAAGTATGCAAGACATCACCAATAAACTCCAGCCTCGCAGACGTTACGATAGGCTAAGTTAGCCAATCGTCATGATGTGGACGACACTGGGCGCAAGAGTTCCTTCGAACGCCCAATATGATTACGATGTGCAAGACCATCATGATCATGATGGGCGTTCCGGAACATTCAAGACACGCCGGCCGGCCGCTGGCCCGGGTGCCAAGTACTCTTGATACATTTGTAGGTGCAAGTACTAGTGATGGTGTGATAGTTTATGTTGTTTTGTAGTTTTCCCTAGCCAGGTCAATTCAGTCAAACAGCAATAGTGGGTTTTGTCACTTTTGTGGTGCCATGGTCGTTTAAACCTCACTTTTTTCAGAGAATTTAAATTCGTGTGTTTCTAGTTGTTCGCACGGTCCTTTGCCTTAGCTATTGATCATGACCATGTCTTCCACTTGCTGCGAAATCCTTGACTTTTTTGCTGATAGTCCTCGTTGTTATCCGTGTCGACGATTCGAGTCTTGAATCGACCGTATCGTTGTCAAGATCAATGCTGTTACCCATCACATGCATCATATCAGGGTGGCTGTGGAGTGACTGGGCTCTGGAGTCTGGAGTCCACTTCTGGCCCGGTGCGCGTGCCGACCGTATCATTCCCGATAGACGTTTCATCCTGCCTGTCTGATGAAGTGGGTGCGATATCGAGCTTGCCTGCGATTGCACGTTGACGTTGAACGTTTGAACTCCCACTTTTTCGAAACGAAGCGAAGTTACCTTGAAATCGCTTCACTTGCAACAGTAATAGTACTACCTCCCGTTTTGCTCTCGTTCCATGGTAACACCCCACAACGCCCGTGACATGATGAATGCGTTATTTATAACAAATCTCAAACAACACAACCTTCCTTTACATAAATCTCACCTTCTCTCCTGTCCTATTAGCACTGTACGGTGGAAACCGTTCGAGATTCACAGAATAAATTCACATTGACTGTACCCAACTTGGAAGCCACTCAGCCAGGTTCAATTCGTGTATACTAAAGCTTCAAGCAGCATTTATGGCCTCATCATTCCCTTACACTCCTACGACGCTCCGGACGTCCGTGAAACCGCGCCCATGGGTGCCATTGAAGCACCATGAAGGGCGCGTCGAGATCCCATCCCTGCCCTCCAAGCCCCGGACCGATACCTTACTTGGCATGTACAAAATCAGCACCCATATCATACCTGCCGCCAATCCCAGAGTCAGTCCAAATACTCCAGTTCCTGAGCCACCCCCTCGTTCTTCGAAAAGAACCGGGAGGGATATCAAGAAACTGGGACTTGAACTCATGGAACAACAGGCCCGGCAAGGAGAGGACGGCTATTCCGGAGTCGTGGACGAAAGGCTACTGTGGAATTGTGTCAATCGATATGTGAAAAAGGACTGGAACGCCAAAGTCAGGACGAAGGGGGTAACCTTATTCCTTGTGCACGCAGCAGGCTTTCCGAAGGAAGTGAGCCCGCCACGCCTGTTCATGGTCTGCATGCTAGGAATCTGACTTTATATTATGCATATTTAGACTTGGGAGACCACCCTATGCTATCTACTAGCTGCCTGTGGTGTTATAGACGAGATATGGTCATGGGAGTCTGTGCAGCATGGGGACTCTGCTCTGCTAAACAGACAGAATCTCAGTGGTAGCCGTAAGAGAACATCTCTTAAATTTCCTCCCTTGAAATTAATCGACAGCAGTTGATTGGACTGACAATGCAAGAGACACTGCAAACTTTCTTATCAACCACATGCCAGAAGAAGTAGAAACATCTGCACTTCCCGTCCAACTTCGTCGACTTCCCGCATCCATTAGTGAGGCACGTCAAAAGAGTGGCTTCTCTTCTCGGACCCTGGTCGTAGCCGGGCACTCAGTCGGAGGTTGCGTGGCGTATGTTATTGCGTTTCAAAAGCCTTGCTGAACCTCATGATATTACGCAGTGCTTTAGTCGCGTTAAATTTTCCAGCCTTATTTTCCTCGCTCATCCTTGTCGACCCGATGATCGATACATTCACAGGATTTCCATGGGAGCACGCACAGAGCCTTGTTGGCCGCATCTTGCTCAGGCGCCAACACTGGCCATCACGGTACTTATATGTCAATCACTTAGCCTCGCATCTACTGACTATGATTGTAGGGAGGATGCTTTGCGTTCCTTCAAATCTTCACCTTTGTTCTCCTCTTGGCATCCTGATGTACTTCGGCTCTATGTTGATTATGGACTGTACGAGGACGGAAGCGGAAAAGTCGCATTAAAAACACCTCCCATTCATGAGGCTATCGTCTCTGCCAACGTACGAGCTGGTCGCGAAACTTGGGAGTTGATGGAAACGCTCGACGAAAACATCGAGCTGTTATGGATCCTCCCCGGAAAGCAAAACCGAGAAGTGTGAGTCAGAGAGACAGGAAAAAATCCAGTAACTAATAGGCGCTGTCACAGGTCGATGATGGAGCAAGTCTTCAAGGAACGCGTTTGGCGCAGACCAGCAAATTCATCCAATATTATCATCAAGTCATCTGATCATCTCGTTTGTGTCTCAGTATTTCATCATGTTTATAACTGACATAATTGTGTTATAGATTCCTCACGAGTCTCCGGAAGCACTTGGTACGTTGCGTTCAAAGGAATCGAATGTTTGATAGCTAACTTCCATGCAGCACAAATTGTAGCTGACTTTATTCATAGGAAATATGGTGTTTGCTCAACGCAGTCGAAGCTCTGAAATTGATTGTGGATGGCACAAGTTGTTTGAGGCTCGCCCGAATGATTTCTCAATTTTAGGCACTACCTGTAGACTGGCCAGCATTCATTCTGTTGTACTTACCGCTTTGATCAATCGTCGGACATGTGCATGAATTCCTGGAAGCCGAGTTCACATTAGTTTGGAGTGCAAAACACTATGCATCGATTCTCACGGTTAATTACACTTCCGACGGACATCACTTCTTCATGTTCACGGTGGTATACTCTATATATGTACAACATATACTACCGCACTCTATGTATTTCCCAAATCCCTAGCAAACCAAAGCAAAGTAACCCTACACGTTAATGTAAATACAAGGAAGATAACTCAAAAGTGAACATCTAAACGACAAACTGTCTAATCGCAGCAAATTAATAACCATGAGTCGTATCGTAATGATGAAGGTCCGTATCCCCTCGCACAACAAGATAAAATCGTGAAGAAAAACGATAGCAGCAGTTCCAAGAAGATCAATGAAAACTCAAAGAAAGTAATGTTAAAGATACGTAACCACCTTACACTCGCACCTCAGGCGCAGAGGGTAAAGGGACCGTATCTCTGAACGGCCACCAATCCTGAGGAAGAATCTCCTCCAGCTGACTGGTGAGCGCGACGGGAAGACGACTGCGTGTGCCTTCAAGCAACGCACGTTTCGATGGATAATCATGCGGGGACACCCATCCGTACAACCGCATGCCAAATGTCGTACGCACGTCGTCCAGGAAGTCATGCCAATCTACATACCGGTCTCGTTGACGCTTCAGCTCTTGCACTTCCTCCCGCGTAAAGCGCAGCGGGCAGGGCTCATCACTACGAGAGAGTTCTGCCCACCGGCTGAAGACGTCAAGCAACGCGAGGCGCAGCGGAAGAATGCCGTCTTTCCATGTCCGGCCTGCTGCGCGGACAGGCATTACTCGCGCCTCGCGATCGCTAATACGATAAGGGTACAGCTGTTTGATTTCATAGAGTTTATGAAGTATCTGCGCCTTGTGATCCTCGTGCATTATAGCCTTGGTGTCTTGGCTCATGATGTCGTACTCAGGAGGAAGTTTAGGGAAATCGAGGCCTGAAGTAAGTCCGGCAACATCGCAAGCCAGGAAGGATGGACTGGTCATTTGAAGATACGCAGGACCAGCCCAACAGCCTTGCCAGTCAATGATGCTAACCACACGTCGCTCCTCGTCGTCGGATACGAAGATATTGCCAGGGTTAAGGTCAGAATGCCACAAATTAGATGCAAGGACCTTTCGCGAGGTCGGCACGAGAGCGGGGATGATTGAACGATACTGTTCTAAGCACTGAAGATGCTCTTCCTTGAACTGAGGGCCAGAGACATTGCGGAAAGGATCATCATGGATATTAGGCTTGGCAAAACGTGAGATCCATGCCTCCTCGCGCAATGCGAGGGAGCGAAGGTAATCCTCCGGGGATGACCCTTGACAAGCATTAGCAACATGCCATAATTAAGCGGTGTCAGATATACGCACACGGTCCTCTGTCAAGGTCCATAGCCGCACGTTCATCTTCATAGAAATTGCGATGGGCTATGGGACCTATGCAAAACTTTTCCTCGGAACCGAACCTACGTGATCCGTGGGCATACAAGCGCGGGGCCCGTTTCGACTCGGGAATATCATCCCTGTAGTATAGGCTACCATACTGCGCAAACTTTGCGTTCAGCATGTTCTGCTCGAGTGCTACAAGCGAATTGACGACGTTCTTCTTCTGACGTGAGTCCATGGTGCGCCAGACGGTGCTAAGCTGGACACCCGGAGCGGACTCCATGATGATGTATTCTGCTCCGACGCCATTATTAGCAGCGTGGGAACTCCAGGCCAAGATCTTAGGCACAGGAATTCCTAGATTGTGGCGGACGAAATCCATCGTTGCAACCTCACTGGAAGTCATGAGGTGGTCGGGACCCGCAATTGGATTCTATGAATGAAGATCAGAACGAGTATGGCCATGCACATGTAATGTGACTTGCTTTGATACGGACAGCAACTTTTTTCCCATTTGCGAGAGTGACCATTAAAGTCTTGTTAAACAAACCCTCCTTTTTCTCCATGGATGATACAGGGGAAGCGCAGACGGAGGCAATGATACGACGTAGAGCAGCGACATCAAACTTGATGTAACGCTGAGCCATCTGCTGAGATTCGTTGTACAACCACCTGCCGGAGGTGTATCGGAAGAGATTCTCATTATATTCGGTTCCTAAAGAGGCGACGACTGAAGGTTTTTGAGTAAAAAGGAACAGCCAAAATGCCTCATTGCTTACCAGAAGGGCCTGGAAGACGAGGTTGGGGTGGACCCGGGGGAGGTAGAGAGAGGTAGGAAGGAGGAGTTATGGATATTGCGGTAGCCAAGTTTCGAGAGACATTTGTGGGCTTGAGAGCGGTCGTAGGCCTGACGATGCGGGTAGAGACAGGGCTTCTCAGTACTTTCATAGCAAGATCATACGAACTTCTGAGAAATGGTTTGTGACGGAGAGTCAAGAAAAGATGAAATAAAGGTGAGCCAGGTTGGTTAATTATAAAGGGAGAGAGAGCGCAAAGAAAAGATATTTGAACAGTTTGTTTGGAAATCCGTAATAAATATGCGGGGAAACTGACACGATCGGATCTTGTCTCACGGCGTAAGCGGCTGCATTGCAAACAGTTTTAGCTTGTCTAGCCTGGTCTTCGAGGTTCCGCAGTTGCGACGATCATAGCATTATCATTTCATTCTATCCCTCAGTGGGCCAGGCCGCTTCATTCAGATCCCGAGTCAGTTGCTAGCTACTAACTAGTAGCGGCGACTAAGTTTCTGCAAAAACTTTCAAAGATCATCCTGACCTGAGTCAGCCATGAGTCACTGGCAGTCATTGGGCCATAGAGCTTCGCGAAGGTATTAAATTAACCTTGACTGCTATCATGGCGCTAATCTGTTCAAGCTAACTTTTACCGTAGTTCCTACTCGACTTGGAAGCTCCGAAAGGGCTCAGGCTACGCTATTTCAAAAACATCAGATATCATTGCGGAAATGCCCGCTGGCCTCAACCTTGCCGCAACCTAGCTGCTTCCACGGGGCACTTTATTACGAGCTACACCGTTCTTTTTCTCACATCATGACTATCTCGAGACCTCAAAATTACAAACGTTGCTCATCGAATACATAATTGGTACGTCGGTCTAAATAGATCGTAAGAGAACTTTCCTTGATGCCGTCTGAACCCTAGGATTTATCTCTCCACGGACATCTAGGAACCCGCACTGGTGTCATGAGATCACGCACGTTTCAACTATTTACTACTCTACCCAAATGAATCGCCTAGCTGTGTGTACGGCGTAGCATTCCGAATGTTGGTTTCAAGTCGTTAGGTTGTTGAATTGAAATTGTCAACTCACAATGTTCTCCCTATCAGTTCCTACATGCTATCGTTCGCCCTCAATCACACTTCTGATAAGGCTTTCTCAACTGATTCGGCGGGCGTATGCGACGACTCTCACGAAGCGTTCTGATCCAAGTCGGCTGCCGATCCTTTCTCATCTCTACACTTATCAGTCATATCTTCGTTATGCGATATCATTCGTTCGCATGTGGTGTGCCTTGCGCGTTATCTACATTGATATCGTACTCGTGCGTTGGTTGTCTAGTCTCTGGTGTCAGAACTAACCAAACCACATCAGTCCCTCCAGTTCTTTCGTCTACGTTTGAAGCTTAAAGGGCCACTCGCGTCCTCCATAATAACCCCTTTTGCGTATGTGCGCGTGCATTCCTGAGAGGAAACTTGTATCACTCGACTTACGTTAGATCAACAGACGTTAATCAGCCTCCGCGATTACTCGCTGGTGAAGTGATCTACATCTTGTGCCTGTGCCGGATGCAGCAGCGGCCTACGCGCATACGCTTTCCTCAAGTGCTAAAACTCACAATCGAGGGTCCATCCCTCCATGTGTATCGCGATCTTGGACTTTTCAGAACACCATCAGAAGGTGTCAGTCGGGGACCTTGTATCAGTATTTTGAACCTTGATATCAAGATCGGTCCATCAGAGCCGTAGAAGTACGGCTTCAAGAAAACAATGTCAAAAGGAGACTAGAGAAACGGATGGGACTATTTTCACTGCACAGTGCCCTGCTGGGTCAGTATCCCATAGCCAGACGATCATCTAGAAGGAAACAGTCTTTCCATACCGATTCCTTGCCAACCATGCTAGTGTCTCAATCATTCGAAGCACGTCGATGCACTGGCAGAAGCCGGGACCGGCGCGATCAATGCCAGTATCTCAATCGTTCCAATCTCGATGTAGGACCGGTGCGAATCGTGCGATCAATGCTACCTCCGAGACGGATTTTGCCACAACGTTTCATCATCGCCGACGGTTCGTTTGGTCTCGCCCGAGAACTTCGGTCCACGAGTGTTTATGACGGTATTTGCCGATAATTTCGTAACATTCTTGGCACTGACATACAGCGGCAGCCTGTACTTAGTCATTTGCGGTGATACCTGGTGATTCTCCACCTAGCTCCAACTCTACTAGTACTGTTTTATTCTGACTCACACATCCAACTGCAGTCGTGATTGCGTGATCAACCAGCTGCCTGTTGACGTATTAATCTGTGGATTAATGCGGATCACGAAACTACGGCGACGAAACTACTTACTAGATCTAATCAACTCATTGTAATACAGTCGTAAGTATCGGTCTTGGCTGACATCATCAGGTCCGAATCAACACGGCTCTTCAACCTTCCGCACTTGTAGGCCTGACTCGTTCCTTACCACTAATCCAAATTCGATTGCACATGACATACAACTGTCATGTTTGGTGAACGCCGCAAGACAAGAGAATGTTTGAATCCCTTCTCACCCCAAGAATTTTTTTAATATCAGCTTGTCGATACCCTGAGTAGGACAGTACTTTCTAATCTATCAGACCCTAGTGTCCCTTGAAGTTGCGATACCCCAGTAGTACTCATCACGGTTGTGGCTGCATTTGCATGATTGACAAAGTGCGTGACAGCGCAGCAGTACCAACACCTGCTGCAGGACACAATGTTGAGTTACGCAACCAACGTCATAAGTTGCGGAAACTTCCTCCTGCCAGTGGAACTATCATGCGCGTGCCTATGTATGTAATCTGGATCGGTCAGCCACGGCCGTACCTCAAAGTGACGATACTTCGCGTCAGCGAACTTTGAGAGAACGTGCTTCGAAGTTCACAAAACTTTGTTGTGTTGCCGTTCAAACGTTCATCCTTCACCAAACCTTAGACGTCTAGACCTTAGCTGTCGCTCGGTGACGCGCACTCCGCAGCTTTCGGAAGACGGGTCACGGAAAGCAGTTTCCTTCTCAATACTTGAACCAAGCTCCGAGCGAAAACCCATCCACTTTACGCCACCTGGATCCCTTTAGAGGTCAGCCACAGACGTCAATGAGCCGTCAGGCCTTCAGGCTACGTCAGGTTGACTCTGGATTGACCTAGTACTGTTGCCAGTACCATAGGTACCGCGCTGCGCCGCTGCCTCGTTCCGCTCACCGTGACGGTACAGTTCATTAACGTTTGTGGGTTCTTTGTTTTTCCGAATACCATCCCCACCAACTCAAACTTCATCAAAATGAAAATGGGAGATTCCGTCAGGTCCTCTCACGACCCTGCCGTTACTGCCGTCACGACTCGAGCGCTCGAATGCAACCCGTCTTGAAAAAGAAGGTTGGCCGGGTCAGCCTATCAGCGCTTTAGCGAACAACGTGATTTAGGTCAAGTGATATATATGCGTCACACCGTGTGCTATTCTAGAACGGCCAGACTCTCATCAAACTGCAGCGCATAGTTCTCGATTTTCAAATCAGCACACTGCTGCTTAAGCACTTATGTCTTACCGCCCTGACGAATCCAATGCGCTGATCTATGCGGAGGGCGCATGGCTGCAGGGGGCCATCGTCACTGGCGTCCTTTATGGCGTGGTGATCGTCCTGTCTGTCATGTGTTGGCGCTCCCTCTGGCCCCGCGCTCAATCGCATGCTACTGGATACAAGACGAACAGATTCCTCTTATGCTATGTCGCTTTCCTCTTTGTGGTTGGTACGATATATGTAGCGTTCAACGCCCAGATAACGCAACTGGGCTTTATTGACAATCGTTTATATCCCGGTGGTATGTGCAACTTTTAGAATGGACTGCATGTTGTACTTATGTTTTTACTCAGGCCCTAGTGCATTCGAGGAGGCGACCTCATCACCTCCACTAAACACCGCTTTCGTGGTTTCGGATTGGTGTGCAGACCTGTTGATGGTAAGTGTACCGTTGCCATATCTCCCATCCCCACCATCGAACACGCACCATAGATCTGGCGATGTACCGTAGTATACAGAGATACTGGAATTTACTTCATCATTGTTGGACTTGGATCTCTTCTGTTCCTCGGAACTCTCAGTATGTGCCAGATTTACACGTGTCTTCGCAATCCCTTTTGACCTTTCACAAGTCACAGGAACCCTCTGGCTTGTTATTGTCTCAACACCAGTACAATCCGCAAGCGGCTGGATGTCCTTTAGCTTGCTCTTCCCATACCTCTGTTTCTCTCTCGCCATCAATATCTTCATCAGCCTCCTCACTGTCTTACGCCTTCTATACCACCGCCACCGTATATCCAAAGTCCTAGGCTTAGGCCACGGGGCGATTTACGCCAGTTTCGCAGCTATCGTTATTGAATCCGCCGCCATTTACTCGATATGTTCGCTTCTTTACCTCATACCGTATACTCTCAACAGTCCGATCTCATATGCATTCATGCAATTACTGGGCGAAGCGCAGGTAAGTATCTCCATGCTACTGGGAACGAATCACGACTTACGTCTGTACTATAGGTCGTTGCCCCACTCCTTATTATCTACCGCATCGCAGTGGGCAAGGCCTGGACGAATCGCTCCACCACCCTCATGGATGACAACTCCATCCAGTTGCGGCGGCCGTTGGACTTACCAAAGCCCCCTCCCCCAGCCGCTCCACTGAACGTTGAGATTTCCTTTCACCAAGAAATCGCCCGTGATGAATCGATACGCTCTCCCAAGTTACCATACCCGTTGTTAGAATCTACGGAAGATTATGCGAATATGCCCGATACCTTTGGCAGGGCGATATGAGACTTGCGGGGGTGACCTGGATTTTATGTACAAGCTACGTTATGTGACAATACTTTGATTGCAACGCCTTTACGAAATCCGTGTAGTTACCCTGGATTTGACAGACAGTTAGCATATTAAATATACCCACTTTCATCCACGACAATAGAAGAGCTTTACATAGAAGGAAACGACCGCCGACGTAAGTAGGGTTCGCCATTACCCTGGGGACATTTAAGGAAAATCGAGAACACAACTCTAAGGGCCAGGAGATAGCAAAGTACATAAACGCATACACTTCTGTATTCAATATTCCCCTCTTACTATGCACGCAAATAGTATGATCAAACATTAAGGTACAACCCAGCATCCTTCCTGTGCTTCGTCATGGCTAAAATAATACGAGCATAAGCTTACCGAACAACTGAGACAGCGATGATACGAACCTGCAATAATCGCACTACCTACACCACTGCCATCCTCAGCGTGGTACGTGACGATGTTGCTGTAATTCCATGCGCTCAGATCGGAAGGAAAAGGGAATCAAACAATAACTACTCACCGTCCCTTGTCGCCGAAAATGTCTTGCAAACCTTCGTGTACGCGATCGGCAAACCCAGGGTATTTCTGCATAGGCGTGAACATCCTGCGGCAAGACAGAAAGAAGGGCTTTTACGTTGTACAAGGAGCCATCCGCCCCGACTGAACATCCCTCGTCTAGATAATTCATCTTGCTGACGATTGCAGCAATACCACAAGCGCTTAAACGAGCCGCACGCCTTCCAATGAGTTTTGCAAGAGCCCGGAAGAACTGCCGTTCCGCGAGCGTCGTCTCCAAGGCGAAGAAATGTGTGAAAATTCCGATCACCATGAGAAGTTCGTCCGTTGGGTCACTGAGAACACGACGATGAGCATATGCACGTTTTCACTTGAGTGGGAAATGCGGTACCTCTCCATGAGAGACAAGAAAGCGGTGTCGAAACAGTATGGTTTCTCGAGTTTGTAAGTGTTCTGTCCCAGGAAGAGTACACCTTCGTCGATGAGCTCGCAAAGAACTAGTCGCAGAATCTCGCCCAAGTACCGGCCGGAAATGAGTTTCTGGACAGTGGATACGTCACGCTAATCATGTTCCACAATAGATGTACCCACTTCAAATGCCTGTTCTCCAGGTTTATTTGAAGTATCATCGACGACCGTATCGTATTTCGTGCGAGGCAGATGCTCGTGTTCGAACGAGTCAAATGCACCCTGCCAAGCTCATCAATATAGTGTTGAGACCGGAATCAAACCCTACAGACCCATTCGCAATTAATCGCCATCTCAGCTCCAGGGTCGATACCCAAATGCTCTATTTTGGTGATATTCTTGACGTGCTCCATATAAGCCGCGTTACAACCAGTTCCGAAGATAACCGCGATCTTCGTCTTAGGGTTCACATAGTGTGATGCGATCAACGTTCCAGTTGTATCATTGATAAGTGCGGTCAGTTTGATGGGCAATTGCTGTTCGTATGCGAGTCAGTATGAATGAAATTTTGAGATAGGCAGAACGTACGTATTTCTCCAGGGACTTCTTGAACATCTCGGCAACATCCCTGCCCTCCGTGTTTCCAGCTCCGAAACCCTTGGTCCAGCGGATGAGCTCGCCGTGGTCAATGCGCTCCTGCCTGAATACCGAAACACATCGATCTTGCATGCACTGAACTAACAATTGCATCATGCGCACTTACGAGCAAGGGTAGGAGAACTGAACACTACATAGTTAGAAGGATGACGTTAGGATAGCCACTGACTTACGGTAAACCCAAGAGGTAGGGATTGGCCAGGCTTCAGTTGGCCCGCGCCCTCGCCCGTGTTGGTTTCAACAAAGGTATTTAAGCATTCAGCACAGAAATCGAACAATTTCTGGCCATCATCTTGTTTTTGCTCCTCAGTCAAACGATATTTGGTTTGGGAAATCTCGAATTTTCCCTCTCCCTGAAGGGTCACAAGACAAACACGCAAATTTGTGCCACCTATAACGAAATGCATTCGCATGAGTATATTGAGGGCCCAGAAAAAAGGCACAAATGGCAAATCACTCACCAAGATCAAGAGCAAGGAAATCTCCTTTCTCCTGACCTGTTGGCCATCCAAACACGTACGTCGGAATCATAGGCTACAAGGACTAATTCAGCACACGGTCGAAAACCGCTCATAACATGAATGCGAAAAGCGTCAAGAATCAAAAACATCGAAACATAGATTGATTTGTCTCGTCCCATGCCCAAATGCAAAAATGAATTGAGTTTGAATCACAAACGCAAGGTGATCTCATTCAGTATGGATGTACGGAGTACATACGCACTACAATCTGGTTGGGCTTGTTCAAGCCAAGTTCGAGCGTTTCAGTAAAGGCCTCGACAATCATCCGCATCCTCTGAGGTGTGAGTGTGAACCTGTGCAATGAGGATTCAGTCGATCCATCATTGGAGCCCCTGATCATAGGGTAACGACTGACAAACTCTCGTATTTTCTCAAGTGGTCAGCCATCGTCCTGCGATTTCACAAGACAAGAAAAGTTAGACCAATGGGTCAAGTATGATCGACAATTCTGCGTACTTCTTAGTTGCATGCGGGAGGTCTTCTTCATCTTGCGTCCGGGTATGGATGGCGATTGTCTGACCTGTAGTTAGCGTGAAGCTACCACTTCCGCGACGCGAGGCAGGCATTCTTGATCAAAAACTGACGTATTATGTGGAAAGATGATGGAGGGAGAAAGAGAGACAGCGAGTGGAGTTTGAGTTCACGACCATGGCAGTCCTTCATCGGTACCTACTTCGCGTGGAAAATACATCTCCATAAACGTATGGTATGTCCTCAAACCAAATCAACTTTTTGGTCCACGACATGCCGAATGTAAGGCGATGAATGAGCCTCACACAACTGACATTAATATTGATGGTGACCTTGTTAACGCCGATTTCCCAAGACTATCGACCGGGTTACAACACATACAACGCGGTTGAGAACATACTTGGGACAATATAAAAATGCCTATACCGTACTTATTGAATACATATATGCATATCAATTCCCACCCGCCCCACGACAAGTCACTGCCACCAATCCCACATTCTTTACTTTTTTCGTCTGTCATTTGAGGGTGATGATTGGGCTCAAGTCTACACTTAATGTCGGTGAAGTTCTGTATGCATTTTATGTCCTCACTCAGCTCACAAAATCTATGCAGGTAATAGACAACTCCGGCGCACTACTCATCGAGTGCGTCAATGTCCTCAAACAGAAGGTCAATAACGGTTGGGGCTCTGTCGGTGATGAAATAGTCTGCGTCGTCAAACGCGCGCGCCCAGTTTCGGCGGCGACTCAGGCATCTACGACTGCCGTCAAAGTCCGACGTGGAGATGTTCGTCGAGCAGTCATCGTGCGGACCAAGAAGTCAGTTCGAAGACCAGACGGGCGTTTCATCAGGTTTGATGATAATGCGGCAGTCCTTTTGAATAACAAGAGAGAGATGCTGGGGACGCGTATTGGTGGCGTCGTGAGTGCTGACTTGCGTATGAAAGGCTGGGGGAAGATTGTCAGCTTAGCACCCAAGGTATGTCATGTAGCTCCGCAACACGTTAATGAAGAGAGCTTGACTTAATTCCGGCAAGGTTGTTTGATAGATGTATATTAATGCTTGCCTTAAAAAACCTACTATTGGTCTTTCACGGTTCCAGTGCGTCCCATGACCACGTGCGACGATATCTATAGAATTTGAGCCGTGTTTCTGGAATACTCTGCTGCAAAATGACATGTGCACAATTGTTTGATAGGTGTTCTAGCTATGTAGCGACATCTCGTGTGCTGATTACTCTCCCGACCAATTCACCATCGTCCACAAAGGTCCTAGTCTGCTTTGTGGGTTTTTTTAGCTAACTCGCCCGCAGAAATCAACCACACAGGCGACGCAGTTCAAACAGTCCAACAGAAAGAACGCGAACGACGGGAAACAGGCGCAAGATGTTGGATCTCAAACTCGCCTGTGAATGTGAATTATTGTGCGGAATAAACCGTTTTTCCCCTTACATCTTGTAGACGTTGGACTGATTTTTTGAATTTTCGGCAGTTGGCAACCGCCACTGATCTATGTGAGGGCGAGAGGCAGATACTGAGAGCACTAACGTGGGCCCTGGGGCACTATTTCCATTCGGCGTCACGGTCGTGCGGCACTCGTCGCTCACAAATACACCTCGTCACGCAGGTTTGCCTTTTTTGCGTGCACGCGACCAACGAGATAAAAAGTCGTATGCAATTGTTTAGGCTGGGGCCGCATGCGAACATCACGGTCTCAAAGCTAAGAGACTATGATCTTGCTGGGACCTACATATCTCCGCTATCATTGAAGGCTATATCGTTTTCTCAGTCATCGTCCGCCAACCATTGCAGAAGGATGGTGTGCAATGTGAATGCAGGTGAATGGTATGGGCACTTCCACCCGGACCACGCTCGTGACCTTTTATACGAAATGCGCTGGAGCTCGTCCATGACTAACTTATGCTAGGTGGGGAAGCAATATGTTAGTTGGTTCTGCCTTGGTCATTCTCTGCAGCCCAGTCTGGAATTCCAGGCGCCATTTTGCATTGTTACCTCTGAGAGTTTGACAATTGTAGATAAACGCTCGGCGATATATTCTGATCATCCTTTCGTTATTATAATTGCGCCTACTAATCGTTTGACCAGCTGTGAACTGATCCTTACAGATCGAAATTGCAGACCTCGAGTTCCTACTGGCGACACTTCTTCACCCGGGTCCCGGAAGTCTAGAGTCGTGCTAGAGCAGCAATCGACGCAGCATGCGGACAGGATGAAATTCTAACTTTCAAGATAGAGATCGTCACTGACATAATGTCAGTTCTGCATCTTAGGTTACTGTGTTACCTGTAATTCCTCTAGACGCGCTTGTAGCAGTCATGCAGCTGGAGCTTATAGATAGTCATAGGCTAAGCGAGCTTCTCCGATGGGCGAGATAACCGAGGAATAATCTCACCTAACCGGACCAATCAAAAGAAGACAGCTTTCCTTCGATCACATCGTGTTTAGTAGTGCGTACCCGTTGTGAAAATTTGCATCTCAGTGGAGAACCAACGTAGGAGTCTATCTTTGTTTCTTGATGATACTACGTACATTGACATACCCCAATGTGGAAGCGTGCTCTCTTTTGGAATTTTGATCTTCAACACCTCAGCTGGTAGTATCATGTTCCGCGTTTTCCGATGCACTGCGATCATCGATAAGCTTCTCCACTCAGCTTCTGCCAGATTCTTGTGTCACCTGGTAACGTAAGCCGATACAGTAACGGCTCGAAATTGCACGTTAATTGTCCAGGTCCTCCCCTAGGACCACTGAATATAGGTGGGCCCAGGAGGCATGGTTTTCGTGTTCGAACATCGATCCTCAATTTCGGATGACCGGGACCAGGCCTCCCTACATATATTCGGAGGTCCTGTTCTTCTGTCTTGCAATAAAATATGGGAGACAAATGAATCGAAACCGAGGTATGCTGGCAATTTGCTGGCATCGCATCTATTTTGAAAGGTAGGTAGGGTTTGCACAAAGAGCAGTATCCAGGATATAAAAGCAAGCCCTCCCCCTCCAAGTTGATTCCGAAATTCCATATCACATCTCACAAATAATGCGTTTCTCCTTCCGAGTCGTCCTCATCGTCGCTGCTGCTTCGACGATGTCTATGACTGTCAGTGCTAGTGTTGACAGTAAATGCCAACCAGTTGACAGCTTTTGCAGCTCAACTGCGAATGATTGCTGCCCCGGCTATGACTGCACGATGCAACTGATCAGCCTAGATGTAAGTACGAGTGGTTTCACCCAGAATTTATTGACTCACCAGCATGGCAGCCGCCAGAGTACGTATATATATGTTTGTGAGATCGGATGAACTACAGTGAGTTGTGTTTTTGCGGCTTCCCCATTGGTGCAGCGTGATTGATGGAACCACACGTAAGTAGTTAATTGCGCTGTGCGAGGCTACGCATCTTAGGTTGCTGTTGGGTTCTGTGATTCCTCAAGACGCGCTTGTAGCAGCTGTGCAACTGGAGCTATAGTCGCAGGCTAAGCGAACTTCTCCGATGGGCGAGATAATCGAGGAAGACAAAAATATGATCTCATCTAGCCGGACCAATTGAAGGAAGACAGCATTACTTCCATCACATCGTGTTTAGTGCTACGTCTGTACCCCGGGCCGTTGTGAAAATTTGCGTCTCGGTGGAAAACCAACGTAGGAGTCTATTGATTGTGAACATTGACAACAACACTGACAGCAACACTAGAATACTAGCTAGGGAGCGTACTCTCTTTCGGAATTTTGATCTTCAAAGCCTCAGCTGCTAGTATCATATTCCACGTTCTCCGATGCACAATAAGACTCTAAACTTCTCCACCCAGCTTCTGCCAGATTCTCATGTCACCTAGTAGTAACGTAGGCCGATACAGCAACGGTTCGGGATCGCACGTTGATTGTCCTGGGGCTCTTCTACGATCCTCCAATATAAGTGGGCCCGGGAGGCGTTATTCCCGTGTTCGAACATCGATCCTCAATCTCGGATGACCGGGACCAGGCCTCCCTACCTATATTCGGAGGTCCTTCATTCTGTTTTCCAATAAAACATGGAAGATGAATGGAGGTCTGCTGGCAATTTGCTGGCATCGCATCTATTTTGAAGGTAAATTTAAGCTAGGTAGGGTTTGCATAAAGAGTAGTATCCAGGATATAAAAGCAAGCCGCTGTCCTACCCTCCCCCTCAAGTTGATTCCGAAATTCCATATCACATCTCATAGATAATGCGTTTCTCCTTCCGAGTCGTCCTCATTGTTGCTGCTGCTTTGACAACGTCTATGGCTGTCAGTGCCAGTGAACTTGAATGCCAAGCACCTGACAACTTTTGCAACTTATCTGCGAATGATTGCTGCCCCGGCTATGACTGCACGATGCAACTGATCAGCCTAAATGTGAGTATGAGTAGTTTCATCCAGAATTTATTGACTCACCAGCGTGGCAGCCGCTAGATTACGTATATCTATGCTTGTGAGATCGGGTGAACTACAGCGAGTTATGTTTTTGTGGCTTCCCCATTGGTGCAGCGTGATTGATGGAACCACACGTAAGTAGTTTATGATGCTATGCGAAGTGCTTCATAAAGATCTGTCAACAATTTGCTGGCATGGCAAATGGCATCTGTTATAATTTCTTAGCGCAATAGTATAAAAGCATCCTGTCTTCCTACCAATTTATTTTCACAATCACATCACAAATAATGCTTCTCTCCTTCCGAGTCGTCCTTGCCGTTGCTGCTGCTTTGACAGCGTCCATGGCTGTTAGTGCTTGCCACACAGCTGGCGGCCTTTGCGCCACAAGCCACGATTGCTGCCGTGGCTATAAATGCGTGTCAGTAGCGCTCCCAGAGCGTGACGAGGTGAGCATGAGTAGTTTCATCCATGATTTGTGGACTCACCGGCCGGGGCGTGATAGGTAGGAGAGTACATATCTCTCTGTACGGTCGAATGAGTTACAGTGAGTCATGCTTTTGCTTTCTCATTGGTGCAACGTGGTTAATGACACCACACGTAGTAAGTAGTTTGTTGCAGAAATGCTTACTTCTGAGCAAATATCACTGCTGCTCGGACAACGAAGATCATTAGGATAGAGAAACATCTTAAAACCTTGAATGTATGATTTGTGACTGAATTAATTATATCACATTGTTTTCTCCTCGTTGTGTGTCTAATGAATTCGTGCGATGAAGCACGGCTTTCTGGAGCGTCGGTCCTTGACATCCGAGTTTGAGGTCTGCTGGCGATCCGCTGGCATTGCAAATGACATCTGTTTGAAGGTGGGTAGCGTCTGCACAGAATAGTATTCAGGATATAAGAAGCAAGCCGTCTTCCTACCGTCCCCCTTCATATTTATCTCTGAGATTCCATCCATATCACATCTCAGAAATGATGCGTCTCGCCTTCCAAGTCATCCTTGCCATTGTTGCTGCTTTGACAGTGTCCATGGCTGTCAGTGCTGACAGTGAATGCCAAATGGGTGGCAAGTCTTGCATCACAACTACGGATTGCTGCCCGGGCTATGCGTGTCTAGTAGACCTATTGCGCCCATCCGTGAGTATGAATAGTTTCATCCAGAATTTATTGCCTCACGAGTCACCGGCGTGGTAGATATGCATATGAGATCCGATGAGCCACAGTGAGTCGTGTTTCTGTTTCCCATTGGTGCAGTGTGGTTGATGGAACCACGCGTAAGTTATGCAAAGTGCTTACTTTACAAATTCCCGTCAACGATCTGCTGACATGGCAAATGTCATCTGTTATGAGTTCTGCGCAGAATAGTATAGAAGCACCCCGTCTTCCGACCAATTTATTTCCGAGATGATGTACATATCATATCTCACAAACAATGCGTCAAGTCTCCTTCTCGTCGTCGTCGCTTTTGACAGTATCCATGGCTGTCAGTACTAATAGTACTGAATGCTATCCAGGTGGCTTTCCTTGCAACTCAGATGCAGATTGCTGCCTTGACTGTGAAAGCCTGCCAGTACCAGAGTATGGTTCGGTGAGTATGAGTAATTTCATCCAGACTCACCGGCGTGGTAAGCAGGACTACATATGTGTGAGTAGGTGTGAGTACGCACGAGCTACTGCAGTAAGTCCTAGTCATGTTTCGGCTTTCTCATTGCAATTGGTACAGTGTGGTTAATGGCACCACACTTGCTTCTGAACAAAATTTAGTGCTGCTCCATCAATGAAAATCTTGGATAGAGAAACCTTGAACGTACTACGAGGACGGGGAATTGAGCATGGCTGCTCGGATGAAAGCCCGAGCTACTAATAGTACCATACAGTACCGCCAGCGACCGTGACTGGTACGGCATCACAGCCAAGGCCCAGGCCAATAGCCGCCACCAACATGACAATATTTGTTCGGGAATCGGGCTAGAGCCTATGTGGACTTGTTACTTGTTAGTATTGAGGACTATGTGACAGGTCAGCATGAAGCATGACACGACGAGAGAATTTGCTCACCTGTTAAAGCTCCCTCTCCGACACAATTTGAGGAACTATTCATGTGCAAACACGGTTGTCGACACAGCCAGTCGCGATAAGCTGGCTGTCCTTGGAAAGGGCCATATCCCAGACGTCATCGTGATTAAGGTGCTTAAGTGGCTCGCCAATGGGTTCGAAATTCGAATAGTGCTCACATCAAAGAACCACGTCGTCTTGCCGTAGGACGAGGTGGTGAATTTTATGCGGCAATGGCTAGTGAGACAAACTTGTGGGTTGGTGTGCGTGTCGAACTATTTGGTAAGCATCTGATATTCGAATGCGAGTGTTCTTGTTTGCACAGATGCAGACAGACTCGGACCGTGAATGCGACTCGCCATAACCGCTCTTCGATTTTCAGCAACTCTTCCCTGTTTATTGCACCCCCAACGATGATGTGGTTGTCAGTGCCTGCTGTTCTCCATTCGGGGAGTACGACACCGAGTTTGCGTCACTGTTCAGTTTGAGTCCGAGGACCATTTTTCATGTCCTGCTCTGCCACACGCGTGCTGTCCCATCCCATGATGCATTTTCAAATGTCTCACTGTGGATCCGGTGCAGATATACCATTCGAGACCACCTTCTCATGGCCCTTGAATGAGACGGGCACTCCGAGTCTTTCTTGGATGCTTCATCACCAAAATTGGACATGGGAATGTCGGAGCTACAATACTTGCCTGGCACAAGTCCCTCAATGTCGGACAATGTAAGGAAACTCGATTCCGCCATTCTAACTGTCATATGACTATCTAATAAATGGAGAATAGCCTAAGTATCATAGAGAGCAATCTACTTAAAAAAGTAATTTCTACTTTTTTCCCGCTTTACATCATCTCTGATGTATATACATCAGTAAAACCTCGTAATCATTTTCCATCATTATGTCACTTTTTTCACCTTGGCGCGAGTGCTAAGGTGCGAAAATCAATCTAAGGAGTGATAAGACGTTTTGTTGATTTTTCTCCAAGGCGGTTAAGAGAGTTTAATGTGCAAAGGAGAAATAATACATGTTCAGAGAGATAATAGTAGTATACATTCAAAGTGTGTACAATAGCTATAGTAAATAAAGTATTGTCAAAATGCAATCTCAAATGCATGGTGGTCAGCATACTTATTCACGTAGTAAGTTCGAAATGCGTCATACGAGTCGTGACATTTGAATCCCTGAGGCAAAAACTCCATGCCATACACCGGAATGAGATGCGCAGCACGATAGATAGCGTCGACATGAATGACAGCATGCTTGGATGCGCCACCTGCGGGACTAACGATCCACATTCCCGTATCTTCGTCTGCAGTGTCGCCAACCTTGTCAAACCAGTGTATCACGGCGCAGGGATATGTATTACCCCGATACTTGAATGAAAAAAAAGTGCGAACTCGAGCAACCTCGAGGCCTCGCATGCCAGGTAAATCAGAGTCTGTGTTTACAAAAACACAGTCGTAGCGCGAGTGCTCATTGCGCCAGGATGGAGAAGAGCGGATGTGCTCAGTGCGCATGCCACCGCTACTGCTTAAATCACTGGGCGCATAGAAGCGTGACGAGGCTGAATTAAAAACCAATATTTTGTTGAGATAGCGAGGACATTCCACGAGAGGTACATCACATGGGTCACGGTGATCGTCAGGGTGTAATTGTTGGAATAAAAACTGTGCAAGGAGGTCGGGAAGGCGAGGTATACTGAGTTCTTCAGCGAGTGCAGGGACAGTTTGAGCATGCTTTTTCCACTCTGTACAGTATGTTAGAATATTGAAAAATGAAGATAAATGAAAAATTACGGGGGGTTTTTGCCAGCTGCACGAAGGCTTGTAAAACGGTTGGTCCATCATCGATTTCGAGGTCCCCATCAATACTAATCCACAAAGGTGCAGCTGGTGCAGGTGCCGGTGTTGTTGCTGTTGCTGGTGTTGCTGTTGCGGGTGTTGTTGCTGTTGCTGGTGTTGCTGTTGCTGGTATTGTTCCAGGAACTATTATGTACATTAGCATTTGGGACATCTTGTACTAGTATAAACCGAATGACTTACCTAAGGCATTCATAGCTGCTGAGAGGCAGGTGCCAGCTAACATCCCTCGACATGTGAATTCAACTCGTGCTGCTGAAATTTTGTCGAGCCGTTGATTGATCAATAGCATTTGACCAAGCGTGCGAAAACGGCTCGATCGTCTCCAAGGTTCTTTGACCGCTTTGATGTGCTTATTCTCAGTAATCGATGAGCAGAGGCCATTGGGCGCAGCAAAAAGTCGTATATTTTGTATGTAATGCTTGAGTGAATGTTGACGAGGCAGCGAGAAGGTAGGAATAGTACCCGATGTCTTGAAGATTTTGCGGTCATCTTCGATCTCAACTAGAACATCCTCTGTGATGATATTGCGGCGAACGAGGTAGCAAAATTCTAGGAGTGCACGGAAGGCGCGCACGATATCAGTAGGTACATGACCCTCAATTGCGGGCAAATAGACCTGTTGAATTAGTAAGTTCTATGGTGAGGTGAGACTCAAAATGCGCGAATTACCTTCATCAGGGCCTTAGAGTCATCTCCCGTCCATTGCTTGAAGCCACGTCCCTGAGGGAATCATCGCAAGCCTGAAAATGGGGCCACAGTGGCAATCCTAATATACAGTGAGTGATCATATGTAATATAAACACTAGATAAGCTTACCTGCGATCAATATCATCTAAAATTTGCTCTGCGCGTCGTTTTGGATGAACGTGTCTGAGGTATTTTTCGACCCATTCCACAAGGTGGTCCTTGAAGGCGCCTTTGATGAGCTGATGGAGGATGTCGGGTGAGATCATTTGGTATATATCGGCTCGGGGGAAGTCGTTTGTAAATGGCTGTTGAAATAATTAGTATTGATGACCTGTGAAGAGCATACCGATTGACATACCACAAGTTCTGGAACTATCCCTGCTTCATTCCACAAGTTACCCAAGGGACCTTCTTCAATAAGCGCCTCTACATAGTCACGGCAACGACACAACGAGTCTTGATCAAGATTGGCACGAGGTGCCATACATCTGTAGAGGTATTAGTTACAAGGTAAAAAACATATGAAATGATAGATACGTACTTAGGACACCGACCGCGAACAATACACGTCAATAGTACTTGCTCCTCGTAGTCTGCGATGTAAGGTCCTAGCCCATATACAACTCGCCGGTAGTGACCATCTCCAAAACGTGCGACTTCGGGTGTCGTCATGCCTGGCTTAAGCGAACTGAGAATCTTCGAGAGTGACGAGTGAAATAATTGTCGACGAAAATTTCGGAAGGTTGGCTCATCCGCATGTTCTTTTGTAGCTGTGCATGCAGGCGTGAGTGCAGAGTGGATGAATGTGTTGTGACCATAAATTAGCATACACTAGAAGAGTTCACACTGCGACGTACTTTTTGGCATAGCGAGAAACCCAATAATTGCTAGTTCATCACTGATGGGCTCGTCGAACAGTTGTTGCAAATATTCCCGATTGACGCATAAGTGGGTAATATTCATTATTCCCCGTACCGACTGAAATGGTTGTTTTGTCGCTACCGAGGATGATAGGGACGAACATCGAGCCAAGCATGTTTGGATCTTTAGCAATTTCGTCCTAGACACAGATTTAGCAGCCATTATCGAAGGAAAGTCAAGTACTTACTGCCTGGTCCCAGGCCCAGTCGCCTGACATGAAATCCTTCCACTGACGCTGATCGTTCTCCTGTAGAGTATTCTCGATATGGGCGGTAGTCAAATTCAGTAGCAGTATGCTGAGTTGGCAAGCATGTTGCGTGTCACCTCACATGGGTCACGGAACCATACATCGTACTTATCATCCATCCAGGGCTTGGGATTTTCGGGTCTCTCACCGTCATAGGCCACCATGAAACATTGCCATTTTACGTCTCCCAAAGGGTGAACTATCAATGACCACGTAAAGATCGCTGGTGATCTGCAAATGGTGGCCTGTCATTGTGCTTTGCAAGGGTAGATGCCCATAAGTCCAACAGTCGGTTGATCTGACCAGCCGACATCTGATTTTGCGTGTACAGAAACTCCGCCATTTCAAATTCCGCACGGCTATGAAAGGGTGTCCAGTCGTCCGAGGCTACATTCTCAGGAGGAGGAGGAGGAGCGCCAGGAGGGAGATATATACCATCTGCATCACATGGTTTGCCTACCATCGTGTGAAAAATAAGATAAAACCGGCCAGCAAATGAACGTACCATCGAGACCCATGTGGTAGTTCCTATACAGACGATTGCCAGGCCCAAAAAACTCTGTGTGGATGTTTGGCTGAGGGGATGGTTGGCGTGGGGGATCGCCCATGTCAATATCATAGTCAGTGCATCCTTCGTCAACATCCATTTCAAAATTGAGTTCTGGGGAGCGACTGGCCCGAGGCACTACTGGTGGAACAGGGTGTGCAGCAAGACAATGTTTTGTTCGGCCAGCAACAGTTTTGAACCATCGTGCGCAACTTCCGCACGGAAGCTGAAGTGCGCTGAAGTCTTGTCGACTGGACTTGAGTACGAGGAATATTATCAGGCATTGCAGTAACTAAGGTTCAAATAAGTCTATGTACTTCATTGAAATAATAATTTACGCGCCTTCTTGTTGGTAGGATGGCCAATTTCAGTTGACGAACCGATTAATCGTCTGGTCGTTGACTGTTGTTAATAGGATGGCCAATACTATCTCTGGGGACTGCGTACCTGTCTGGTTGGCAGGATGGCCAATTTTCAGTTGACGAAGCGATTGTTTGTCTGGTCGTTGCAATTTCTGTTGACGAAGCGATTAATTGTCTGGTCATTGCAACTCAAGTTGACGAACCGATTAATTGTCTGGTCGTTGACCCACAGATGCGCCTGATGAAGGGATCCACACACCTTCCAGTTGACGAACCGATTGATTGTCTGGTCGTTCCAATTTCTGTTGATGAAGCGGTTAATTGTCTGGTCATTGCAACTTAAGTTGACGAACCGATTAATCGTCTGGTCGTCGACCCACGGATGCACCTGACGAAGCGATTGATTGTCTGGTCGTAGGGATCCGCACATAGGATGGCCAATACTATTGGAGATCTGTGCACCTGTCTGGTTAGTAGGATGTCCAGTACCATCTCTGGGGACTGTGCACCTGTCTTATTGGTAGGATGGCCAATACTATCTCTGGCGCGACTGTTTGTCAGCAGGATGGCCAATACTATCTCTGGGGATCTGTGCGCCTGTCTGGTTAGAAGGATAACCAGTACTATCTCTGAGGATTCACGTACCTTCTTGTCTGTAGGGCCACTAAGACTGGCTCCAGGGATCCACATGCCTTCTCGTTGACGTTTGGTCTGTAGTATCAGGTGAATATAAGAGAAAATGAGTGACAAAAAAACTCACTTAGAATAACGAACTGATTTTCAGGTGCGCACTCAGTTGTAATGAGGCAAAGATGGTCTGACACTGCTGGAATGGGCGTTTGTTTGGTTAAGTGATTTAAAGTTAGTATGAGAACTTATAAATTTGCACCGAGCACTTCAAAGTTCAACTCCAACCACCCGATTCCTTACACCCTTCTCCACCCTCCTGCGTGCTGCAGTACCTGTTGAAATTAGCTACTTGTCAGTTATGACTGATATCAATGAACCAGCGTCGCACCCGCCCACAAAATGCGAATAAACACCCAGGCTTACCCGACCTGGAAGGACAAAGTCAGCGATGTTCTCAAGCCAAGAAGAAGAACACCAAACTCCCCCAGGAAACCCAGTGAAGCTCAAGAACTGGCCGTGGTTGAGGGTTTGCAGCGGCTGTCTGCCATGCAGGAAGAGATGAAGAAGGCGGAGGTGCAAAGCATGATGAAGAAGCCGAAGGCAGTAAGGCCCCACGCTCGCCCTGTCAAGAAAAAGTCAGAGCCTGCTGCTCAAGCAGATAAGGCACTCCTGGGAGTAGGAACTGATACCATGGCCAGTGAGCGCATGTCGCAAATGCTGTGTGATGCTGACCCAGGCGAGGATGTTGAGGCTCGGTCTCGAGAAAATCAGAAGGACGATGGAATCAAGACAAAGAAGAAGACTGAGAAGGACACGGCTCTTGCAGCTCAGTCAGGGGCACGTGTTGAAGACAAGAAAGGAAAGTTGATGTGCTGTCCAGACTTCTTTTCCAACCATGATGTTGATGCTTACCGAATCAATGCTTCTTTTCCTTAATTTGACCTCAAATTTCAGGACCAAGTCCAAGTTTTCAGTTAGGGAGGCGCATCCAGGGTTGGGTTAAAGATGTTTCACCAGACCGGTCTGACATCGTATCAAGCGCTCCCAAGCCGCCTCATACGGCAGTCACTGGGACTGTCTTTAGTGCACGGGCCACCAACTACCTGTCTTCTTATCTGGCTCCCACCCTACAGTCCGCAACAATTGTGACCACCAGCTCCGGCCAGCATAAAATCCCACCTCAGGTTGTCAGCTAATTCTTCTCAAGCTCTCAGTTGGTGGCTTTGGCGATGAGCTTTTTGATTCAGAGGATCGCTTGGACATCCTTCCAAAGCCATCCGCGCTTAAGGTGTGTGGCAGTTTAATATATCATTCAATTCTAACTGCAGTAAGTGGACACTACAGATTATAGATGTGCCTACTGAGCTGACCGCAGACGGGTCACTTCCAACGGAGGGCTTGAAGGATGACACAAAGGATTCGGATGATGCGTCAACCGATGCGGACAATGATGCACCAACCGATGCGGACAACGATGCAACAATGGATGTCGAGGAGGATATGGCCGATAAGTCTCAGGATAGCGGTGACAGCCTGAGCAGTTTCAGTATTCCGTCGCTCAAAGAACAAGACTGCACAACACTGTGGACACCAAACGCCGTGTCCCAGTCTTCAAGGATTCCTCAGACGAGGATGACGATATTGAGGTTCTCAACATGGATCATAGTATGACGAAGCCTACAGGCTTCGTCGAAACAACCAAGACAGCGAAGAAGGCTGTACGTTTGACTGTCTTCCGTAAGTTCCTTTTTTATTTATTAACAATGGCTACTACTTATATTCTTGCGACAGACTTCTGTTGGCGTCTCCAAGTCATCCACTACAATGCAGCCACCTGCAAAGAAGGTCAAAACCGAAGACGGGGCCGATGATATTATACCAAAATCAACACTTACAGCGCCACCTGGCTACTGGATCGAGAAGCGGTACAAGTCCCATTCAGCTTATCAAAACTGTGATCTTCCCCCTCAATGCCAGGATCAACGATGGCCTAAGCACTTCCTCCCGACTGTTTATTTGTGGGCCGGCAGTCAAAATGACCTCTGGCAGATATCAGATACTTCTCTTGTCGACGCGCTCCAATGCATCATGGATGTTGTATATGATGATTCGATCTCCAGTACAAGGTAAACACTCAAGGTTCTGTCTTTGGTGTCGTAGGTCCCATGTTTTTTCTTGTGTCACTATTACTAACTGACTGATCACAATTTGAATCAGGCCATGCAGCGTCTAGCAGAGTGGCGCAGCAATTTCGGTTCAACAGGACTTGCTATAATGATCGATTTCTATGCCCGGAACAAGGACACTGACACGAAAGAGCTTGGCCAAGCGCTTATGGAAGACTTCGCTTTTCTTTTCGAGGACATGGACAACATCGACACAATGCAAGTGTTCCGGTCCCCATTCATGTTACAACTCTTCGCTACTGCTCACCTTCATAGCATCATTGGGCATGCTGAAGTCACTGCGCTCAAAACAGATGTATTGGCTTCCATTGGCGTGGCTAGCGTTCTCGGCATTTGTGCAGCTTCAGTAAGTACTGTAGACATATGAGAAATATGACTGATAGCTGTACTTTTGTTGACAGCTTGAACGCGCCATCAAGTGCCTCAGTGACGGTGCCATCGACATTGATTCAGATGCTCTTGATATGTGTCCTGCACAAAGGAAGCGCAAGCTCCGGACGCCGAGGACCTTCAATAAGGCCACCGGCAATCACAGTACTACCGAGCATGCGTTCTCTATCAATAACTGGGGGTCAGTGACAACCTCCTACGTGATTGGCGTCAAGAAAAAGGGAGAAAGCTTTCTGAGGGAGACAACATCGATGGCCCGGAAACTGCTCAAGAAATCAGGCAACGCTGCCCTTCGGAAGTACATTAGTCTCAATGATGAGGATGAGGAGGAGAACATTGACCGGCGCTGCATGTTGTGGTAATGAACCGTTGCTTTATTTTATTTTATTGTCAATGAACTAACATCATTCCATATAGATTCAAGTTGCAGTTTCGCACTGCCTGCTGCGCATTTTTTAATGTTGACTCGTAACTCCGTGCTGTATCCATCTCCTCGTACTATCGCATTTTGCCTGTTCCGCCATCTGTCTTCATTACTCGCCTTTAATTCCCCTTTTCTTCGTTTACATGCATTTCTCATTTCGCCCTTTCCTACTGTTTTTACTGCTTTGTCGCCATTTGCATGCATTGTTTGCTCTATTTACACCACTTTTTCGTACTTTACCATTGGACAATGTGATGCCCTTTGCTCTATTATCACCACTGTCAATGCCTGATAAGTGACTTTTCAAGAGTGTCAAAGTAGAATTAAGAGGGCGAGTGGCCTTTTTTTCAATTTTTTCCGTCGTGTCTTCATGTTGTGTGAACGGCTCCTCAAATCTGATCAAAGCAGGAAAAATGAGAGTTCCGAGTGAAAAATAACGGAAAATGATTACGAGGTTTTACTGATGAGTGGCGAGGCAGTGGGATCCCCTCTCCAAGGCCACACTAATGAGGTTTGGTCTGTCACAGTCTCGCCGGATGGAAGTTGCATAGTCTCGGGTTCAGAGGACAAGACCATCCGGGTGTGGGATGCTGACACCATCACGGGAAAGGCATGGTTGTTGCCGCCCTCGAAAGCCACACCGACTCCATCAACTCTGTTGCAATCTCACCAGATGGATGTTCCATCATGTCTGGCTCGGACAACAGGACGGTTCGGGTGTGGGATATAAAGACTGGCAAGGCATTAATGACCCCTCTCAAAGGGCACACCCAATCTGTTCTGTCAGTCGCAATCTCGCCGGATGGGAAGGTCATTGTGTCTGGTTCAAAGGATATGAGCATCCACATGTGGAATGCAGAAACTGGGAAGGCATTGGGTGTTCTACAAGGTCACACTCACCATGTCCGGTCTGTCACAGTCTCGCCGGACAGAAAATGTATTGTATCTGGTTCAGCTGACAACACAATCCAGGTGTGGGATATTGAGAGTGGTGAAGCATATCCTCTCAGTGGGCACTCCGACTGGGTTCGGTCTGTTGCAATTACATCGGACGGAAGTCGCATAGTGTCTGGATCGGATGATGGGACAATCCAGGTGTGGGATATGGGGACTGACAAGGCATCGAGTGCCCGTCTCCAAGGCCACACTGGTTATGTCTTGTCTGTTGCAATCTCGCGAGATGCATGTCGCATTGTATCTTGCTCAAGAGACAGGACTATCCATGTGTGGGATATGGGGACTGGCGAGCTATTGGGTGCCCCTCTCCAAGGCCACACTTTCTCCGTTAACACTGTTGCGATCTCCTCAGATAGTAATCACATCGTATCTGGCTCGGATGACAAGACCGTCCAGGTGTGGAATATGAAGACTGGCAAGGCAGTGGGTCCTCCCTTTTGAGGGCACACCGGACCCGTTCTGTCTGTTGCAATTTCGCCTGATGGCAAATGCATCGTGTCTGGGTCGTCCGACAGGACTATCCGAGTGTGGGATCTAGAATCTCTAATCCGGCAGCACCAATCATTTGAAACACCTACCATACGTTTCTCGTCTGATCTGACTCATGCCCTTCATTCTGCCTCCTCCTTTATCCAAGATTCTGATACCCCAGCCCCTTCCGGTCCAAACAAGGAGGGATGGATTATAGGTCCTGAAGGACGGCTGCTCCTCTGGATCCCGCTCACTTTCTACTCAGGCCCTATGTATGCCCCAGGTAACACACTAGTGATACCCAACAATGCCCTACAGCTGGACTTGAGTCGTGTTGCACATGGCACATCATGGCAGAAGTGTCGCGAACAGTAATAGGTTGCATTACCTTTGCGGTTGTATTTGTCACTTAGACTGCATATAAATATGTTAATTGACTGAAGATTTATGCACATTCTACGGATTCCATACAATATCTGTTATGACTCGCTCTTACAAAACAGTTTCGGCTGCACGAAGATTTCATTCACTACGTTTACATACACTCCTCCCATGGCTACTATACTATATTGTTTCTCTATTTCTTCCTGCAAGATAAAGTGCGCAAGTTAAAACTCGATGTGAATTTGAAATATCGGGTCATTCTGCTTCATTCAGCATCATCCTGTCCTCGTCAGACTCCATTGCCTCCTGAGATGGCTGCCACAATTGGCTTCTTCACCCCTGGAAACGGTGCCCACCAGCATGGACCGTGACGCCATCCAACTACTCAAATAACACTCGGCGAATACTAGTCACAGGCAGCTCAGGCTTAAGCAGTTGCTCGTCTGCAATCAGCGTCTCCAGAGCATATCAAGAAATACCTCGCTCACGATATGCATCACCGGTAGGATGGGTAGAAGGATGGGTAGGCGATGGTGATTGGAGGAGGTGACGTGAAGAGGAGGCTGCGTGTGGAAGTTGGTATTGGAGAGGGATGGTTTTGGGCGTCGACTAGGGCTTGGAGATTTGTTCCTGTAATACCAGATGTCAGGATGGGGTATAAAGCTGCGAGATGAGATCAATCGCTGTCGTACACATCTTTGACATAAATAGGTACATCGTGTCTAGTGCTACGTCTGTACCTGTTGTAAAAAAATTGCATCACGGTGGAGAACCAACGTCGGGGTCTACTATATTTTTTCTTGATGATACTCTGTAGTGTGCATTAACAACATTGATATACCTGGAGAGCGCACTCTCCTTTTGAATAAGCCTCGGCTTCCAGTATCATGTTTCGTGTTCCCCGATGCATGGCAAGACTTTCTCAGTATCCATGAGACACCTGAAGTTCTCAATTCAGTTTCTGCCAGATCCCCGTGTCGCCTAGTAACGTAGGCTGTATACTACAGCAATGGTTTGGAGCTGTACGTTACCTGTGCTAGGACGCTTCTAGGATCCCCTGAATACAGGCCGAGAAACGTGGTCCCCATGTCCGGACATCAATCCTCGATTTTCGGATAACCGGGACCAAGCCTCCCCATCTACGAGGTCCTGTTCTTCTGCCTCGCAATAAAATACCGAGGATAATCCGGTCATAATTGAGGTCTGCTGGCATTCTGAATGGTATCTGTTTGAAAGTAAATTTCAAGTGGTCAGGGTCTGCACAGGATAGTATTCAGGACATAAAAGAAAGCCGTCGTCCTACCGTCCCCCTTCAAGTTTATTCCCAAGATCCATCCTGTATTGCATCTCACAAATAATGCGTCTCTCCTTCCGAGTCGTCCTCGCCATTGCTGCTGCTTCGACAGCGTCCATGACTGTCAGTGCCGAGGTGGCGAGATTTGCCACTCAGCTGAGGAATATTGCCGCGCTGGCTTTTCATGCACGCTAGACCTAGTACTCGACCGAATTGTAAGTATGAGTAGTTTTATCCAGTATTTATCGACTCACTGGCGTGGTAGCCAGGAGATGTATATGTATGCATGTGAGATCGGATGGACCACAGTGAGTCATGTTTCTGCTTCCTATTGGTGTAGCGCAGTGGTTGATAGAACCGCACATAATTAGTTTATACAAAGTGCTTTACAATTTTCTGTCAGCAATTTGCTGGCATGGCAAATGATATTTGTTATAAGTTCTGCGTAGAATAATATAAAGGCACACCGTCTTCCTACCGGTTTATTTCCGAGAAACATCTCACAAATAATCCATCTCTCCTTCCGAGTTGTCCTCGCCATTGTTGCTGCCTTGGCAGTATCCATGGTTGTCAGTGCTGACAGTGAATGCCAATCAATTGGCTGGCCTTGCGAGTCAAACGAAGATTGCTGCCGTGGCTTTCATTGCCGCGTGAAACTGCCGCTCCGAGTAATTGATAAGATGAGTATGAATAATTTCATCCAGGATTCAAGTTTGTTGACTGACTGGCCTGGCAGCCATATATTTGTGTGAGGTCCCATGAGCTACAGACGATAGTGAGACATGTTTCTGCTCTCTCATTGGTGCAAACCACATGTAATTGAGTGGGAATGCTTGCTTCTGGATAACTTTTACTGCTGCTGGAGCATTAATGAAGATTTTAGGATAGAGGAACTTGAACGTTGAGAATGAATCTATTATTAGACCCGCTCGTCTGTTCGGTATGATGTAATCGGAGTTGGTACTCACTGCAACACATCCTGTGACTAGTGAAATTTACGTCTTGTTATTATTACTTTTCTGAGCGGGGGTCAGCTGCCTGCTCTTCCCAGCCGATCCAAGATACAATCTGCCGAATCGCCTAATAATAGTGGTCTTATTCCCGTACTACTAAGTCTTATGTACTAACCTGGTACAGCACTTCTGATTTTTCCACTCTTCCAACGTTGTTCTTCACAATTTCTAGGAATCTAACAATATTCGTAGCCTATAGGTCACCACTATATACACTTCCCCTCACATGTTTCCAGCCAGCTGCTTCCAGCGGCTGCGGCCGTCCACCAGCCTGTCAACAAACTTGGGTCGTTCCAGATCTATCAAACAACATGCACTGACCTTTGCCCGTCGACAGAGCTCGAACGTGCCCTTGAGGAGTCCACGTTCCTGGTCTCCAATTGTCATTGGCTCTATCGCTAGCGGGCTTATAGGATATTCTCTCAGTGTGTTTTGGAAGCCTTCTCTGACATCCGAGGCTCTCGAGGAGATGGAACCAAAGTATGGCACCCCGAAGGACTTTGAACAGGCCATCAAGGAACTTCGGGATTCATTCGATTCAGATGATGCTGTCTCAACTCATCCGGATGACCTTCGCATTCACGGATATTCAGAGAATGATTACCACCCAAGTGAGGGCTTCCATTCGGCTGAGCTTCGCATTCCCAAACTCATGTTAGTCTTCCAGATGCACCGCATACTGTCATCGTATACCCAAAAAGTACAGAGGATGTAGTCAAAATCGTCAAGACTGCCGTCAAGTACCGTATGCCCCTCACCCCTTTCTCTGGTGGTACCTCCTTAGAGGGAAGTTATCGTGGCGTGAGTCGATTCCTATTTAAAGCCATTCATGCTCACGACGGTGGCCCTCTAGAGCCCTGTCGGTGGTATTTGTGTTGATATGTCCGACATGAATAAGATTATCGAAATTCATGGTGAGTGTGTCATGCACCTTTCTTCGAATGCTACTCGATATTCTTCCAAACCAGAGGCGGACTCAGACCTTGTTTGCCAGCCCGGTGTCGGATGGATGGAAATTAACGAGACCTTGCAGAAGAAAGGTAAGACCGCAATGCAAATTTCGTCGCGTTACTCACATCCTTGAAAGGCATACCACTATTCTTTCCCGTACGTTCTGATATTGACGCTGTATCGTCATCTGACAATTTTTACTTACATAGTTGGATCCCGGCCCAGGCGCCACTATCGGTGGCATGATGAGCACTGGTTGCTCAGGCAGTACGTATCAGCAGTCATAAATCGGCGGTACGGTTATTAACGTGTTGACTTTGGCAGCGAATGCCGTCCGGTACGGTACTGCAAAAGGCGAATGGTTCTTGAATGCGGTATGCATTGGTTCCCTTGACGATATTCGAATTGGTTGATTGAGTATCCCTATAGACGGTTGTTCTTCCTTCTGGAGAAGTCATCAAAACTCGCCAACGGGCTCGGAAATCTGCAGCTGGGTTCGACACCACGAAATTGTTCATCGGTGCCGAGGGCACTCTTGGTATCATCACAGAAGGTGAGATCACGTATTTTGCTCTTGTCGATTGCTCTTGACACTTCTGTTAGTCACTATCCGATTAGCTCCCGTCCTCCCAACAACAGTCGCCGTCGTACACTTCCCTGATGTGAAACGTGCAACGGAGGCCGTCATCGACGTGATGAACCGCGGCGTTGGCATTCGTAGGTTATCCGTTCCTGATCAAGCAACACGCTCACCTTCAGGATCCAGAATGTGTTGAACTCTGCGACTCTGAATTCATGCGCTCTATAAATTTATTTGGTGCATCCCAGCGCAAATACCCTGAACAGGACTCCCTGTTCTTCAAATTCCAAGGTCCAACGTCTGCTTCGATCGCGGAGACCGCTAAGATCGTAAAGGAAATTGTGCAGAAGCACGGCGGCACTGGTTTTGAATTGGCACGTTCTGAGAAAGAAGCGCATGACCTGTGGGCAGACAGAAAAAACGCTCTCTATTCTGGTTTGGCCCTCCTGGAAGGAAGCCGGGGGTGGAGCACTGATGTTTGGTAAGCCCAAGCTGCTGCAGGTCCAGGCGTGTCTTATGTTTTCCGCATGCAGCGTGCCAGTCTCGAAACTACCACAACTCGTGTATGAAACCAAGAAAGACTTGGAACGGTTAGGCCTTGTATCAATAGTTGTAGGGCACGTTGGTGACGGTTAGTACCCACACAGTTCGCATTGTATCGTCTTTCTCATTGACAACATCACACCCAGGCAATTTTCACACCCAGCTTCTTTTCCGCAATGATAAGGAGCTTGAAAGCGTTCGCGAAGCCGTGCATAGGATGGTGGAGCGTGCGATAAAGCTTGAAGGCACTTGTACGTCTTCACTACTATATGCACGAGGGTGGTGATCTTACGTCTACAGGCACTGGCGAACACGGTGTTGGGATTGGGAAGCGGGAATATCTGTACGAAGAACTCGGCGAGGGAACGGTGGAGTTAATGCGATCCGTCAAGAGGACCCTAGACCCACTTGGTTTGTTCAACCCCGGAAAGGTGAGTCAGATCGCGTGGCAGGAGTTTGGTGCTAACGCATAACGAATAGTTGTATCCAGACAGGATAGATAAAAAATCAAAACATTGATGATTTTTACGAACTATTATGTGTTTTATGGTACGGGATCATCGTTGATACCGTTGTATTTTCTCTTGGCTGTATCCATTCCATTATGAATGTACCGCGACCATGTTTTCATCTCTTGACGTTATCTCTTACAAGGGCCGACAATAAATCTAACCTCAAACAAGTTCTGTTGGATTACCCACGCATGTGCCCACAGGTTACCCCAGGATAGACATTATCTGCCTCGTGGGTCTGAATCTGATGTGGCGACAATAGACTAAGCACCGAGCTGAGATAAGTAGCTAAAGATCATGTCTCGAGCCCCGGGAATCCGTATATTTAGGAACAAACCCATTCGTCACAATACCTTTGCCCTCTTGTATTTGTTGTGCATCTTACATTGATCACGTACACGCAACTTCACAGCAGAAAAAAATCCAAGTGTCTCACTATCAATGTAGACAGGGGTAATGACTTGGTATGTATAAAACAACCACGGCACCTGCCTACAGTGCACTGGCACCTGTACATTCATCGTGAGTAAATGCGTGGTATCGGGAACAAAATTCAGCGTACCGGTAATAATGTCAACCAACTCGTTGGTAATGGCAGCTTGACGGCCACGGTTATATTGCATTGTCAGTCGGTCAATCATGTCTTTTGCGTTCTTTGATGCATTGTCCATGGCGTTGCGACTGTACCCAAAAATGTTGAATGATATGACGTAAAAGTTTACCACATCAACGTACCGGGCACTCTGCTCGCATGCGTGAGCCTCGACAAGAGCGGCATAGATGGCGTTTGCAAGCGAAAACTCGGCGAGATCCTTTGTAACGTCGTCCTCCATTTCGTAGGCACGGAATCCAGCTGGAAACGTATGAGTCACAACACCAAGACTTGGTAACATGTTATCCATACCAGACTCCTTCAATGCATTCTCGCCCACAACCTCAACAATTTCAGGCTCGTAAGCGACAGCAGAGACGAATTTGTTGTAAACGATAGAAATGCCGTCGTATTTGACGTCGCTTTTCACAATCAAGTCGGCAACGCCAGCAGCGTCAGCGAAGGTGGGGATGTCACGACCAATTTGGTTGAAGGACATGGCCAAGTTCTTGGCGAGTACACGTGATAGTTGTACTTTGGACTTGTCACCGATGACCATGATGGGAGAGTCGGAGTCGACAGGCTTCTCAGTGTTAGCAATAGCACGACGGGTGGCCTTGGACACGGAAGAATGGATACCACCGCAGAGACCCTTGTCGGAGGAGACGACGATAAAAAGCTTGCGCTTTGCAGGGGTTTCTAAAGGAGTATGCTGGAATATCTCTAGGTTGTTTTGAGAATACGGAAGCGGGTATACAGTCTACGGGACGCACCGGAGTTAGCAAGACCGTACTGCTTGCCGCTCTGCATGGCACGCTGCGCCTTTGCGAGCTTGGTGGAAGCAATCATCTTCATGGACTGTACATCGTAACAAGTATCCGCGGTCAACGCCCAGAAATAATACAAAAAACAACATGTCGGCACACCTTGGTAATTTTCTCGATATTCTTGACCGACTTCAACCGTAGCTCGATTTCACGCAACGTAGCCATGTTGCGGGCATTTTTGGGAGCAGCTCCCAGCGGGGAGGGCTGGGTCGCGATACGGGCAAGTGAACGCCTTGCTAACATTGAAAAGTGGTCAAACTTGGTGCGCGACCGAATTCCGAGTAGCCCAACATACTTCACCGACTTCCGGCGATATCCGATCGGAGCTCAAATTTGCATTGCCGGAACTCGGCATTGATAGAGTCATATCTTGCTCAACGTACTCATCAACGAGCAAGCCCATCTTACGCATCGACCACCATGGCAGCAGAACAGCCATTGTTCGATCCTTCGCTCAAAAAGCGCAAGAAGAAAGCTGTAGCTTTCACTGAGGACCCGTTAGGTCCTGAAGCAGATCCTACTACACCTGCACCAACCACTATCGAGAATACAACTACCAACGGAGATGTCGTCGATCTCGGTCCTACCACCGCACATGAGCAGATGAAGCAAAGTCTCAATGGGGCACCAGATCGTGTTGATGCGCCCGATGAAGTAAAGGAAGATGATGATTTCAAGGCCATGTTTCCGGACGGTCTCAAGAAGAAAAAGAAGAAGAAAGACATCCCTATGGACCTTGTGAGTAATCTCATGTCAAGCCCATGTTTGGCGATCTCATATGTGTATGTCATCAGGGCGAAGATGGATCAGGAGCATCGCCTGCAGCTGCACCCGCCGCTACAGAAGATCTCGACTTCTCCGACATCAAGAAGAAAAAGAAGTCAACAAAGAAAAAAGCAATGGAAGACTTCGAGAAGGAGCTTAATGAGGCAAAAGCAAAAGATGAGGCTGAGGAGGCTGAAGCCGACGACGGAGAGCATCTTAATGAACTAGATGAAGCAGATCTTGGGGACGACCCATTTGCACGCAATGAAGCACCTACAGGCATTGAGTCTGGCACAGAACCATGGCTTGGGAGCGACCGAGATTATACTTACCCAGAGGCATGTGCATTTGCTATGATACCTTTTCCTGACCTATATTAACCTTCATCATAAGCTCCTAACACGATTTTACGCCTCCCTTCATGCCGCAAATCCATCATTACTCACGTCCACCGGTAAACGATACACGATCGCACCTCCACAAATTCTCCGTGAGGGTGTCCGTAAATCAATATTTGCAAACGTTGCAGATATCTGCAAGAGGATGCACAGACAGCCGGAGCATGTCATTCAATTCCTCTTCGCTGAAATGGGTACCACTGGTTCAGTGGACGGTTCAGGGCGTTTGGTCATCAAAGGTCGTTTCCAACCTAAACAAGTCGAGAATGTTTTGCGTCGTTATATCGGTAAGCTTGATGACATCTGCGCTTTTCATGCTTAGCGCTAATATTGTCAAAGTCGAGTATGTGACATGCAAGACATGTAAATCACCAGACACGCTCCTCACAAAGGAGAACCGTATTTTCTTCATGTCCTGCGAGTCCTGCGGCTCACGTCGATCCGTCAACGCAATTAAGAGTGGTTTCCAGGCCCAGGTTGGCAGGAGAAAGGCAACTGCGCAATGAGCCGTCGTTGTATTATCAGGAAGTTGTTTGCTACGTCCATTGCTACATTCATCATCATCATCACGCATATCGAACCCTTAATACATGGTCTGATTGTAGAAGCATGAGGTAAATACTCCATACAAGCCCAAATGGGGAGGACATAGTGAACAAGACAAGAAATCACTAAAAAAATCATAATGTATCATAGACTCGTTGAAACGTCACGCAATATCAAGGGACGCAAACCATCCTTCATGAATCGATATCCCCAACCTTCGTCAACACTAGGCGGCGTTTTTTCTTTGGGGGTTGTGCCAACTTCGCAGGTGTGACTTCTGGTGCACTCCTGCCCGCAGAGGCATTGTCGTCAATGCTAGTAGCGGGCGTGAGAGGCGGCTCGTTCCTCTTTGCAGGAATAGTAGGCGTCGCAATAGCAGCCAGTGGAACCGAGGAAGACGAGGGCGTCATCGTGTATGTGAGGGGCACGAAGTTATGTTGCGCGATGTACTGAAGTTGTAATGCATATTGTTGAGTGTGATGCGCAGGTAAAATTTCATCAAAGATCACGATGGTACAGTATCCATCTCGTGATGAGAGGATAAGACACTGTCCGTCAGGAGACCTATTAAATAATTCAATATAGATACCAGCAGCCAGAAATAGTCATCACATACCACGATGCATCCGTAAATTCATCATAGTGCAATTTCGTGAGCATGCAAACAGGTCCAGATTGTTGGGTATCGTAAATGGCAACGGCATCCATGGTCAGAACAGCGTAAAGCATGCGATAAGGCAGCGCAAACACGGAGCCAGTATTGAGTGGAGCGATCGCCGGGGTAGAGGGCTTCGATGGCGATGGCGTAGAAGGCTTCAGCGATGATGCAGGCACACCTAATTCGGGAGCCACAGCATGAGGCGTGGGCGCTTCGACATGTAAATTCTTTTCCACTTTTGGAGAATATGCAGATACGTCCTTGTGAAATGCAGGTGTCGCAGAAGGCCCAGCAATATCAACAGAAATTGACCCATCCTTGCCCTTTTCTAGAGTTCCTGTCTTAGGTTCGTTATGCCCCCCTGCACCAACGACATCTTGTCTCAATTCATAAAGCACAGGGGAGAACTTGACAGCCACGCTGGCTTTCTTATGTCCTGGTAACTGAGCTATAGGAGGACGGGCAAAGTTCGCCCTTGAATAAATGAACACCGACGATGCCGATGAAGGGTTGGTTTCGCTCGTGGTAATTGCAAGTTTGGATTTACGTCCACGAGTGGGAGTTTCCTCGGCCTCGGCCTTGGGCTTGTTGGTAATGATGCTGGGATCCTCAAATTGCCCTGCGGGGGTTAGCAAGAGGCCCCCATCTGGACTGAACGCTAAGCGGCGGAAGAAGTTCGAGAAACTTTCATCTCCATAGAGTTTAATAGTCGACCATGCGGGCGAAGGAAGCGCACGGATTGCGGGAAGGGGTGGCATAGGAGAAGGGGATCTCCCATATCGTGCATATTGCCCAGGAGAGCCAGGGGCATTAGATCCGCTGAATGAAGACCGTCTCGAAGAAGGTCTCTCAATCGGCGGAGGAGGAAACATCGATGTGGATGGGGTACTGACTACTGACGCGGTCGGTGTCGGAGGAGCGTAGTTACCAGAGAAAAGAACATCATCTTTGTGCTGATCACTGACAGTAGACTCTACATCACTAACAGCAGACTCATGTCTATAGGACCTGGAACGGCTGTGCGAGCTAGGGGTGCGGCTGTGATTGTGGGTGTAAGACATTCGTGTATTCTTGCCCACAGCATGGGCTTCGAACGTGCCCTGCTTGGTCGAGATCCGATACACGTGCATCGAACGGTCACTGCTCTGTGTGGCGATATATTCGTTGAGCGGGTCCCATGCTACGCCTTGGACATAATGGTTGTGCTCGGCGATCTCGCAGACGCATTTGCCTAAGCCAATGAGCCTGTATTCCCCACAGCAATAACGCAAAAAACTCACCATCACTGGAAGAAAACACCCTCGCGCAGTTGTCCGTACTGCCGGCTAAAATGTATTCCCCAGTTGGACTCCACGCTAGGTCATATACCTGCATAGATGTGCACCTGTCCCATGTTTTATTCAAACTCGATCTCAAATTGCGCATGAAAGTTACCTGAACGTCGTACGCGGTTTCCAGTACTCCTTTTCATATTGCAATTCGTCCGCAGTCAGATCACTGCCATACGTGGCGGTCTGGGGCGTGCTTGAAGGTGCCCAGATGATGATCATGCCGTCTTTCAATAAACTCGCGTCAAATAGGATCAGCAAAATATTTAAGATCCGTACCATCTCCAGCGGAGGCAATGAATTCCCCTAAAGTCGCGTTAATGAAGTGGCCAGGGCTGACAAGGCGCGTGCGTAAGATACGCACCGTTAGGGGAGAATCGAACAACGTTTACAGCAGCCGAATGTCTGCTGAGTGTTGCAAGATATTCAACCCGAGCAGGGCGTGGCGCAGCGCCATCTGCACCTTCTGCAAGAGACGACGGGAGGATGTTCGGGTGCACCATCCATATCTTTTCCAGCCCACGTTGGTCAGCGCGCTGGACGTACCAGTGCAGGCTCACTCACTCTAACGTGGTTGTCCTCGCCTCCTGTAGCCAGCCTATAGGACTGCGCAGCAAAATTCTTCTCCTGCATTGGACGCGCTTTTTTGAATGGAACAGGTTGAAAGTCACAAGTGGATATGGGCTTGGAATCATGCCATCGAATCTCGAGGGTGCGGTAACGCATTTTTTGAATGTACTACTGAGCTCAGAGAGGGATTGTGGTAGCTAGTAGAATGAAAGATCCTGAGCGCTACAGGAGGAGGAACATTTGTTCACAGACTGAAAAGTAATTAATACGGATCGGAATCAAAGGCTCCTTATGTACAAGACCCAGGTGTGGCCGACTCGCACGCTCATGATCGATTGTTGTCTACCTACAATTCTATTCATTCAATTACAAAAATAATGCGAGGTTCATCATCATAGTAACAAAAGTAATATGCTCGAACGATTCTGTTTAGCTCTCTCTTCCATATATCACCTCCAAGTCCTTCAGATCGCGTTGTAGCACCTTCGTCAAATGCTGTAAACCAGCTTGCTGATTGGACAAGATCTGCAACGTGCATGTCAAAGTCAAAGCTCAAAGATTACAAGCAGAACCTTACTTGAGCGATCTGCTTTAGGCCCTCCTCATCGACGACTGTCCATTCAGAGGTGCCATCGAGCCCCACTCTTCTGCCTCTCTCGCGCGCAGCGTTGATAGCCCCTACGAGCGCCCACAGCTCATTCAGCTTTCCTCGCATCTTACTCATCCCACCTGGTCTTCTTATTTCTTCTTCAATCTCCTCTAGCGCTAGACGCAACGCCTCTTCTTCGGGACGTATCGCCGTAGACCGGACAGTAGGTAGCATCAGATGCATGTGCTGGATGAGGCACAGCAGGCGGTGCTGAGTTTGTGATTGAATTAACTTTGCGCGCTGCAAACGTGATGCGTTGCTATCGTTATGTCTTGCGGACAACGATTCCAGGCGTTTTTTTAGTTCCTGAAACACGCTTGAGTAAGGAAGTTTTCTACAACGTAAGAGATGACCACAAACCAATAAAGCTTTTTGCTGTTCCGTGGCTTGCTTCATTTGACCGTCTACGCGCTGACGCAGATCGTCAAAGCCAACTGCCAGAACAGGTACCATACTGAAGAGATAACATGGGCATACTGAGTGGCAGGCGAGTCATTGAGCTTACCAACTAGGATCAGGGTTATCGTGCACTGCGCGTTGCCAAAGCGCCTCATTTGTGGCATTTGCAGGTCTACCGAAAGCGTTCACTTGGGCCGGTGGAACGAGATTATAGAAATAATGCTGTTCGATGGATAAGTTCACGATAAACTATACATAAACTGCATGAGACCAACCTGAAAGCGACATGCTGGCGAAGAAGGATCCCAAGCCTGTACAATAGCTTGGATTTTCTGCTCGAGCGCTGCATATTGTGACTGAGGATCCTGTTGTTGTGCAGGTGCAGTGCTTCGCGATGCGAGAAGTGAATTGGATAGTGGAAGACCTAGCGTACTGCCAAAAAGCCCACCGGTAGCTGCACTCGGCGCAGGCTGATTCACTGAGCCAAACAGGGAGCCCGCTGGTTTCTGCTGGGACTGGCCGAATAACGAGGGAGTAGTAATAGGTTGCGTGGATTGGGATTGACCGAATAAAGTTGGAGTAGTCGAGGAGGGGGCAGGCGCACTACCAAAGATACTCGCTGGATTTTTATTCCCAAACAACGGGTTTGAGCTCGTTGTTGTACTGCCAAAGAGGCCTCCTCCAGCAGCTGGAGCTTGAGTTGTCGTGCTACCGAACAGTCCCCCTGATGTTGGCGCTTGCGTACTGGTAGCGCCAAAAAGACTCCCGCCGGCGCTTGGTTGGGTCGTTGACGTTCCAAACAGTCCGCCAGTACCGGTAGCAGGCTGTGGGGTCGTAGTACTTCCGAAGAGACCACCACTCTGTGGTTGCTGCTGCTGCTGCTGGGCCGTGGTACTTCCGAAGAAACCTCCAGCCTGCTGCGGTTGCTGCTGTTGGGTGCCTGCGTTGCCGAACAAGCTTCCAGCAGGTTGAGGTTGAGTTGTCGTATTACCAAACAGACTTGTTCCTGTAGGTTGTGTCTGAGTGGTCGTACTTCCAAGCACATTACCCGTGGCGGGCTGCTGTGTAGTTGTCGTGTTACCAAATAGACTACCGGTTGCAGGTTGCTGTTGCTGCTGAGTGCTCCCTCCTGACGTTGGCGCTTGGGAACTTGCACCGCCAAACAAGCTTCCACCGGTGCTTGGCTGAGTAGTAGACGTTCCAAACAGCCCACCAGTACCGGTAGCAGGCTGTTGGGTCGTAGTACCTCCGAAGAGACTACTACTCTGTGGTTGTTGCTGCTGGGTCGTGGTACCTCCGAATAGACTCCCACCTTGCTGTGGTTGTTGTTGCTGCTGCTGCTGGGTACCTGTAGTCCCAAACAAGTTTCCAGCAGGTTGAGTCAACGTGTTCCCGAACAGACTTGTTCCTGTAGGTTGCGTCTGTGTGTTCAAGTTCGTACTCCCAAACAGACCACCCGTGGCAGGCTGCTGGGTTGTACTGGCTGTGGTATTACCAAACAAACCACCAGCTGCAGGTTGCTGTTGTTGCTGAGTGTTGGTATTCCCAGATGAAGCAGCTGCAGGTTGCTGTTGTTGCTGAGTGCCGGTATTCTCAGACGAACCAGTCCCTGCAGGCTGTTGTGGCGTCGTGGTATTTCCAAACAAGCTCCCGCTACCTGCACCTGCAGTAGCGCTTGTCGCCGTACTAGGCATTCCAAAGAGAGTTGTACCGGATGTAGATGGCTGTGTGGAGGTATTACCGAAGATGCTGCCGCCCGTTGCCTGTCCAGGCTGCTGTTGGGTGTTCGTGTTGCCGAAGATGCCTGTGGTTTGGGCACCGAGTGTCTGCCCCGGCTGCTGCTGAGCGTTTGTGGTACTTGTTATCTGCCCAGGCTGTTGCTGGGCGTTCGTGGTGCCAAAGGCATTTGTTGAGGGTTGCGCTGCGGTGCCACTAAAGAATGACATTTTTGCAACCTTTTATGAGCTATAAAGCAGGAAGTAGTTCGAAATCGAGTATTTGAGAGATTAGAGCCGATGCGGACTCACCTTGCTGATACAAGATGGCAACTCGATCAAACCCACGATCCTGGCCTTGGCAGAGCGAAACAATGATAGGCGGTTTGAAACAAAAACGAAGAATGAGAATCAACAACTCCAACTAGTCGCTTCTTTTATAAAAGTTGCTGAAACAAGTGCAATAGAGTCACTACACTAGCGGTAGCAGGCGCACCGACAAAGTCACGGTACTGAGGATGGTTAACTTGGCTCAAGGCCCCTTAAGGTCTCAACCCATCACTCAGACTAGGATTTGACTACGTATAACAGGCTCAAGACTCTCGGATGACTGGTGTTATATTGCTACACTCCAAGTCGACGACGCACAACGATTTGTTCACAAATCCCGAAATGAATTTATGATAGGTTAAATGATTAGCGACTTGCATGACTTGCGCCTGCAAGTTACAGTAGTCACACCGATATACCACCAAGCATCACGTCCACGTAGAAATATCATGCAATGGTGCATAGAAAGCATGTGTCATGTAGGGACATATGTGGTGTACATGTAGTTTTGCCAAGTCGTCTCCCAAGCACCACATATGTAAAAAGGAGCGATCAGAACTATGTTGCAGACAATCAGCTCTAAACGCAGCATGCGTCATGAATAAACCTACACGAAGAGCCTGGAAGAACCACTTGTTCTTTCCGGTCTGGTAACGCTCCTCGAACAGCTTTTTGATGGTCTTCCGTGCATCCTCCCGTTGTGACGGCTCCTTGAAGTGTTCAGCAGCCACGGAGTTCTTCAAGCCCTCCAACTCCAAAGCGTAACGTGTGGGGAATAGATGCGAGTAATTAATCACCTAAGACATTCGATAAATGTCGGTTCGCATCTCCATGTCACGGTCAATGTGTACTTACTTTAATGAAAGGCTTAACGCGGCTTCTCCGCTGTAGTTTCTTGGCACCCATAGTCCGCGTAACTTTTCGCGGGTAGCGTTCGATGCCGGCAACGATGGCATGGGGGTATGGTCGCTCCTTGGTTCCCTCATCGAGTTGTTTGATAACAACAACCTTCTTGCCTGCCTGGCGGCCCTGTAGGACGATGGCGACCTAGACAACAAGGTTAGAATCACAGTTGCATCGATCACACGTATGATGGAAGCACTTTTCCGGGCTTGTAAACTAACATGAACGGTCAGCCTTAGACACTTATAAACGATATGCATTCCGACCTTTGGGCATCTTGACGTTAGGCGGCGCGGTGAGGATTGACTCAGCTGAATAGATTTAGGCCAGGCAAGCCATCCGGAGATATCCGAATGCTACTATATAGTTTCAATTTACAAGGTTACGGTCTCACTGGAATTTAATTAATATTGTCTTTTGTTTCTCCTAGCTGCCAAGTTCCAACACAACGTTTCGCCGTTGTGCGCCTTCCGCAAATATAACATGCAAGACATTTATAACATGCGCAAACGTTGGAATTTCAACCTGACGGGAATCTTGTACCCTTGCACAACTGTGTAGTATCAGTCATGTTCGTAACACTCTGCATACTTTATCACGCGCTCGCCTACTCCCTTGGTCATCTATGGACTTTGCTCTCTCCTTTGAGGTCAATTTTGAGCTGTGCCGTCGATGCTACAACGTACCACCCAACGACGCGGCGAAACGTCATCGTTGACATCATCATGACCATCTGCACGCTTCTTGTTTGGTCAACCCTCATAGGATGTATGCTACTACGCAAAGAAGACCCTGCAAAACGCGCACCACCACCTGTAAACTTACCTTCCAGATCGTTCCTAGACCTCGTTCCTGACTGGTGTTTTCCAGCATGTTTCCTTGAACCAAGCAAATGAGAGCATGGTGAATGCACTAAAAGCAGTGCAAAAGGCGAGGGATGATTTCAAAGAGATGGAAGACACCTCGGGCACCACAATAGAGGCGTTGTGGCGCTTAAGGCAAGCCGGGAAGGACATGCGCGAAATCCATCAGGCACTCGTGGAGATGTCGGACATATTCGACCAGCAAGCAGAACGACAGTTGTCCCGCACTTTCCCCATTAATTCAGGTGGAGCGAGATAGAAGTGTTATCCGACCACTCGCATTTTATCAGCACTGACGGGTTCCCGTGTCAAGCAGATGAGGTTTTGAGTTCTGGGTGGGCGGTTCCTCGTATGTATACGACATCGATCGTTGTTTGAAAGTGTAGTTTCTAGTTTTGACACAAGCGTGTGTGTAGCACACGCTTGTTTCAACTCAATGATTTGGCATTACAGTGTGTCTCAAACTAGATGCCCATGTGAATCGACACGATGCTTCCGGGATCGCAACACCTTCACCAAATCTATGGCCCAACGTTGTCCAATGCTCTCGCATATTATAGAACGAACAAAGGTCTTCTTCCATCTACAGTTTGCCTAGCCCGGTCACCGGCCTTGCAGCATATTTCTATGTGACACCGAGTCATCAAGCAGGTCGTCGCAAAATAACAAGAAAACCCATCACTCCAATACTATCACATTGCACAATCCGGAGGAATCTATTACCACAAGGTACAAGATAAGCCACGCCGGGGCTCGACCCACTGCACACCATGGTGACAAGAATGCGAGCTTCGGATTTCGCATGGCATGCCTGGTAATTAAAGGCCTATTGTGCGCGGCGAGGGAAGACTCATAGATTGAACGATTGTCGGAATTGCAGCGATGCTCACGGCTGGGTGTAGCCCCGTGAACGGCATGCCATCCTCTGCGGCCAGCTTACTGGAAAGGCATAAGGCTGAGCGATATCACCACTTTGTGTTTTTCCCGCTACCGTCAGGGAGTGGGTCTCATAGCTTTCACTTTTATCCTGCAAAATCTGGGCAATTACTCCATCTGTGTCCAATTCAGGCGACTACGATCGTTCTCGAATCTAGGCTGGCGGTCATTTGTCTTGTGCGTCCCTTCCGCGTTTGTCTCTCGTTCCTTGTCCCGCAATCTCTGCATACCTTTGCATCCTCATGTCGGCCTTCATTGGGCTCCTTCCTGTTAGTGCCTCATTTGAGTTCATTATTTCTACTGCCCTCGTGTCTTCTGATGTCGCAGGCCATGCTGTAGTTTTAATGCATCAAACCAGGCTAACCAGCAGACATTTCATGATGCATCAACCTTGCTCGATCCCAATAGAGAAGGTGATGCATTACTGATGCATCAGGTGAAATACCTCGTCCTTTGCTTCCTTTGCTTATTAATGCCTTCGTACCTTGCTTCCCTTGATTACCAATGCTTTTGAATACTTCGTACCTTGCTTCCCTCGATTACTAATGCTTTTGAATACTTCGTGTGAAAAATTGACGGTGGCGTTTGCAGTCCTCGCTTGAGACTGCAAACTTGTCACGTGACGATGACTCAGCCACAGCGCTCGCTTCCTTCCTTGGCTCGATTGCCAATCGCGCTCCACCTGGACCTGGACCACCGACAATCAGCACAATCGGCATCCAAGACCCGTTGGCCAGACGATGGGTCTCGCTGGTGGTGTATATCAGTGAGGTGAGTGTTGTTAGTATGAAGTTCTCGAAGGTATGCTCACCTTTTCTTCATCGTCTGATTGTGCATTCAGGTATGCAGCGCGCTATGTCGAGGCCACGGATCTCCTGGTTCCTATTCATAGGTTCCTAAATGTGCTGCCAGGTTCAGGTGCGCTGGAGAAGCTCATGAGTGCTCCATTGATGGTGATAGGTATGTGCCATCTTTGCCTGGCCCTCGAGACTCACCAAATCCCTGCACCAGGTACCAACATGCTCCGTTCATAGTTACAGGTGCGCTGGAGAAGCTCATGAGCGCTCCGTTCATGATTATAGGTATGTGCCGTCTCTGTCCAGCCCTCGAGACTCACCAAATCCCTGCACCAGGTACCAACATGCTCTGTTAATGGTTACAGGTGCGCTGGAGAAGCTCATGAGCGCTCCGTTCATGATTATAGGTATGTGCCGTCTCTGTCCGGCCCCCGAGACTCACCAAATCCCTGCACCAGGTACCGATGTGCTCTGTTAATGGTTACAGGTGCGCTGGAGAAGCTCTTGAGCGCTCTGTTCATGGGTTGGAGACAAGACAATTAGATTATGTAGTGCATACTTGTGTGTACAGTGATAGATTAGAAGAGAATGTATGGTTTATAATCATAAACTATTGGACAAATGCCCGAGCGAGATTGAAGTTACCTGTAGAAACAGCTAGGTAGGGATATAGTGGTAGACAGTGCAAATTTGATGGTGTGCCGCTGCATGGATGGGATATGTAGTAAGTGACGAGTCCAGGGGGATATGATAAAGAAACGTGCTCCTGAGTGCTCTTGAATGGCACTCGTTGTATACAATTTGACAGTCGAATCTATTGAAAATGTCGAGCTTAAAAAGAGTCAGCAGGGCATGCGAAAGAGAACATGAGAGATCTTACTTGCGCAGGACAGTCTGAGCACCAAAAACAAATGAGTCACTGTCATCTGTCATGACAGCATCAATAATACCGGCACCATTCATCAGTGCCAGCTGTGTCTCAGCTTCTCTGGCAGTCTGGATAGCCAGGATTGATATAGATGACAACGAAAAAAAAGAAAAAACTCACCATGATCCACTGCACGTTGAATGCATTCAGTAGGCGCTGGGTGGGCTTGACCATCCAATGGTCGTTGGTAGACACTCTGTGGCCCCATTTGATTTCAAAAATGTTCGAAGGGCGGGATTCTGGCCTGTCTGAGCATGTGCACGGTGCCACCTGCCCTGCTGGCATTGTTCGAACCACGCACTAGAATCAAGAAATGAGAATGTGAGAATGTTTGCCATTGAACACAGCGAGCGAACACAAACCTTGCATCCACGCCTACAATATAAGGCGAGTGAGGGGCAGGTCCCTCATATCGGCCCCGGATGGCGAGAGAGATGAGGGGCACTGTCGTTGCGGCAGGCTCGAGCACCTGACAAATGATGGGGTGAGTTTCAGCACCTGCCGAGTGAACAGTGGGAATGTGCCTCCCACAGGTCGTTGATGCCCATGACGATGAGGACACTGGAAGTATAATTTGAGATCAGTAGGCTGACAAGCACAGCCGCTATGCGTGGAGGAGACGGGAGTCGAACGAGAAGAGGAGGTACTCACTAGTACTAGTAGCGTATGTGTGCATACATAAGCGGTGGCAGTACCATGTATGGTATAGCAGCCAGCCGGGACTGTAAATCCGAGGACCGTCAATCTGCAGCACATCAGCATGCAGTGCGTTTTTTTGGCGGGAGGGAAGGACGCGTCGCCACCAAGACCGAAGCTGGGTGTAAACGAAAAATTGACGGTCCTAATGTGCGAAATTTGCAGTCTCTCGGTTAGCGTCTCGGCATTCTCCCACAGGTGGTTTGCATTGTGCTCACCCAGGACCCTCCACCCCATCCAGCAGCCATCCAGAGCTCTCTCGCAGCTCAAAAACGTCGATTTTTGCTGCCTATGGCGTCCATAGCCCGTACGGTGCCCTCCCGTGCATTTTCCGAGCCTATCTGCGGTTCGAAATGTTGCTGTCTGGGGTCGCGTCTTTTTCGACGTCGCGGTTCACGTGCCGTGGTGGCGGTGCTCGCTTGGGTAAGCCTGTGCTGGACCGTCAATTTCACAGTGATCAGCTCTACTTCGTACCTTGCTGCCCTTGATTACTAATGCTGTTTGAATCTTCTACTCATCCAATATAGTAATGGAAAGTGCTGCATCGGAGGGTGCGGCACCCAGAATGATGTCATCTTAGAGCCTTTTATTCACTAAGTCCTAGTAACCACTGTTCGCCTGATTTCCCTCAAGCTTTTGCTAGTCTTTGAGCCGATGAAAATTGTTCATGTCTATTTCGGTCTTTGTTTGCCTTATATTTTGCCTTGTATTTCCATTTTGTGCGTGCACAGTGTTCAAGACAATATTTGTGCTGTATTACAATAACATGCGCATAGTATTACAAGCAAGAAACACTAATAAAATTTACAGCTTTATATCTCATGTAGCGATGAGAGGGACTCGAGCGTGGGAGAGACGAGCTATCAAGTGAGTGTATTATCTCAGTGTCTTGGAAGAAACTCATAGACAGTGTATGTACCTATCAAGTGAGTGTATTCTACGGGTATGTTTAGCTCGAATTGTAATGGGAAATAAATGTAAGGCTTACATCTCAGTGTCTTGGAAGAAACTGAGATGTTAGGACACGGGTCTCGTCTTTTTAACATATCGCGTGTATCACGGGAAGAATAGGATGAAAACTAACATATGAATGTGAAACAGAAAATAGACTCGGCCGTCGACAAACGCTGTGCTCATACCTCAGCCGACGTCACTCGTCCCCTGGTGCCTTCGGTTCTTCGGACTCCAACACCCCCCTCGAGTGCAGTCTTCCAAGCTCATGAGCCGGCGAAGCCTCTGGAGACGTGGTCGTGGAAGTGGCTTCGTGCATGCGTCTGCGACATTATCTTCAGTGGGGCAGTAGACGAGTGAGAACGTTCCGTCCTTGACATGTGATCGTACGAAATGATATCGTAGGTCTATATGCTTTGTCCTGGAATGGAACTTGTTATTGGACGCAAGGGCGATTGCTGACTGGTTGTCGCAATTGATGGGAGTTGGGGGTAAGGGGGCCTCGTAGAGCTCATCAAGGAGAAGGCGCAGGTATAGTACTTCCCTTGCAATAGTGGCTAGAGCGATATATTCCGCTTCGGCCGTCGACAGTGCAATCAAGGGCTGCTTACGCGAGCTCCAAGCTACCGGGCCACCATCAAGCATCACCAAATAACCCGACATCGAATGTCAATGCGCTTGTGATGCCCAGTCGGCGTCGACGTAAGCCTCCAGACCTCCTTCCGTTCCTCCTAGGGTAAGACCAAACTCAGATGTACCCTTCAGGTAATGTAGGACCCTTTTGGCAGCCTCCCAATGGGCAGGGCCAGGGTTTTGCATGAATTGCGACAAGGTCGCGACTGAGAAAGTGATATCCGGTCTAGTGCTGGTGGCGGCATACATGAGGGAACCGATGGCCCTTTGGTAAGGTACGTTCCTCATGGCTTCAACCTGAGCAAGAGTAGCGGGGGAGTGACCGTCAGTTAGGATAGTGTTTGAGTCCATGGGCGTCTGGGCCGTCTTGGCATCTGTGAGGTGAAAACGTTCGAGGATGGTCTCCACATAAGCCTTCTGGGATAAGGTAAGCGTGTGTGCAGCACGGTCTCTCTCTACCTTTAAACCCAGTAGCCAAGTAAGTTCCCCCAGATCCAAAATCTCGAAGAATTTGGTAAGACGCTCCTTGAAGTGAGTGATGTGCTGGAGGTGCTTCGAAGTGACGGCCATGTCGTCCACCGAGACCGTGACGACGGTATGTTCATCTTCCGCTCATTTGTAGTACACCGCCTGATCCACTTTCGACCTCTCAAATCCCAGCTTCTCAAACACTCCTGCCAGTTCTTCTGACCACTCGAAGCCCGCTTGTTTCAGTCCCGGTAAGCTCCGTTGCAGCTTTAGTACCTTTCTCTCCTGACCTGCCTTGAGATATCCTGGCGGCGCCCTCATATAAATGTCTTCTTTTAGTTCGGCGTAAAGGTAGGTGCTCTTGATATCCACTTGATGGATTTCCCAGTCACAGCTGGCTGCCATAGCGAGTACCGTGCGAATTGTTGACATGTTCGAGGTGGGTGTGAAGGTATCGAAGTAATCGATGCCGTACTTCTGGTGCTGGCCATTGGCCACCAACCTAGCACGGAGTTTTAACTTTTCACTGTTCGGTCCGCGTTTGGTCTCCAGTACGTAGTGACAAGGAATAAGGTTTGTGCCGGAAGGTGCGTCTACGACGGTCCAGGTTCCAAGCTTCTCAAGCTGACTAATTTCGTAGTCAATGGCTTCTTGCCATTCTATGGCGTCAGGGCCATTCAAGGCCTGCTGGAGCGTTACTTCTGGCTCAACAGCAGCCATGGCATGGTGATAGGTGAGTGCCAGTTCGTTGTCAACGTCATGCTCACTTTGCATCTCGGCTGCTAGGGATGCAATGTGCCCTTCATGCAGCCCAGCATAGTAGCCAGGTGGTGGGCATTGGCAGGTGGATCTAGGCTCTGGAGGTTCTTGGAGCGGCTGAGTTGAAGAGGTAGTAGGGTGTGGTACGGCGTTCTGAACATTACCTGGTGCCTCTGGGCTTGGCTCCCCCACGTTCGGTACGTCCGTTGCCACCATCACCATCTGCGGTGCAAAACTGACATTTCTCTCCATGGATACCTTCCGTTTCTCCGGCCAGTATATCCTATATGCTTTGCTCTGGTCGTCCACCCCTACAAACACCCCCTCCACAGCTCTAGCCTCCAGTTTCCCTCCGTCGATGACATGGACATACGCTGGGCACCCGAACTTGCGGGCCTTCTCCAGTGTGGGACATTTGCCATAGACCAAGTCATAGGGAGTGTGATTTGGGGTAGTGCGCGATGGCAACCTATTTTTGAGCCAAGTAGCGTAGGTAACGGCCTCCACCCAGAGAAACACGGGTAACTCCCGGGCCAGGATCATTGCTCGAGCATGGGCAACTAGGGTGCGATTGAGCCGTTCTGCCACGCCATTTTGCTGAGGTGAGTCATGAACTGTTAATTGTCGCTCTATACCCTGATTCCGCAAGTAAGTGTCGAACTCCTTGCTGAGGTATTCGCCACCTCTATCTGAGCGCAACATCTTAACCCAGGCACCATCATGTTGGCGAAGTAGCCAGGCCTCATATTGCTTGTAGCAGGTAAGTGCTTGGCTCTTACTCTTCAGAAAGCTCACAGTCGTCTGACGGGTACAATCGTCCGTGAAGGACATATAGTACAAGCTCCCTCCTAGGCTCTGGACACGTGCAGGACCCCATAAGTCTGTGTGCACGACTTCTCCGTAGCACTCGGCACGAGTCTCGGATTCCTTGGGAAAAGGTAAGCGCGTGGCTTTGGCTTTTACGCACGCATCGCAGAACTGGGGCTGGGAGGTGGAGTCAAGCTCGACACCCTCTACAAGGCCCTTTTTGACCGCATCTAGTACTGTCGTCTGGGAAACATGGCCCAGGACCTTATGGAGATCATAGACAGTGAGTTTCATCTTGGCTATGTTGGCGCAATGAGTCTGACGCGCAAGGATTGTGTATAGACCCTCCAACTGAGGTATTTCGGCGATGACACGACGCTTGGGGCCTGCCGACAGAATCTTGCACATGTTGCCCTCGAAGTGGACAGCCATACCCGCAGATGTGATCCAGTTTGTCGAGACGAGGGTAAACGCCATTTGGGGCGCATACAACGCGTTTCGGAGGGTAACATTTGTTCTTTTGTCACCTAGAGGTAAGTCTATCTTGACATCACCTCTCCCAATAGCGCTAATGGTTGTCCCATCTGCGGTGTAAATATCTTGGGGCATTATAGCCTCATAATTCTCGAACTTCGAGCGATCTGGGCAAAAGTGGGTGCTTGCCCCAGAGTCAATGATGGCTCCTCTCTGCTCCATGGGTACCTTAAGCTGCTCGGCAACGTTCGCAAGATTTGACGTCGCGAAGGCATATTCGTCTGAGGGATTCTGTGACTCAGTAGCCATATTAGCGTTGTGCTTCGGTGTGCGTGCACCTTTCTTCCTCTGGTTGGGTCCCTGACCCTCCTTCCCTCCACCGGCCCTCCAACAGTCGCTCTTATAGTGACCTTTACGGTCACAATTGTAGCACACTGCATCCGGGTTGCTCTGGGCAGGGGTAGGATTAGAGTTCCTTGCCTTTCCTGTGTTTGCCTTTGCAGACAGTGCGGAGTTGCCGCCTTTCTTCGAGCTACGGCGATTGGTGAGTAATCTGTGCTCGTACTCCTCTGTTATTATGTTGACCAGCTCGTAAGGGCTCAATGGCGTGGATGTGATCTTGGCCGTGGCATTTATCGACGAAAGGAGAGGTCTATACAACTCAGGAAGTGATGCCAGGATGATGGCGTAGAAGTCTCTGTCGTCTATCTCGGCACCCATACCTGCCAGGGACTTGCGGAGGCGCAGCATTTCGCCAAAATGGACCTTGACATCACCATTTTCGTCGCACCTAGTCTCTTGCAACCGACGGCATAAGTCAATTTGTACTAGTTCAGTCTTTCCTTCATGAATGTCACAGATTTCGGCCCATATCTTTGACGCCGTTTCTAATTTCTGGACCCTGAGGAGTAGGTGATCGCTAATAGTGCTGAACACCTGCTGCTTGACTAGTGAGTCCTTCTGGACATATTCGTCGAGTTTCTTGTCTAACACTTCGATCTCTGCCTCTGTCGCAGGGCTCCCATCAGGTTTGGTGAACTGCTTGGTCTTTTTGTCGAGGACGTAGGGAGCAGGCTTCACCGCCCGACCATCTGCATACCGCATCAAGCCTCTCGCACCGATAGCCATCAAGGTTCTTTCCTTGTAGGTTATCCAGTTGCTGCCATCTTCGGCTAACTTCAGGATATTGAACAGAGCAGAGTTTGTGGAGGGGAGCGTGTTATCCATGGTCGAGTCAGGGCTCATAACCTGTAGCGATGAGAGGGACTCGAGCGTGGGAGTGACGAGCTATCAAGTGAGTGTATTATCTCAGTGTCTTGGAAGAAACTCATAGACAGTGTATGTACCTATCAAGTGAGTGTATTCTACGGGTATGTTTAGCTCGAATCGTAACGGGAAATAAATGTAAGGCTTACATCTCAGTGTCTTGGAAGAAACTGAGATGTTAGGACACGGGTCTCGTCTTTTTAACATATCGCACGTATCACGGGAAGAATAGGATGAAAACTAACATATGAATGTGAAACAGAAAATAGACTCGGCCGTCGACAAACGCTGTGCTCATACCTCAGCCGACGTCACTCGTCCCCTGGTGCCTTCGGTTCTTCGGACTCCAACATCTCAACCTTCCTTATTTTAACGATGTTGTGCCCTTCTGTTGCAAAGAATATGTCAGTGTCACTCGCAAACACAGAACAGATGTGCGTACTTGTGCGAACCAGAGTTTTCCTCGGCATTTTTGCGCTTATGCTTTGCAGCAACAGAAGTAGGAGCACAATGTGTTGAGGCACCAATCTCATTGTCGCGTTCACATGGATTAAACGGGATGTTGTTGCGTGCACGTCGACATGGGGCTTGAGGTTGTTCTGTGGACAGTGCAGGTGCCTGAGTTCGGTCGAAATGATTTCTGCACCTGGCATGGGAAGCAGCAGGTGACTCATTGGAGTCATCATTCTCCTCCCCTTCCTCGTGATGTACAGCTGGAAGAAGAACCTCCGGAGTCTGTGGGATTGATGTTGACAAACATAAGTGGTCCTGGACTTCAGGATACGAATTCATGGGAGGCACATCGGAGGAATTGAGTGCGTTGATGTCAAAGGTCGGATCGTTTATTGCAGCAGAGAAAGCTGCTGGATCAAACACTGAAAAATCTAAATTGCCCAGTACAATGGGGTCAGACAGTGACGGATCAAGCACTGAAAAGTCCATCGTTATGTGGTGGGCCGCGGCTGCCTGGGAATCAAAGCTAAATGATGCATCACTGGTGGTAGTCGCGTAACCAGTGGGTGATGTATAAACAAGGGATGTCGATGATGCATCATTAGCATTGGGAGGTAGATCGACCCCTCCATCAGATTGAGGAGTCATGTGATAGAGGTGGTTCCCGAGATCCTCTTGCACTTGACTCTGCACACCCTCACCACCGCTCTTTCCCCACTCCTCATCAGAGTCTGAGTCCAACAACAACAATCCATCACTTTCGTCTTCCTCCTCATCCTTGGCTGACTCTGGCTCCTGCGTTAATGTAGACTTGAACGCTAGTCTGAAGGTAAGGGTCGTCTGTGAATAGTATGTTTAAGCTTACCAATGGACTTTTTGACAAATTCTAGGAAGGTGCTCTGCACAGCATCGAACTTGTTGTATGCTTGGTCAAAATGTGCGCCACTTTCAACTTCTCCCACGTGGTAGCTTGGCAATTTGTAAGTACAGTTTCCATATTGAAACTTCACACTCACTTAAACACTGACACTTCACCTGTGCTAGGATCGTGACCCCCCATCAACACACTAAACTTCCACCCTCCAGTCATATGTCCAAGGTACTTGAGGACCTGATCGAGCATAGGGCCGAGTTCGTTGATAGCCCTTTTTTATTAAATTAGGTGAGAATGAATTGTTCGATGTGTGCGGCAAAGGTACGTACTTGATTTTGGCCATCTTGTCTATTTTTGGTGGCTTCCCTGACTTAAGGCATTGACATTGTTTTGTATATCTCGCCTTCATTTCTTCATACTTCTTGTCAATCTTGGCTTTGACAGCTTCGCTTTCGTCTGAATACATATGATGCATGATCTCGTAGTGCTTGTTCAGCTTTGGACCTCTATTGGTGATGTGTTCCTTTTCGATTGCATCGTCTGCAGAGTGCTTGATCTTTTTTCGTAGAACTTGTTGGAATATATATTGATTTTCTGCGGTGCACGTGTTCCTTTCAGATTGATACCCCCAGCTAATATGGTGTCAAATTTCAGCACCCCTCTTACTGCAGCCAATCAAGCTAAGCGGGCAGGATTATTCTGCCATCTGAACCAGGTGGCAAGTTGCTGTCAAGATCCGGTGAGCACATATTTGTTTTGCATGGTGAACATATCCCTGACTTACGTTTTGACATGCTTCTATGTGCCATGTTATATCCTGCTCTTCCTCGGCCATGTAGATATGGTCAGCTGGCAAATCTGGGAACAGCACCTTGCACTCAGGCCAACGTTGAAACCACTCTCTCTCAACACACTTCAAAAAATCTTTGTAGTGCTTGTTCACAGCATGCACATGGAATTCCTCTTGTTCCAGTGTGGCCCATTTTTTTTGTGGCATCTGTCATCACACTGATCAGTATACACCAACAAAAATGTCTCTGTACGCATGTTAACACGTCTGGGGCAGAAAATATTTGGTAGGTAAGCAAGGAAATGGAAGAATATTGTTGTGCGCCCTCGTTCTTCGTCCTAATACCTCGGTCTTTCCCATTGGTGCATGGGGCTGAGTCGCAGTTCCTGACAATCAAGATATATTTCACAACTTCACTAATTTAATCTAATTTATTTTTGCGCCACCTAGATCTGCACGTGCAGGACTACGACCTGTCCTTCCCCTTCTGCATAACAATGACACCATATAGTGTCTCCCCTCCCATCCACTCTTTTGCATGCATATGCTGTCTGAGTCTATGTTCTGGTATGCATTAAATTAGAATATCACTATGTCTATCAGTTGAATAACAAACCTTTGTGGCTTCCTGACAGGGAAGTATGCCCACAAAGTTACTTTGTCAGAAGTCATATACAGGTGGGACATCTGTATGAACAATTTAATCCTTTTCATGCATGAGATGTGAATACAGGTAATTAAGTGCAAGTGACTGACTTATGTGGCAACAATGCACGATAGCAGTATTGAGTAATGCCCGTTGCGGGCCAGATAATTGATCAGGTGGTATATCCGCATAGTGGATATCATCTTCAGGCCAGGTTTCAAACCACTTAGAGTAAACAGACTCCCAAAATGTGGCTGTCTCTTCTGCTGTTCCCGAGTTGATGAGTACATATCCAGGAAGAAATGTTTTGAGCATATCGCGCTGCTCGCATGTCAGCATTCCCATCTGGGACATGGACATTGGGTGAATGGTAGAGATACCTGGTGAAATACCCACAATAAGCAAACCAGGTGTATGGCTCTTCCAACAAAGATTTGCACACAGCAACAAATTACCAGTAGAAGCAAGAAATAACATTCATTAGTACACTGACTAACCGTTTAAGCGAACGATGGCAAATCTTCGAAACACGCTCCAGAAGCTTCAACTTTGTCCAAAGATGGACTCGATCTATCCGCCCTCCCAGGCCCTATGGCAAGTGCCTTGGATGACACCTTTCAGATGATTTATACCATCGGTATAGACTCTGAAATGCACATCAGCAGTGTGTTCATGAAAGCATGATAATAGTATGTATAACCTTCTCGTGCCTTTTCACAGAATGAGCAACAGTGACAGCCTGCTCTGCAGAGAGTCAAGTGATGCCGGGAAAAAGCCTCTGCTCCTCAGGCCAGCGTGCAAAAAAGTGTGCATAAAGGTTGTTGAAGAAAATGATGTGATCCTTGTCATCCTGAAGCCTGAAGTATTCAGGTGAAAACACCTGCAAAAATTCGTCCTGAACTTCCCACAAGGGCTTTGCCTGCTTCTTGATAGACATAGGCTGAGGCTTGGATGTGGGCATCATGTTCTTGGAGCTGATTAGCTGTGGTAAGGAGCAAAAATGAATGTATCTTACATTGAACATGGTAGATTATCAACAAGAGGGATCGTGTCTTGTTTCTCCCATTGAAGCAACTCATCTTCGAAGCTCAACCTTATTAAGGATATTAGCCACTGCGCTCATAGGGCTTACATTGCAAAGATTTACACTATAGTCTGGTATAACAAACCTCCGCAAAGGAATTTTGAAGTCATTTCTTCGTCTATCTCCCTTGTAGCTGAGTAGCACCATAATTCCTCTGTAGCCATTGTGATCGCCTTGGACTGACACATCACACCAGCCACCGCTACATGAACTGAATCACTGGCATTTGGGTGAGGATTGTTGTCCAAAGTTGCCAAGCACAGGAATCCTTGAATGCGCTCCAGAGTCTCAAGATGTTGAGAAAGGTGTGCCTGTATAGCTTCTCGGTTGTCTTGAAAATCTTGTACCATCTTGATGCACAAAGGTTTGATTTCAGCAGAAATTACAACAAGGTTGGATTGAGCATCCTTGATATCATATCTATGAAGAGTATAGCTGTCGTAAGTTAGTCGAATCAGATGTTATATTGATGAAGGGTCGCACATAACACTGTTCTTATGTGCTGGTGGAGAGGGTGGAGTAAGTGACGATAGATTCGGTCTGCAGCAGCAGTTCAATTGACAGTGGGTTCAGTATAGATTTTAAAGTACATACTTGGGGGCCGTGAATGTACTTGCCAAATCTCTATGCTTCGACTTAGCATTGTACCTCTTGCAATGATAATTCATGGTCATCTTGAGCCCAATCTCCTTCTTGTTCCTGTGTTCATTAGCACATAGTCTTGAACTTGTGCAGGAAATGTACTTCTCATAGTATTTTCGATTGGAGCGGCAGGCAGCTTTGAGCCATGCCTCTTCAGTCTTGTGTAGTTGTGGGCGACCCATGAGTGAGTGACAGTGAAAAGCGGTGTGGCAGTGATGAGGTATTCGAATACTTCCACTTGTCGAAATATATTCATCGGAGATTTACGAATTTAAGCCTCAGTATCACGACAAATACGTTCTGGCTGCTCAGATATAATACCAGACATAATATCTTAGTCGAGCTACTGTTGCGAGTCTTTTTACATAGAGATGCTAGGGATTATTTGATCTCAAGTTCAGTATATTCGATTCACCTAAGGCTAGTAGATGAACTAGTATTACTATGACTCTGAGTCCTGTCCATAGACGCCTCTCACAATTCAGTAACATTCCTTTCATCTTTAGCTTAGCCGCCCACTGTGACTGCTTTCGAACTTGCACCTCCTTTGGACTACAAAGCTTCAAGTAGATAGTAACAAGTACACAACCTCAGGACGACCATACATATCATAGTATTCATAACATATCCCAATGCTTATATAACTTACTTACTTGTACTCCGAGTCTCTATACTATAGCTTGGTCGTATTTTCATTTACTCCGCGGTGTCTGATGCTCCACCAGCATCATCTTAACCTGGTTTCAACTTCTGGTCTTTGAAATCTGGAGGCTCGCAGGAAGAGTACATATTATTGGAGATGTTCTGCTAAACAATAGAAGCTCGTGGTGACAGTACATAATAACAGCACCGTTGAAAATAGTACAGTAGCTACAGTAGTACAGTACATAATAATGGCATCATCAAAGATACAGTACATAATAACGGTGCCATTGAAGATACAGCTACATACAGTAGTATAGTACATAATAATGGCGCCGTTGAAAATACAGCTACAGTAGTATAGTACATAATATAAAAATACAGTAGCTACAGTAGTAGTACAGTACATAATAATGGTGTTGTCGAAAATACAGCTACATACAGTAGTACAGTACATAATAACGGCACTGTTGAAAATACAGTAGCTACAGTAGTACAGTACATAATAATGGCATCATCGAAGATACAGCTACCTAGTAATACAGTACATAATAACAGCGCTGTCAGACAATGGAAGCTTGTGGCGACAGTACATAATAACGGTGTTGTCGTCGAAAATATAGTTGTTCGAGCACAGATGCATAACTGATTCTACAAGCACAAATGCAATATAACCATGTAGTATACAACAATGGGGGTAGAAGCAGTAAATATGGCTCTCAAACCAACCACTCAGTTTCCCCACAATCAATCACATTCTCTATCAACTGCATGCCTTCAGCAATTGAACGAACCTTGGAAAAGGAAGCCTGACTGACGCCAATTATGTGCGAGGAAGTTTGTTGCCTAGTCAGGAAATTGGTCAGCTAACCAACAAGAAACAAAATGGATGCAATGCACCAAGTAGAAAAGATACTGACACGGCGACCGCGGGTGACCCAATAATAGGGCCCTGAAGCACTGGGGGCTGGGACATCATATCTAATGCTACCATATAGCTGGGTATACACAATGGCGGCAGGAAGGCCAGCCGTGTTAGTATCAACAGGTGCAGTGGCTATGGTAGCATCAATAGGTGGGATGGATGTGGTAGCGGCGGGATCATCAATGCTACGTGTTTGGTTGGGAGCAGTCAGCACGTTGGCAGTGGCTTCCGCAGTGACTTCATGTACTGTAGTAATGACAGTGTCCTTTATGAACCCACGGAGGGCAATGGTCAATGCAACTGCAGTGGGCTCTGAGATATTCAACTGCTCCAAAAGAGCAGAGAGAGAATCTACGGTCCGAGATTAGTATTGTCCGCTTAAAAAATTGATATTACTTACCACCAGTATCACTGGGACTGTCAACAATGGTCGCTGCAGGCATGGGAGGAGATTCAGCCATGCTCATTGTGGTCATTGTCATCAACTGAATGAGTAAAGGATGAGTACAATCAATGATGAGTACAATGTAGAGTGAATTAAGTGGCACTCACTGGGAACAGGTGCAGTTTTTGAAGTGTTTCAAACCAGTAGATCTGCCACATAGAGGATGTACTAAGAGTCAGAGATTTGGTGGAGGATCATTCAGACGGATGTCAGGGAGTTGGATGAGATTTTGGAAGGCAGGAGGAAGTTGTGTGGGCAGGTCACCGTCGAATAACACATGCAAATATTTGGCTTTGTTTGATTACGATCAGTATCAAGTGTGCAATGTACATTGTCTATTGGTAACTGTATTGCCTAATAAATTCCTGAGGGAGCGTTTTGCTACTTGTTGGTTCGGTCCAAGTCTGATGTGTCAATGAATATCTCTGTCCCAAGGTGAAACAAATGCATGACAGCGAAAGGATGCAGTCTGGGGGATCTATAGGTGAGCAATATTACAATAAATGCAATATCTATACCAACACTGACATTTTTAGGTGGCGATGAGCAGCCTCCACATAGCACAACTCAGGCAGTCTGCTTGCCAGCATGGCAGGAAATTGATCAATGGAAGAAACCCCATGGCTGGAAATGAGCTTGGTTGAATGCGTATATACCACCCACTGCCTCGCAGTCACGACAGGCAGTGCATAGCTCAGTAACCTTCAGAGGACGTCGTGATGGGACAATGCGGGTCAAGCGCTGCAACATTACGAGCAATGTCCTATCAACACACCAGTTTACTCTACCTGATGACGATGGAGACTTGTTTTCTTTTGTGGCCGATGATGATCCCATGTCTATGGATGATGTTCTGGGCGATGATGAGACCTTGCCTCAAAGGTGCAGGTGGATGCCTGCGGTAAGACTCTCACTCTCAGGATGCTTGTCCTTGCTTACTAATTGGTGCTTAGGACAACCCTCTCCTTGCTTGGAAGGGGGAACGAGACATTTGTCTTGCAGAACTGATACATTTAGATGGGCATGGCAATAGTTCTAGCGATGTGTGTGTGGGGAATGTTGTGCTCGTGCCCAATTTCGATGTCTGGATTGCGACAATGTGCAGTTGTACTGTCGCGGATGCACTGTGGCGAATCACTTGCGGTCTCCTACCCATCAAATACAGGTGCGTGTGATCATTTCAACATGGAAAAAACATATCAAGCTATCTGCAGGAATGGACTGGTGTTTTTTTTCCAGGCTGTGTCATTGAAGCATCTCAGCCTTTGTGTCCAGCTTGGGCATCCTGTCGGCCAACATTGCATTCTCCCTCGACAGCCATTTAATGGAGAGTTTGTGCTAATAGACACAAACAGAATCCATGAGATTGGGTTGGATTTCTGTGGTTGTGAAACTTCAAACTCACATGTCAGGCAGCTTCTTCGCCATGGATGGTTCCCATCAACGTCAACTGATCCGAGGACTGGAGCTATGTTTCGACTGTTGCGTCACTTCCAACTTTTATCATTCAAGTCGAAGGCGTCCGCCTATGAGTTCTACCACTCACTAGTTCATCTGACGGATAATACGGGTTTTACAAAACACAAGGTAAATGCTTGGTCATTGTGTCCACTTGCTTGTTTTAAGCTTTGATTTTAGGACCGTTACAATGCGTTCTTGCAAATGGTTTGCAAGTGGCGACATCTCAAGATGTTGAAACACTTCGGTCGTGGACATGAAGTGAGCGGCGTTAATGGCACATCACAAGGCAAATGTGTTGTTGTCTGTCCAGCTTGTCCACAGCCTGGTAAGAATTTGCACGATGGCTGGGCACTTGCAATGAAAGCCAACCAGTGAGTATTATAGATTTCTGAGTACAGAGATGGGCTCATGTGATTCAGGTGGTTGTATGCCATATTTTTGGCCATTGATGCCAACTTTTGTTTCAAACGACGCAATGTATTGAGTGACGAGGCAGATCCCAGTCTGTCTATGGGGTGGTCATATTTTGTGGAGGAGAGCGACTACAAGTCTTATCTAGCCCAACATCTTGGAGAAGCACAAGAGGTACATGACCCCAATTTACTTTCTTGAATGTTTCTTACTCTGTTTCGCAGAAAAGCACATGCTCCAGTCACAATGCAGTGAATATGGCCAATACTAAATTGTCGCAGGGACTGGCTGCTACCGGTGTTGGGACGATAGACTGCGCATGTCACTACATGAAGCATGCTAATGTAGTCGGTGATCTACAGAAGGGTGAGAAGTATGTCAAAGGCTCACCATGCTCATGTGTCAACGTGTCTGATCATTGTACAGGTATATCAATATGGATTACCTTTTCTTCTCTAGCTTGTGCGACAATTCAGTCAAAATGATGAATGTGTCCTACGATATTGCATGTCAATGGCATAAACACCTCTGGTCACGCATGGAATCCCTCCCTCATTCACGCCATTTAGATCACCTTTCAAAAGTCATCTGCTTCTTTGTGCCAAAGTTTCACCTTCCTGCGCACATCGCAAAGTGCCAGACAATATTCTTGTTCAACTTCACTCACTTTGTTGGCCGCATGGATGGCGAAGCCCCAGAAAGAGGATGGTCAAATATCAATCCTGTCACTGCGAGTACAAAGAACATGGGCCCAGGGTGTCGATGAGACACGTTGGACGATTATTTTGGTGACTGGAACTGGAAGAAGGTGGTAGGGTTGGGTGCATCTCTCCTTTGCAAGATGAAAGATGCTCACATTGAAAAGGCTGAGCACCAGGCTGTTTTTGAGGAATTCAATGCCGTGATTACTCCTGAACATCGCACAGGATGGCTGAGTGAAATGGAGGGTTGGAAAGAGAATCCTAATGACACAACATTACCCAATCCATTCGAAACCAAAGCTATTGGTGGGTACTTGACTTTCTGGCAATACATCACTGACAGTGCATGTAGCAATCACACAGGCGGGGGCACGACTAAAACTAGCCGAGCTGGAAGCCAAAGAGCTAGAGTGCAGGACAGATGTCTCCCTGCACCCAGAAATATCACCTAGTGTATTTATTGCATCTGGTCTAGATCTTGAAGATGAACAGTAAGTGGTTATCCACAGAATCTCATAATCAAGCTAAACAAAAATTTGAAGATGTTGTCTTGCTTCTCTGATTGAATCTACAGGTCCTCACGCCACCGATACACAACGGGGCGCCCTCATTCGGAAGCGCAACTCACTCCTGTGTAAAATCAAGACGTGGCAGGGTGTTCAGGTCCTTTACATGCCTGCAGTACAGAGTCTTGTTCAAGGAGGGCACTGTGATGCTTGGACCCGCGCTGGGCAGGAAAGAGCCTATTTTGATATTGATGTCAAGGAGTATAGAACACTATCAGTTTCCCTATCCTTATCCAACCCTCATACATCAAGTAACCCCTGTGCGAAGCCGAACCCGCACTTTCCCGTGCATCGGCCGCATCGGACGCGCGTTCCCGCGCTTCGGATACCTCGGAAACGCATTAGGAAAGTTCCTCATCCATCCATAGTCCGTCCAAACCCCATTGGTATGTGAATTTCCTTATCTCAAGGCTTGTAAAATGTGTTGCAGCCTTATTACATGTCCTTACCTATTTTCTATATTTTCTATCCCTTCCCTCTCTGAGTGAGAGTTTAGACAGTATAAGTTGACTACTTCTTAGTATTACGACTACACTTCCCTCATACTGAATACCTCTTCCTATAGGTTTACCTTCGAAGTAGTCCCTTGTAGTGCGCGCTTTTTAGCCCCTATTAGGTCCCTATACCTCTCTATACCTAGTCTTTCCTTACCTCACAATATACCTTTGCCCTCACTCTCTCCGAACCTCGTTCCTTGACTTCCCTATACCTTGTCTGCACTTTCCCGCGCTTTCCGCACCTTCGGCCGCGCGTTCCCACGCTTCAGATAGCCTCGGATACATCCCCGCACCTTGCGCATTACCTTGTCCGCTATTTTCCTGTGCTTAACGCGCTCTCGGGTCACACATATCCATCATTGTTCTAGTAGCAATTCCCTTTAGGGTCGAACGTGTCTGTATAGACATAGCAGCTAGGCATTAGCTTGACCCAACCTTTTCTTGCCACCCAGCAAGGTTGTTGTTTCCACAGTGCAAAGATCAGAAGACCGCTGAATATATTAAACTGTGGCTACCTTCACAGCTACAGAACAAACCCTGTGATCAGCACCTCCAGAATGACGAGTGGGAGCTATGGTATGCACAAGCCCATGACACTCTCGAAGAACTCCGTCAGTGTCTTTGGATACACTGCTCGCTTCTGACATTCAAGCATGAGTGGATGTGTGGTCAAGGTGCTAATACACGAGGCCAGAACGCCCTCGCTCGTGTGCATGCCCAGCGCACTATGAGTGTCAGTCACTACAGATCAGCTTGGACAGTGCTAAGGTCTCTGGCCATGCTGTTGAAGAAGAAGGACTGGCATGGAAAGTTGCAGGAGCTGGCGGATGACCATATCAAGCCCCTCGTGGATCCCTTTGGGGTTGGAGAAGGACAACATCAGGTTTTGTGGATTTGGATGATGGAGGGCATTGATTGTAACAGCGATGAGAGTACTGATGATGGTAAGTATCCTGGACGTGATTTCGATGTATCTCAAACTAATACATACCAGGTGTGCGCATTGAATGGTGCAAGAGCCGTGTGAGAGCCCTATAATGGACAGAAGAGGTTGAATTTTTGATGGAGGAAATGGGGAGAGTCGTACGATTTTTCGAGTGGGAGGTACAGTGATGGGAAGAGCGGAGAAGTCACTGTGTGGGGGAGTTCTGCTGATACTGAAGGCTTACAGGCTTATGCAGCACGACAGGTTGACATCCATTAAAGGCTCGCTAGTCATTTTTGTGGTCTTTGGGCGCCTTACCTGCCCCAGATGCTGGACCTACCTCTGCCCATCAGATCTCATGAGGGTGAGCTGCGAATACCTGATCTAATGATACCCGATGTCCCCCTTGATGGATACTGATTGCTTCTGCAACAATCTGGCCTGATTGATGTAGTGCCTTGTTCTTGTTCAATGTATTATATAATCTTTGAATTAATTCAGATCGTGATTCAACAGTACTTTAAGTGGCCGGGGAAAAACTGTTAATTGCCGGGCTATGTAGTGTGAGTCTATCTATCTAGCTAGCCTGAGTTATGTCTGCTAGTTAGCATCAAATAATGCATCACTAATGCATCATGAAAGTATGCTAAGGAGCACTGTTGATGCATTACTTGTGGCTGCTAATTAGCAGACTTAATGCATTATTCTTACAGAGAGTGGTGGATGTTGGTTGTTCCATCAGTCATTTGCAGCCTGGTGAATGGGTTGTTGAGATCCTGACTGCTTATGAGAATTGCTCGCTCACCACTGATGTGGGATTTGCCACAGTACATTGCACGATGTTGTCATTGGTATGCATTGGTTCAGTGCATAGCATGAGGTTGTTCACAGTGACAATTGGGCTACCATTTTGACACTGATACACATTGATGATGATAGCTGCATGAGATCCTGGCTTCCAACTCTCATACCATATTGGTATACAGTTCCTAGTAGGCTGCACTCGAATGTTGGAATATAATTCAAGCAAAGCAAAGGACCCATGACTTGTAAGCACCTTTTCTGAACAAACTCCATCAGGAAAAACCTCCCCTGGGAATTACCCATATATTCACAACATTACATTGTTTTACTCGACTTTACTCAGTTTTATGTGACTTTAATCAGTTTTTTCAGTTATTATCGTGTAAAAGTACGTTTCACAAGAATTATGTGCATGTCCTATCCTACATTGAAGTAAGTGTACATGTCTTTGAAAACATTCAAACACTGAAGGCCAAAAACCATTCAACATAGGCAAGATGCTGAGGTGGAGGGTTCTGAGGATTGAAATACCGTTTTAATACTGTTTGTGGCAAAGTGAAGACTGCATGAACCCGTGTGACACGTAAATCTAACAATTATTTTATATCAGCGCAGGATCCAGCGAACTCAAAAAAGTGTCACCTTGTATAGATGCGGGAGGTGCATCAGGATTGCGCACCTGTATAAGGCATGTATCAAAGTGAGCAGCTTTGATGATACGACCTTTGCTGTTCTTCACTGCTGGCTGAGCATGTATGGAGTCGAGAGTTTCGGTCGCATGTATCTCATCATTCCAGAATTTGATTTGGTGGAAGACAGGTACGGAGTCACAGGGAAAATGAATGTTCACTGCACGATCCTCAGTTTGTTGGAAGGACAGTCCCAGGTGATTATATTGGACAATAAATCTCGGTGGGTGGGATACTACTACTAGTCGTGATTTTGGTTTGTGTCAGACTTGAATAGGATGTAAACGATCAATGATTACTAATATTTTACTACAGTTGAGTTTGACAGAAAATCAACAAAGTGTGCACACTCTGAGTCACCTTCCCTCCGGTGTTCCACCACTACTGAAACATTCTGTTCACTTTCACAAATGCGACTGAGCCATGCTGATCCAAGTCGTTTCCCACCATTTGCAGTATGTGAGTCTGTTGATCCTTGTTTGAGCAAGAGCCATGCTGATCCAAGTCATTGCCCATGATGTTCTCCCCAGGACTCATGACCCTCACGCTCATTCGCTTGGTAGCGAACATCCTCACATCACTGATCCTCCATGTGCATGTATATCCTAAATACCTTCTATGATTGAGCCACTAATGTTTGGCGCTGCAGGACTCTATACTGACATACCCGTACATTGAATTTTCAAGGCTGTTCTGATATAATCATCAATATACCCTGACAATATATCTCACCACCTGCTCACTATATCTGACTGCTCACTGTTTTTCTTGTGCTTTGTTTTGCTCGTATGAGAAAACATGGGTGGCGAGTCTGATTTAATTCACCAGTTTCTTGCTATCCACTATTACTAGTACCGCTAATCTGCTCTTTATGTTCTAGTAGGACCTTTCTGCTACCTGTGATACGCTCGTTGACTGGCCGCACATTTTTCTACAATCATTACCATATCTATCATGTATCAAGTCTGGATGACAATATAATGTTTTTTTTGCTTACATCAGTGTGATATTGGTCGTGAATCATTGGCGCAGTGCAGATGCTACAAACATTTCACATTTTTTTGTGTTTTCCTTCACTTTACTGTGATGCTGTCGACAGGGGACTGCAGTTTACCATGTAAATGTTAGTAATGTGAAATATTGTGATAAAAGCTGGTAAAACATGGTAAAACATAGTAATTCACACAATGTTTGGGTAATTTCCAGGTAATACCCAAGGGAGGTTTTTCCTGATGTCAAAATTCTGGCAGGTCCCTCAAAGGCATTGAATGGAATCATTAGCCTCACTCAATTCTTATTTTATTCTGCCATTTTATTTTATGGCCTATAATATAAATCTTGATCGCACATGAAATAAAATGATGTAGAACAGTTTATTCTTCCAGTTTATTTGATGCAGGCATCACTGAGCTTGTAATGTGCTGAGCAGCTTGAAGTACCAGCATTTTGTAAGTTGGTTGGTCTCACTGGCAGTGTAAATGAGTGTATACAATGGACACACCAAACTGGATCTTTGCTAAACAGCTGATAAATCTGTTGCCCTCATCTTTAGTACATGTGAGTTGTCACATAGCAAGAGCTTTGAGTTCCATAGCTAGTTGTCTATGAAACAAACAATTCTGTTTGCTCATATGATGAAGCCATGCCATTGAACTTGATAACATCCAATAGTGTCACTAGACACTGGATGTAATACCCCTGTGGTGTTGGTAAATTGAATCTCTAAGGGTGAGTTATTTTTAGGCACTTGTGCACAGTTTATTCTAGTTTATTCTTGGACTCTGTATCAGTGACAGTTTGGTGATGGCTCATAAATTGGAGAAATAAAATGGCAGAATAAAATAAGAATTGAGTAGGGCTATTAACTGCTGATATGAGAGATCATTTCCACTCCTCACTTGCACATATCAGCAAACTACAATGTTCTGTACAGTGTCACAGGGCCACAGAGCTACAGTATTGTCTAGTAAATATAACAAAACAAACTTGCACTTTTGAAGTTTTCAAGTATCAATGGCAGGAATTGAATTTGACACTTTACAAAGATTAGCCACAACTTCAACACACATTTACCACTACATCATAGTGTCTTGAGTTTTTTTCACTCACAATAATATATATACCAATTATTCTCAACCCTCAATATTGTCTTCAAGTTGAAATCTAGAATCAAACCTTATTTCAACTTCAAAACTTGCCCTTATTTAAATGTACAGATAAAATAAACCTCATTGCAACATATATTTGACTGGAGGTTTAGTAAAATTTTAATAAGCTTTGATTAATACTGAGGCTTAGTGTCAATGTTGAACTAGACACAAGACTTAGTGAAAATTTTGGTTATACTGAGGCTTAGTGTTGATGTTTCACTAAAAAAAAGACTTGGTGAAAAATTTTGTGAGTTCTGTGGATTTATGGTACACTGTGAGAATTTGTGGTGCTCTGTAGGTTCTATGGCTCTAGGATTCTAGGATTCTGTGATGTCTGTCACACTGTGAGATCTATGGGGAAAAATAGTAGTTTGCTGATGAGTTCTGAGTTAACTAGTGCAAAAATCAATCTATGATACTCACTGCTCCTAGTTAAATCCTAATACCAAACTTGGTAAGAGTTTATATTCAGCATAGATCTAAGACATCAACTCTATTGAATATTCCTGGGAATCACTCAAGAAATTGCTTATAGCTTATCAAGATCCACTATATGGGCTATTTTAGCTGTGAGACAATGTTACAGTAAAGTGCAATAAGACTACTAAGGAGGAATACCCAAAATTGATAGAGAATATATCTAGAAGAGTGGCAAAAGTGATTAGGGCAAAAGGAGGTCACACAAAGTACTAGAATTGTAGAAATTACATTAGTCAAACTCAAAGTCAAAAAAGTGTCCTAATGAGTTATCAAATTAAAATAATCATATCTTCATACAATGTTATTATCTTCCTAGAACCTAGGGAATAAAAATAAAGCTAAGAAGCAGACCTTTCCAACACCTCCCTATAGCTTGGTCATATACCCATGTTCTAACACATGATAGAGCAATTATATGAAAAACTATAAATATTAGGACACTTTTTTGAGCCACTATAGTCACTAACCATCTAAGTAAAATCTGTTGACATGTTGAGCATGATCCTTAAGGACAGGAGTGAGACAATGAATGCTGCTTGGTGTGACACTTGGAACCTCCCTGGGCTGTAAAGCATGTCTTTTCATATTGGTGTCAAGGGGTATTGAAGGATATAGGTTCTGCCTCATTTCCTGGTGTTCTCAATGGCAAGCACTTCTCGGCCAATGTTACCCAGCACATTCCCGCACTCATACCCATTCCATGCGCTTCACATTTCCATCCTGCTGTAGGACTTGGAGAGGTCTATTTTCCAATGCATGTTGAATGCTAATCATTGCCCAAATCATTCCCTATCATATCTGACTCAATACGCATCAAACCCGAAAACATCGGACATCGGACATCAGGTTTCACATCGGGTTTCACATTGGCCTATCAGATATCGCACGCACTCGTCCTACTTATGTCCAGTCTCATTGCGCTAGCCCCACTAGGTATGTAGTTACTTGTTTTCACATCCCTAACATTGTTGACCATGTTATTACATGTATTCCCATAGTCCACAGTACATCATGTCTTATTACATAGGACATCAGACCCAAAATATTGCGCTATATCATCCTTTCTTTATCTGAAACATCTGACAGTAACCTACTGTCTTCTTAGATAGATGATCTATAGATAAACACCTACAAAATCAAATATCTCCACGGTCAGTGATTCAGACAAATACCAATGACTGATAATGTGGTTATTCGTGGGTGGCTGTTTACACTTCCCCAAGCTATGTTCGGACAAAAAGTACTTCTGTGAGGTCAGTAGCAATACCAGTCAATCCAACAGTATGGACACAATAGAAAATAAAATAAACAGAATGTAGTCAGCCCAACGGTATGGTGATGACAAAAAGAAAATGATTCACTCCAATGGTATGGTAGTGATTAGAGAACAGAGAAAAGTCAGCCCAACAGTATGGTACTGATAAAAAAAGAAATAGACTGATAAGAGAAACCCTTCCTTCAGTAACAATGCTTCTCGTAATAAATTTACTACAGAAAGTTGTGTGAAATTATAACAATCACCCCCTCAGCACAAACAGGTAGAATCAAAGGTCAGGACTAATTGGTGATCAGTAGAACTCTTAGTTCACTATTGAACCTGCTGCCAAGGAACTCACAATGAGTATTAAACAGAATCAGGAATGGACGTCCTTGGATTTCAGTACCAAGTCCCCTATTCAACAACTAAAGTCTAGCAGACAAAGAAAACCCTGGCTCAGTATCACTACTCAGATGAGTGAGGTCAAGTGTCACTATCAACTTCTGAAGTCTTCCCACTAAGCTGGTGCTTAGATGGACGTAAAGACAACACGAAGATCCTGGAACAAATTCAGAACAATAACACTAGTATGTGAATGAACTGAACAGAAAAAGAGACAAATGAAAAAAAAGACAGAAAGAAACAAAAAAAGGAACAGAAAAAGAAGAAAGAAAAGAAAAGAAAGAGACTAGAGGTTCACCAGTAGAAAATTAAAGAAAAAGTTTTGCTCACTGTTGAGCACAGTGAGCTCAAGATATTTGACAGTTGTTGACGATGAGCTAAAGGTATTGCTGGATGTTGCTTACAATGACCTCTCAGTTAGTTGCTTAACAGCTCTTGTCACTGTTGCTGATACTGATCACACTTCACACTCAAATTTATTTTGTGGGGCTTAAAAGTTCCCTATATGCCTTTTTATTGGCAAAAAGTGGGGTCTTATATAGATAAATTATGGTGGCTGTGCTACTATTTCCCACGTTCTAAGGGGAATAGGCTTAGTCAGATTGTACCAATACTATTTACTGTAGTCATGTGCTTTATAATTTGTGTCATCAAGCTTTAGTCATCTCAAAAGGTTGCTTTGTCATGATTTGGTTTAGGATCATAGGTCACCTGACTGTTAGAGTCATATGACTTAGTATCATGTGACAAATATTAAGTAACAGACTGATTATGTTATTTGTTGGTGTCTTGTTATGATGTTACTTTATTGACCATAGAAATGACGCGAGCCGTGTATTTAGAGTGTTAAGAAAGTTCCCACAAGGCAACTTATGCAAGAACTATTTTACACTGTTACTTGACATGTGTGGGATTCAGTCTGAGTCATTGTTATTGCTGACTAAGCAGAATTTACCGCAAAATTAAATATACAAGAATATTCAGCCTATCTGAGTCTGTCTGAGAAATGAAATGAAAATACTATCTGAACTGCAGTCTGAACCATAAAGTAAAGGAAGATTGTTCATAATGATTTCTAGGGTATCAGGCTCATGGGAGAGCATTAGTCATCCATGCACCGAACCGGTTTGGTGCAGGTCACCGCCATTCGCTATCCCTGACATTCACTATATTCCTGACACAACCCGAGGCAAACCCGAAACCCGAAAACATCAGACCCGATGTTTTTGACATCAGACTCATAATTATACCTTCGGACTTTGTTTCCCGCGCTTCGGACTATCTTCCTTTTCATATAACTAATCATTCTGATACCATACAGCAAACCCCTCGGGTCGAACACACTTGTCTTGCAAGTATAGCAGACTAGGCTGTGCATGACCACAACTATAGGGTTCCGGATTTCTACATATCTACATAAATATTGGACTCCCCATAGCATCATCATCATCTGAGTAGAGGAGAATCGTCTCTGACACTTAGGGGTCAAACCCAATATTTTGTAGTTCTTAGTTGACATTGTGAATATCATCATCCCTTCACCATCTGGATCTGTCATCATTATTATTGCGCACACTGCTCGCTTTCCTGACACTCACTATTGTGTCACTATTAGTTCTGATACACCAAACCCAAACCCGATAACCCAAAACCTGAAAAACATCGGACCTGACGCTTTTGCATCAGACATCGTAATTATACCTTTGGACATTGTTTCCCACGCTCGGATTATTGACCCTACATCACTCACTGACCCCCAAAACTATTACCAGACTGCAGACCCCTGGGTCGAACACACTTGTCCTGCAAGTATAGCAGATAGGCAGTGCAAGACTACAACATAAAGATATCAGTTTGGAGCCATCTTTGTATAGCCCCACTCTGTGTTGTATACCTACACCGCACTGTCTGTCCATGTCCTTTCCATGTCCACCTATCTCTGCTGGTGTGTGTTTGTTTTCTCTTTCGGTTTGACTAAATGATAGCAAGGCTTATTACATGTATCTGCATATTCTGTTCCACACATATTTTCATTACATATTACTTATCTGCTTTGTTTTCATTGCTACAGTTCTCGCCTACAGGTTCTGGATGCTCACACAGTAGGATAAAATCTCATGCTGTAGAGATACAACAATTGCTGGGCACTACACAAAGTAAATGACCAGCAATATAAAAATGTGTTGTGGTCGTGCACAGCCTAGTCTGCTATACTTGTAAGACAAGTGTGTTCGACCTGAGGGGCTTGCTGTTTGGTATTAGAATAATCAGTTATATGAAAAGGAAGATAGTCCGAAGCACGGGAAACAAAGTCCGAAGGTATAATTACGAGTCTGATGTCAAAAACGTCGGGTCCGATGTTTTCGGGTTAGCGTGTTTCGTCGGGGTTGTGTCGGGTTTGCATCAGGAATATAGCAAATGTTGGGGATAGCAAATGTTGGATGTTTCAGAGTGTTTCGGATAAAGAAAGGATGATATTTGTGGAATTCAGCTAAGAACTACTAAATATTGGATGACCTCCTCCTACTCGGAGGTAGAAAGGTAAGTAATAGGTAGGAGGTATGCAAAATATATAGTGTCTATGTAGAATTTCGGAGTGCTATAGGCGAAAGTAGTAGCACTGATTTTCGGGTCTGATGTCCTATGTAATAAGACATGATGTACTGCGGACATGTAATAATGTGTTCTACGATGTTAGTGATGTGAAAACAAGTAACTGCGCACCTAGTGGGGATAGATATGACAGGACAGAACATAGGGAGGAAAAGTGTGCGGGAAAATATTGGGTCCGATGCGGCCAAAATGTTGGGTTCGTCGGACTAGCGTTGGGTTTCGTTGGATTAGCATTGGATTAGTGGATTAGTGTCAGGTTTAGTGGATAAACATCGGATTGAGCGAGTAAGTGTCAGATAACATTGGAAGTGATTCGTGTGCAATGGGTGTTTGACATGCATGGGAAAATAGCTGAATATGAGCCTAGTGCGAGCTCAAGTGCTACAGCGGGATATGTTATTGCTGCACAGCTCTCCATGCTCGTGGTCGGGTTACATGTAGCACCATAGCATGTCTAGTGTGCGACCTCCCAGCAGTGAGAAAGGCCGCCCAGCTAGCAGGGCCAACAAGCCATTTTTATTGCACTGCCTGCCATTGCTGGCACAAGTCGACTTCCAGTAGAACAGATATTGAATCTGAGGATTGGGGACTTCAAGACAAGAGTGAAGTGCGCCAGTATGCCAAGCTCTGGAAGAACACCAGAACTTTGGCTGAGTGTAACAAGTTATTCATATCACATGGGGTGTGGTGGTCTACACTCTGGAGGTTATCTTACTGGGATCCCTTTCATCAAATTGTTGTCAACATTATGCATTGTCTACTGGAAGGCCTTGTGCACACTCATTTTCGTGAATTCTTGGGTCTCACAGCTGATTCTGCACATCGCAAGTCTGACACCATCTCTGCTTTTGATCATCCATCCTTCAACATTGATCTCAACAAACCTGAAACATTTACTGAGAAAGATGTTAGGGCTGTCAAGTCAATTCAGAGCCTCCTTACAGAAGCAGTTCCCTACCTCAAAGGAAATGACACCGAGCTTATTGAGCACCACATTTTTGAGTTAGAGAAGAAACTGATGTCAAAGAAGGTCGTATATCTTTGGTTCATGTCGGAAGGCTTGGGCATCAGGCCAGATGTCGCACACCCTGGCAAAAAGGTCTACAAAGCACACTGGGTTAATTGCTTATTGGCTGGGTAGATATTTTATTTATTGGTGTTCTTTTACCCTCTCAAATTGCACTTTGTAGCGTTGAACACAGCCTTTTATTCCTAGGCTGTCAAAATTGCACATTGCTACCTCAGAAGTCATGCGACGTATTGCTGATGTTATTCGGGACACTGATATGGTACCATTCCAACCTGCCTGTCAATGATAGAATTCTTACACTGCCTCCTTGCAGGTCAGCAAGAGTTGACTCTCCTCCACTCATACATCAAGGCTGCAAAGCTCAAATACTGGCTGAACTGACCTTCTTGTCCTCCTGTGTTTAGGGAGGTGAAGTTGCTATTTGACAGATTCGTGTCTCTCCCAATCAATGCGACTCCTAGTGATGTATCTGAATGTCGCCCAACATCACTCAGACCAAAAGGTGTGATTCCAGAAGACCTCTCTCAGCTCATTAAAGTTCAGTGGGCAGTCTTACATGCTCGCATACTCCACAATGACTCAACCTACACTTGCAACTCTACCCATGCAGGCAACAGCCTAATTCTCTATTATCCTGGCAGTGTCAAGAGCATGCAACCAACACCAGGTATTATCAAGTTTATTTTTGAGACTCAGCAAGGAGTAGCTTTTGCCATGCAATGTCACCTTCCCCTGCACTCTTACCCAGATTCTTTCCGCCACTATCCTCACTTCCCAGCTCATTTATATTCATCAGTGCTCTCTGACCATCTTGAAATTGTCATGCCTGAGTGGGTTGTATCTCATTTCGTGCAGTGGAACTTCTCTGTGCAGCATATTGTTGCAGGTGTCTTTGTGCCGGGTGTGTCCTCCCCTCTTTGACATGTTATAACAATGGTCTGTCTCACAATGAATAGGATTGAGTTGCATCATTTGCAAACATTCCGAAACTTTGTTATGTAGTCATTCACCATATGAGATGGTGTAGGACTTGGAGTCCTTGTGGCCTCATAGAGGTCTATTTTCCGATGCATGTTGAAATGCTAATCATTGCCCAAATCATTCCCTATCATATCCGACTCAATATGCACCAAACCCGAAAAACATTGGACATCAGGTATCAGACATCAGGTTTCGCATCTGCCTATCGGATATTGCGCACACTCATCCTACCTATGTCCAGTCTCATTGCGCTAGCCCCACTAGGTGCGTAGTTACTTGTTTTCACATCCCTAACATTGTCAACCGCATTATTACATGTATTCCCATAGTCCGCAGTACATCATGTCTTATTACATAGGACATCGGACCCAAAATATTGCGCTACTACTCTCGCCTATAGGGTTCCAGATTTCTATGTATCTACATAAATATTGGACTCCTGTTAAGACCATGCACAAAGGGTAGGACTGATTCCGAAGGGCTTGGCTTCAGCTCGTGCGCTGCGCCCCTTACCCGAGTATGTGCCCTTGATTGCAGATGACATCCGGAGGAAGTCCAAGGAAGTCCTGTAGGACTTCCGAAGGAGCGTGGGAAAGTCTGGAAGGACTGTCCGGATCCGGATGAGTGCGAGAAACTTCCGGAGGGGTGCGGAAAAGTTCTGGAGGAACTTCCGGAAATTACTATGAGGTTTTGTCCTGGTACAGATATGTGTAATGGCTACTCAGGATGAATCCTGAGTAGAATGGAGACAGAGGAAAGGCTGCAGGGACAATGTCCGAAGCAGAATCGGTCTGGAGGACCACGGGAAAGTTCTGGAGGAACTTCTGGAAACTCAGAGGAATGGAGGATCGGAGGAGTGGAGCTCTGGCCTAGGGAATTCCTCCCTAGGCCTGAGATAGATATTGACTAAGTCGGAGGACTAGAACTAGTATGAGGACTTAGTGTGAGGTCTAGTGCGAGGACTAATATGTGTAATATTCAGACTAAGGAAATACAGGAGTTTCTACAGGGTTTATATACTATGGAGGACATAATGGAGAATCAGTCAGTGCAGTCTGAAGCTATGTGAGGCTGTGGACGGAGGATGTAGAAAAGTCAAACACTAGTCTATCAGAAAATAGTACATTAAGACGGAAATGAGAACATAGGAAAATAAAGGCGGAAATGAAATGAGGTACGGAAAATGAGTATAGACTAACTCGAGAAGGAACATACAAAGGGAAGAGGCACGGAAGATAGACACGGGTCGGATCCGGATGTCCAGAGATGTTTGGATATGAGGGAGTGATTGGTCCGGGTCCGGAAACAGGTAATTACCATAAGGGGATGAGCGCTGATTTAAGGTTTGGGTTCGGATATGAAGCATAGGTCGGATCTGGAGATCCTGAGAAGTGGATATGAAATCAGGTGTCCGGATATCAGATCTGGATGTGTGGATATGCAAAGGTACAGGGATTCGGGTGTATAGACATCTGAACAGATAAAGAACATGGACAGGGGATCCGGAGGTCCGGATGAGGCGTGGGAACATTGTTGGATGTAGGTCCGGAATATGGGATATGACAACTCCCCATAGCATCATCATCATCTGAGTAGAGGAGAATCATCTCCAATGCTTAGGGGTCAAACCCAATATTTCATAGTTCTTAGTTGACATTGCGAATATCATTGTTCTTTCACCATCCATATCCGTCATTGTTATTATTGCGCACACCGCTCGCTTTCCTGACACTCACTATCATGTTACTATCAGTTTCTGATACACTGAACCCAAACCTGATAACCTGAAAAACATCGGACCTGACACTTTTGCATTGGACATCGTAATTATACCTTCGGACATTGTTTCCCGCACTCAGATTATTGACCTCACATCACTCACCGACCCCCAAAACTATTACCAGACTGCAGACCCCTGGGTCGAACGCACTTGTCCCGCAAGTATAGCAGATAGGCAGTGCAAGACCACAACATAAAGATATCATTTTGGAGCCATCTTTGTATAGCCCTACTCTGTGTTGTATACCTACAACGGAACAATACCCTTTGGAATAACCCTACTCTATAATGTAACTTGATGTTCAATTGTAAGTTTAGGAGCTTTGAATAAAGCAATGTAAAGTCGACCTGCATAGCAGCATCTTGAATGAGCTTCTGCTCATTCAATTAAGAGTTAGTACTGTTGTGTGCCCGCAGTGCAATGGCACTTCGGTAAGCATGCCCTTGATTAGCAAATATTGTAATTTACTTACGTGCTTCAGGTTCAGTTCGGCCCTGTCATCTACATCCAACGTGCGGTTCATCCTGTAAGTGCCGACCATCATTACTTCCATGTACTAACTACTTTGACATGACCTGTAGTTTTATCTATTGAGGAACACATGTGAAGCATCGTGCCTGCTTGATGTGGAGGCATCTAACTAGGTACATCCATCTTGGATAATGACACTGAGAACTAACAATAGAAAACTAGCATAAATATTTGAACCCAACAACCAGTGATTGCTACTCCGGTCTCAAGACTTCTCCCTCGCATCCAGCTACATATGCGCCAGGTGCTATCACTCATTGTTTTTGGCATCAGGAGGACACGCCTGGTAACAGAGATGAGATGCGAGCCTCACCAGATGTCCTTACTCCAGGTTCATCATTGCCTGCAGTCTACTCCGATATCTGCTTTGTGCTCACTTTTCAAATCAATCATTCTTGGTGTACCTTAACCATCCATGGCTTGTGAATTTGCATGATTGGTACTGCAAGTGCATTGCGACCAACTTATAGCAATGCCCAGTGAACACACTGAGCTTTTCCCTTACTTTGAGGGTTATTGTGGCACCCCCATCTCGGCATTAGCACCGTCGCAGCAAGGTGGTGCTGTCCATAACATTGCATATTGTTGTTGTCCAGTCTCAGGTAAGCCTTTGAAAAAACCTTGAACATGGTTAATACAAGTACTAATTCTATTGTAGCTGTGAATATGTGTCAATAATGCATAACCCACTATCTCCACAGGCAGCCCACCCCTCCTGTTGATGAGTTTGCAAGTCTGTCGTTGACAGAACAGAAAGCACTGTGTTTGCTTGCTGATGGCAAAGGTATCCGCATGTCATCTGACGAATGGCAACATCGAAGCTGGTGTTCGTAAGTTTTACTTTTTTCTGTTCCTTCAGTTAACACTCATGATGGTCAATGTTACAGGGATCTGTAACACCTACTAGAGCCCCAGCTCTCCCTACGCCTGCCCCCGCTCTGCTAGACTCCCCGCGCGGCGGTGCGCCGCCCGCGCCCAGAAAGACAGTGGTCTGGACCGCTATGACCCCGCCTGGCGCTATGACCCCGCCCCTGGCCTAGAAGGCCTTGTACCTGTTCTATGGAGGCTGTACGCCTCATGGACACCCTAGATCAGCGCATGTATACCACATGTCGCTTCATGAAGATCCGGAGCGCGCTTGGCGCTTCCTGTACCTGCCTGTACCTATGCGCAGCTGCCCTTGGCGCAGCATGCTTGATCAGAGGTTAAGCCTCATGTACTTATCTACACCTCATGTCTGGTTATCATAGATTCACGATATACTATTGATTACAGACTGAGCTAGAATACTTGTAGTACTTCCCTATAAGTAGACACAGATTATTGTACTTAGACTTTACTTTAATCTACTAGGTTCATCCCCAGAACTTGCTCATCTAAGCTTAACTGCTTCCTTGTGTGAGACCGCACTTCTAAGTCGCCCCCATACGACTTAGCACGTATCCGCTAGCCCTGCATCTCGACGAGCGCCGTCTTACCGAGATCGCCGGAGGAATCCTTGACGTTCCGTCAAGGCCAGACCACGCTCAGCTTCAGTAGACTCACTCGAGTCGTCGCTGAGAAGACCTATCCTAGTTCGCACACGCCGACCTACAGTCGACGTAACAGTCAATAGATTTCACGGATGTGTCTCACTTTGTCCACCCGGAGACTGCAATGGATAGCAAGGCTGCTGCTCGTGGATCTATGGTCTACCTTGTTGACAAGCACATTGACATGTTACCCACACTTCTTGGCACGAACCTGTGCTCCCTTCAGACCGCATGTTGAGCAATTAGTGTTCTCAGTTTTTCTATGTTGGGCTTATCTAACTGATTTTGTAATAGGAAATGACTGAAAATACTGAAATAGTAGACCTTAAGAAAATTTTATGAAATCTGTTATCACATCCAAAGCTGCATTTGAGTATGGAGAGGCGCAACTCCAAAAAGATGACTCATAAGTGAGACATCTCTCAACCTATTTTCCTATAACGCTAATGACTCAACTGCAGAAAAATAAATGATAAGCGCATTCGACTGTTGAACTCCCTTGCGCAGCAACTGAAAGCCAAACTGATAGCAGCTGGCATGCTCAACCTCGCATTGCCTGAGGTCAAAATTCACCTCGATAGCTCCAAGTCATCCGATCTGGTAGGTGTGGAACAAAAGGCGTTATATGAGACAAACTCTCTGGTTGAAGAATTCATGTTGCTGGCCAATACCAGCATAGCAAGAAAGACTTGAGAATATTTCCTGCAAACATCAGTACTGAGGTATGCTTCTCTTGTCTGCTACATGTATTTTCTCAGCCTTTCACAGACGGCATCTACCATAACTTGACATCTTCAGCTCGGGTGCACTAGCAGAATCCCTCGATAAATGCTTGGTACATTGTTTGTGCGATCCTGCTGATCATTCCACTGCCTCAGGATCCAACAGAACCCGCTTTCAACACATTAGTGCGCATCATGGCGACAAGGTGCATGCTGTTTGTGGAATACTCCAGCTCCAGCAGTATCTCACAAGATACATTTGGACATTACAGTCTTGCAGGGCCAATTTTACCAGTCCTATTTGTCGCTACATGGGTACATGGCCTGTACAACACTTGACAGAATCCCTTGTATTACATTTACATTTCTCAGATGTCCTTGTGTGCCATCAGCTCGCTGCCGCCATTAATTATACACCACTACATCCATCTCTTCCCAAATGCACGTTGAGCGCATCATGGAAGTTGTTAACAGGCATCACTGGATGGCACAGATGGCAGGTCACGCTAGCATCAAGTTCTATGTTGAACTTGTGCTAAAAGGTCGAAATGAGAGGGAAAAGAAAGTGACCGAGGATGCCTTTGTCATTAGGACATTCCGGAATGGTCTTGGGGTGTACATATCTAAGTAAGTTCCCATTCATTGTTAGTCATTGAAGGCGTCCGGAACTGACTTACTGTTCCAGTGATGTTCAAGTGGGACACTCAGTTTGACGCAGAGAACTACACCATCAGTGTCCCTTTGTCCAATACTGGGCGACCGGATGTGACAATATCTGTTTTCGACAAGGTCATTGTGAGGATTGAGGTTGATAAAGATAAGAATACTCAGAGAGGGCAGGTTAAGATGACGCTTGTCAGTCCTGTAGATTCAAGGGCATTATAATATTAAATGTCTGAGTTGATAACCTCGCTTATTTGATGAATAGCTTGCATGTGAGTATTTCTGGTCTATTGCTATGATACTCACCCTATGTTATGTGGTGTAGATCCACCACTGTCCGGTGTAGGTTTACAACTCAGAGTGGTGCTATAGGCTCCAAACTGATATCTTTATGTTGTAGGTCATGCACTGCCTATCTGCTATACTTGTGAAACAAGTGCGTTCAACCCTAAAGGGGAAGCTAGTGCAGCAAAGGTCTAGAAATGGATGCAGAAGGTGCCACTTATTGGCCGATGCAGCGCGGGAAAGCGGCGGGTGCACACGCATAGTGCAGGAACATAGCAGCGGGTGAAAGCCGAAAGTGTGGGAATAAATGCGGCTGTGAAGCGGCCGATGCACGAGGGGTTCGGATGATAATAGAGATCAAGGACAATAGAAATAGATGTAGAGTGAGGCGATAATGGATACGATAAGAGCGATAAACGGATACTGATTGCCAATAGCTACCAACTGTAGGCTAATGGGAGTTGCTACTGGAAGGTCTGGAAAACAAGCTACTGAATGATATATCCTGCTAGTGCTTAAGTATTGTGCTAAGCGCTGTCACATGGAACCGAGCTGACGCACTACCGAGTTAGTTATGTAAAGCTATATGTAAATAAAGGTGGTGCGATGCGAAAATGGTCTGATATGTAAATATAATCATGAAATAACGTACCATTGGGTTGGTTTTGGACTACGGATGGTGTGGAATGTCGGCTGATGAAGCGCGAGAAAAGCGGCCGCTAAGTGCGGCTGTGCGGGCACACAGGAATCTTGTGGCCATCGTGGGAAAGTAGTGGCCACTATGTGCGACTCATGGGAAAGCTGCGCTTCATGTAGGAAAGTAATAGGGTGCTGAGGGATACCACAAAAATAGCCTCTATGAGGCTGTAAGGACTTCCAGTCCTACACCGGCTATAGGATGCAGCAATGGGGAAGCCATTGGGTGAGCCCTTCCAGAGGCACACACATTGGGTTTTTTTAATCTTGTTCTCGCTGGATGGTACTCGCATCAAAAACCTACGGTGTTTGGGAACCCATACTACATAACACCTTAACCACGTTAAGAGAACACACTATCTACATTCTTCATAATCTGGCGCAGACACTGTGTTTCAGATATGCTCTAAACCTAGGAGGCGCTCAATGTCATTCAGCTCCTGCCATAGTCAGACCAGTACATCACATTTATCTGCCACCATTAGAGCAAGGAGGCATTTGTCACGATGCGACATTAGGATGGCGGGGTGATGGGGGCACGGAGTGTGTGGCTGAGTCTGCATATGCTCTAGATTATCTTGCACAGTTTGATATGCATAGTTCCAAAGAGCCTAGTACATATTGTAGTTAATGCGCAACTATGACGGTCACGGACTTGCCATCACGGATGTCATTACTGCAAAACTTTTCCCTTGAGCTTGATCAGCCTGCTGCCCCTGACAGATGATGCTGTCAGTTCCTGTACATCTAGTGGACCATTCTGATGCACGATGTCGGCTTCAGCGATCTGATGTTTTAACATTAGGATATGCGCAATTCAGATGATATGTACTATGACTTACATTGTTTAAGTTGCCATTAACTTGCTGCACAGACGGCTTTGTCAATCCTCATGAGAATGCACGGACTATCGACAGCAACTTACATTGTTCATGTTCTAATTGGCTTCAGTCATAGTGTTTGATCAATGAGATGCTCAAAGTTGTATTCCTAACCCTAGATTATTCTGTGCCAGGCTCACACACTGTGAGAAGTTTGCTGGTCATTATAAATACTAGTAAATATGTCCCATTGCCCAGTGAATACCCACTGAATGCCCAACCAGTGCCCATATTATTGTATGCTTGCTAAGACTTCACATTTTTTATTCACATTTTGCCTTAGGCAAAATTTGAATTTCCCTGAGGTGAGAAAATGTTTGTCATTACATAATATTTTGCAGAAGATTTTTCTGCAGGCAAAATGTTGTATTTACTATTGGACAAAATTGTATTACAAAATGTCATATTTGTTACATCATTGTTCATATCAAAAAAATTCCAAGTATTTTATACATTCCCCGAGGCCCAAAATTTGTATCAAAATGTGTTATTTCGCTTTGTCATTGTACCACACGTCTAAATATGACATTCTTCCAGTGTCAAAATTGCAAGTGAAAATACCTAATTTGTCAACCACATTTCAATTCAAATCTTGCCTAGGGGAAACTTCGAAACTGCCGCTGTGTTAGTGCATAATGGCCAAACATCAGCAAACTATTAATTTTGTGACAGGTGTCACAGGTCTATGGAGGGAGCGACTGGACAATTAAATTAAATCAAATTTTTCATGAAAACTTTGCTCATGGCACAAAACATTTGGCTGTGTGACAAAAACATTTGCCATGCGCCGAAAAACTTTACTGGTATGACAACTTATTGGGTTTAATTTTATCTATACTAAGCTAATGGGCTGCGTGATATCTAGCATCGTTGCGAGCAACGTGTTCTTCTGTTTGAGCTTGACTCAAATATTCACTCTCAGTGGGTGTGCTCGGTGCTTGTTTTGGTGGTCGCACCTTTCACGTGTGCTTAGGATTAAGTCAATCCTTTTTCAGGCACCGTCCTCCTATGGTGGAGCTATGCTTACTTAGCAGGCGGTGCTGTGTTAGATTGAGCTTGCCCTCTTTCTTACCTTTTCCGTCACCTTGCTTGGTGAGCTCATTCTTAGTTTGTGTGAATACCTCTTTCTTACCTTTACTGTCACCTCGCTAGCTATATTATGACATCGTAGCGGTGCCAAGTGCCAGTCACAGTTGACTTGCAAAATCCACACTTTCTTTGTCTCACAGAGTGCACACACGAGAGAAGGAGTATAATGTGCACCATTTGTTTGATCCTGGATCAATCATCATATGACACACTACCGATCAAATGACCTTCACAGCTCACAGAATTCCCATGACCCCCATAACTTGCAAAGTTCTTATGAGCCTTGCAATTCTCAGAACTCCTATGACCACCGCACTCACCACAGCTCACAACCATCATCTTCCTCGTTTAATCCAGTGTCATGTGCGTCACACTCGCACTCCAATTCTCGTCTCTCCACCGTGTCTCAAGCCCACACAAATGAAGAGTCTGCCTGGGTTGATCATTAGCAACATACCCTTTGCACTCGATCCCCCACTTGAAGCCTGTCATCATTCGCTATGTTTGATGAGGAGCGGGAAGATAATGACAGAGACCGGGGGCGTGGCCAGCAGAGGTGACCAAGCCTAAAAAGTAAGATCACAGATACATTCCGGCCATCACACCACAGGACGCGATCAAGTTCTGTCAGAGCCTCAGAGTTCTGAGCTCACTGGCACCAAGTTAGGAGCCTGTCTTCTCTCCCCATGAGCAACACCAAATTAATAGGTATGTCTTACCTCATGCTTGTACGATCCACCTTAATTTGATTCTCACAGTGTGCGGATCCTTCTAGCGGATGGAGTAGCCAAGATCTGAGTCATCGAACTCAAGCTCTCCCGTGCGGAACATATTTCTCAACTTGGGAGTGACCAGGTATGCCTTATGTATCCAATCCAACCATTGGTAAAATCTTGTTTCACATGCCTTCCTGCAGCCACGCTGGAAAATAATGCCCTGGATCCTCTGTCAACTTGCAATGTCGTGTCCTCGCACTTGCTGGCTTCGGTAACCATAGATGGAGTAGAGGCTAGCCAAAGCGATAGGAGCTAGATATACTGAGATGTGCAGAGCCTAGGTGGTGTATCAATAGCTCACACCATAGAAGGAAGACTGTATCGCATCTCTCCTTCAACCACTGTTACTTGTAAATTAACAATGGCCCATGTTAATGCTGAACTACCTCTTCCATTCCAAACAATTGTGACAGCCTTTTCGCATCTTAAAGAAGCAGTGCATATTGCCCTACAAACACCACTCGGCGATGAAGCGTGATTGCAGGAGCAGATACAAGTCTGCCTGCAGTTACAGCAAAGCATCACACAGGTGCATAATCTGATTTTCAGAAGTAACCATGTAATGGAATTCTTGTTTGTCCTAGCACCATGCTATTATTCCACCCATGGATAGAGATATAATGGAGCAAAGTATTCAAGATATGATTGCTGACCTGGGGGCAGCTAAAACTGTGTCTTCAGATGTCCCTGATGTCGAACCAATGGCTCACACTTATGTTGTGCATGGGATTGGTTGAGGGCGTCCAAGAATGATGATAGACCCAGAGGTGCTTGCAGTGTCTTATCAGCTCCAAGGGCCCACGGAGCTTGGTGAGATATTTGGTGTTTCTGCTCGAACTGTCCGATGCAGGGCCCTAGAACAGAAGTTAGTGCAACCAGGGGAACCTGTTTATATCACATATGTCGATGAAGATGGTCAAGCTCATCGAGTGTACCAGTCATCAACTGGTTCACAGTCTACACTCTCAGACGAGGAGCTTGATGCTACTGTATTGCACATTCTTAATCTCTTTCCAACATTTGGTAGACGTATGATTGATGGGCACTTGCTGCACCTCAGGCAACATGTCCCCCGCAGCCATGTCCAAGCTTCTTATGCTCGTGTCAATGGACCCCCTGTGGCAGCATTTGGAGTGTGCCGTATCTCACGTAGGGTGTACAACGTTGCTGGATATAATTCCTTGGCACATCATGATGGCCAGCATGGTGAGTATAATATATATATATAGGGTGACCATACTGTGCCTATACTTATTTTAATTGCTTTCTAGGCCTGATCTGCTACAAAATTGTCATTCATGCCTTTATAGATGGTTTTGCTAGGTTTATCACTGGGATTCGAGCCAGCAACAATAATCATGCGGCAACTGTATTTGACTTGTTTCTTTCATTGATTGAAAACCATGATCTACCATCTCGAGTACGCGGTGATCATGGTGGCAATAATGTTCTTGTTGCTAGATATGTGGAGGAACAGCGAGGTCAAGACAGAGGGTCATATATCTGGGGGAGGTAAGACTCAAATTCATTTCACTCTGAATCAACGTAGTTCAACATTACTGCAGAAGTGTGCATATTATCCGCATCAAGTGGTTGTGGGTGGACTGGACCAGCATGGTCGGGTCCAAATGGAAGTCATTCTTCCAAGATCTTGAAGTGACTGGTGGACTCAATCCCGATAACACGGCCCATATTTGGCTCCTACATCACCTTTTCTTACCTTTGATTAACCACAAGGCGATACAATGGGCCAATGCATGGAACATGCATAAGATGGCCTTACCAGATGGACAGCAAAGTTGTTCACCCGCTGATCTTCGGTGGTTTAGCATTCTACAAAGTGGAGCACATGGATTTGATGCTGCAAGCTTTCAGCCGCCCGAAGAAGATCTTGATGTTGATGAAATTGATGAATATGGTATCAACTGGGAGGCATATGAAGATCAGCACATACAGGCACATCATACAGAGGGTAACCAGCCAGACCACCTAGGTCACAATCCCTTTGTTGCTCACTGACCTGATCATTTCAACATTGTCCCCTGTCCCCCCAGCATCTCACTATCTTACATCAGTATATTGTAAATATCCCCGACTCTACCATGACAGAGAGGAAGATACTTTGGATGGAGTCGATGCAAGTGTGCACACAGTTTGTTTCATAAATAGAACTTTTGTACTTCAAATGTTGAGGTGTATCTACTATGCTCATAATGTGCAATGAAACATTTAAAAATTATTTTTGCTTGAGTATATCCATCATAGCGGAGCTTGCGCACCAGTCCCTGACTCCTGATACCGGGCCACTCTGTATTGCTACCCATTGCTCTAGCGCCAGATGCAAGGAATCCTTCAAGTGATATGAGTGAAATTTCAGATAGTACATGACCAGACACACACCTGACCCTTGCATTCAGAGTCAATAGCATTAATTGCAATACTGGCTTGCAATGCATTGTAAGACTTTGATTGAGATCCATGTAAATGGGTGTATGCAGCATGGGAGCTTCTTCCTCAACATCTTCAATCCTGGATAAGATAAGCCTTATGGTCTCTAGCAATATACAATGTGGCTAACCTGTGACAGACCATGACCATATCCATGATCTGACTCAGTACTTTGACTGCGCCTACGCGAGGCCCATGAGGATCGCAAAGAGGTGAAGAGACATGGCTACCAGACAGTTTCAGATCAGAATCAAACTGGGGAACGGCAAGAAAGTCACTAATCATTGCCCCGAGTTTTCGCAAGTTGACGTAGTCATACGTCCCCCATTCCCTGACTATGTTCCTCATGCTGCTATCAGAAATTGAAGAGGTAGCGGATGCAGAGCAATCTGTCATAGGAGGTAATGAGTAAGTGCTGTCAATGCTAATGTCATTTTCTATGTCCTCATCCTGCTTGCGGCCCAAGCCCAACCCTAGTATATTTGATGTCGGTGTTCCAGTTACAATCCATTTACGCTCAATGCTTAGCTTACGAACGAAGTAATTTAATGTGGCAGCCAAGTTTCCTGAGGTATGAAGCCTCTTTCAGAGGATTTGAAGAAGAGGTAAGGCAGCTGGATTGCTGGGACAACAACAGTTTAGTATACGGCTGCCAGTAAATGGAGCACAAGTGCAGGGTTTAAGTTTATGCAAATGAGCAACTTTGTTGTTCACCAACTCCCTGCGAAAACCTGAATGTAATAAATAAGCACTGAAAAACATGAAGTATTGAAACGCACGACTATCCATCATAATAATGATCAACTTGCATATTTACAAATTAGCAATCCAGTGTCGGTGCAGATACAATGCTGCGTACATCATAATCAGATGCCAAAGCCTTTGAACTTGGGATTTTTATTGTCTGTTGGATGATAAGATATCTCAACGTGCTACGACGATGTTTCAGAATTTTGCTTTCCCATTGTCAAAGTGAATTAATGGGCATAACAAGTGTTGCTGTTGTTAGGTGCATTAATTTGAATTGATACCTCGTAAGATGTTCATCGCTCGACTGTCCTCTCAATGGACGTGGCATGGGCAATGAGGAGAGTTGGCGCGCACAGTTGTCGCCTTTCTGTGGGTAATCAAAGGATGAGTCCATGTCAGGTGAATGCTCTCCAAAGAGAGGTGATCCTGGCGAGCTGGTCAAGTTGGGGGAGAATAGTCCTATGGAAATGCTTGAAAGACTCGTTGGATTTGATGGTGTGCGCGTTCGACCGAGCACACTGGGACTGGAGGAGAAAGACAACTAATTGTGGTTAAGTTCAACGGGTGAATATACATAGAAGGAGTTGTGCACTTCTGAGTCACTAAGAGCAGGCTAAGATCCACTATCAATACTTTTGCATCTGCTGGCAGGCGCAGGGCGCTTTGACCAGCTTGAAGGGGGCTGTGTGTCCAGCGGGATTGTGTCAGTTATCATTGGTTTGGAGCATGCTTGCTGAACCGGTGATGGCGAACTGCCCTGTATCTTGGGCATCTATGAAAATGAGGAAGGTTAGAACTTAGCATAGTGAAGCAACATAAAAGCACACGATACATGCACCTCTGTAACTTAGAAAAAGACGCCCACAACCCCTCGGCCATGCGCAACACCATCAACCTCCAATAAAATGTCAGGCTCATTTTGGCAAGCACCACACTCATTCGAACTTTTGAAGATCATGAGGGGCACATAGGGGCAGTCGCAGTGTTCCCCAATAAGTGTCGACCTTGATGTGGCATAGCGTGTGGATGTTGATATTAGTACAGAGAATGTGAAGATGTTTAAGAAGAACTTGTCATGGTGTGAGTGGGACTTGACCTAGCCTAAACAAGGCTTGACGTGGTGGTGCAGAGTATAGAAAGTGGATCAAACTTGACAGGGTGAGGTTATGGCTTGATATGGTGAGACTGTGTCTGAAAACCAACATAGATGAATGAATCAGAGGTAATACAACAATACAGGACGCGCATGAGACAATGTTCAGAAGTTGTTTCAATTGAAAGTAAAGATATCGGAGACATAGGGTAAACATGTTCAAGCCCTGACATGAGCGAGCACCAAGGACTATACAGCCGTCAAGGTACAAATGGAAACTACTCGAGAATCTCTGCATTTCAACCTATATGAGCAACCGCTCACTGCATGCGTGCCAGTTCCATGGGAAGCATAGAGCATGTTTCAATCTTACCCGATGTAAGACCTATGGTCTTTGCAGCCTCATATAGGCCTTTTTGTGTCGTCCCTCTGGTTCTAATTGCAGTGCGTGCAACCTTTGGTATAGCACGCATGTCTTATATCGTCGGCCGATGGCCGCGGCTCCCGCGCGTGCTTCAGCTAGCGTCGGCTTCTCTTTGGATCCGTCGCACGTCCTCCAACCATCCTATCCATATCCTCTGCTGGTTCATTGGTGCGTATATTACTTAAATTCCCACTAGACTAACAACAATTCCCAAGCTATTCCAATTATATTTTCATTAAATGTGTCATGGACCCTATTTACATACATCTCGCTACCTACTCGGCTCCGAATATCGCTTATGTGCACATACATATATTGGATACTTAGAATTTTCATGTAACTACTCTCTCCCATCAGAATTTATCACCCGTTTACATGCAAAAGTTATAAGCCTTGACTAAAAGTCTAAAATCTTCGGTACTCTCTCACGCGTGCACTTCTATCAGCGGCAATTGTCTTGCATTCACGTATCTATAATATCCAATGCTCTCGGCACTCCTCATTGCCCGGCTCCGCCCTTGCACCTTCAGTACCTCTTCGCAACTCACCTTCAACTAAACCGCATGCTTTCGCATTTCGTCACATTGCGGCCGCTCGCGCTCGCATCGCATCGCATTTTATCGCATCTTATTGGCGCTTCATCTATGCATATATCACATCACATTCCCAACGGCTCGCTCACGCTCGCATCACGTCAGCTTCGGCTTTTGTGTTTTCTTTTAGTCTCAGTCACCCCTTATTAGTTTCTATGTTTCCCCTCACACTTTTACTTAGAGGAATCATTCTCAGTAGCAATCCCCTCGGGCCGAATCTATACTCGCGTCCAGAGGTCTATTTGAGTTTTTACCCCACTTCCCCCTTTCTCCCCATTTCACCCCTTCTCATCTAGCTATCATTCCTCACACACACCGAGAGCTGAGTGAAGTGCAGTTGATGGTTGTAGACGGAGAGACAGGGAGATATTATTGAACTTACCAGTGAACCAAGCACACAAGTCAGCCTTCATATCCTCATCAATCTTATCCATCATGGACTGATACAATTCGACGGCTTCTCCAAAACTACCTGCTCGAAAGAATGCGCAACACTGTTGTTGGTTCGCAGTTTACCACAAGGACTTGAGGTCCCAGCCAAAGAGCTGTGGAAAAGACATAGTAGAGCTCGAAAAAATATTCAATTAAGTCATATCAGCTCACCATGACAAATTCATTGTACGTCAAATGAATTGGTGATTTGTAAAAGAAAGTGCTAGCATTGACAAACAGCAGTGAAGCATTCAACAGCTTCATTATGGTGTGTGCCATCCAAGGCAATGTCTCCCAGTTGGACGCGTAGATGGGCCTGGTGTATGGAAGGCAATAATCAATGACCACACATGAACCTGGTGTGATTGAGCTTATCTCCACGATATGACAGGATCGACATTGGGACACGCAGCTAGCTCTCAGATGCGCAGCATTGCTTCTTGATGTTCATTTGCATTGAACAATGCAATGGCCTGAAAACTGCAATGAAGCACAGAGTATGTTGAAAAATATTACCTGCTTAATCAAGAAAAGGAAGTGGTCAGTCTTTAAATTTCGGTTCATGAACATGGATGCGAGGTCAAATGATATCCTCACAGCCAGAACCTGCTATTTTCCAGAGAGGGCAATATTAATGCCCTTGGAGATATGGCCTGCCAACAATGGCTGAATGCTGAAGCACGGACAGACTATGCCATCATCAACGTTAACTTTTGTAAGGATGTCATGATGGGTCGAGTCAGTCTCACCTGAATTGTGTCTTGAAATGCTTGGTTCCAGTCGCATTTGCGTGCCATAACAAATGCACAATTGGCATAGGTGGTGTGATTGTCAGCGTCAGCATCAATATCTGTATTCAGCATTTTTAGCAGTATGCCAGTCCCCAATTATGCATGCGTTGCGGACTGTCGAGTTCATAGTGAGGATCATGAGGGGCACATAAGGGCGATGAAAAGGAACACTGTTAGAATATCAATTATTATGACAGATCTAACATAAAATATACCTACTAAGTTATATGGACAGAGTAACAGTTGAAGTGGTGAGGTTTGATGCAGCATGTGACAGTTGTGACGCAGCACAAATGAAGTTTGACATGGCACTGATAGTAGACCTTGATGCAGCATAGAGTGTGGATGTTGGTATTAGTACAGAGAATGCGAAGATGTTTGGGAGAAGTTGTCATGGTGAGTGGTACTTGACCCAGCCTAAACAAGGCTTCTGATGTTACGACACACGGTCGTGTGCGACTAGGATGATCTAAACAGCGACAACCACGACAGTGGTACCGAGTGCTGAGAGTCATCGGCCTTTACAGACAAGCAAAGGTTGCGTACTCGAACGTAGCTCGTGGTGGTTAACGAGGGGTTATGCTGAGATGATAGTGGTTTACAGACAGTGAGAGGCGTCACTGAAGGTACGAGTCGATGTCGAGCAGGTAGCTTTAGCGGGACAAGGAGTTCAAGGGTAAACCTAGTAAGATTAAAGTAAGGAACATCTACTTTAATCTTCGACCTTATATAAGGCTACTCTTCGTATCTAAGCTCAGCCTAAAGCTGGGTTCTAATCTGCTTATCTACATGAGTCAGAGATAGCGTCCATGAGGCGGGCTTCTATCGTAGATAGGGTCTATGCTGGCACCCTTCTATCAGTACATGAGGCAACACGAGGCTTGCCTTCTATCTTGATAACATAAATAGGTCTTCTAGACCTATGTCGTCATGTGTCGTCATATGCGGTCCAGACCGCTTATCTAAGCCGGCAGTTGCCACTTATCGTCTATCATCATCTATCGTCATCTATCGTCATAGAGCTGGTGAGACTCCGGTATCGTCTATAGCCGTGCGGTGGCAGAGGGCTGTTCTGGTGGCAGGGGACTCATGCCATGTTACTGTAACATCTGACATGCCATGGTTGGGGCTTGACGTGGTAGTGCAGAGTATAGGAAGTGGATCAAACTTGACAGGGTGAGGTTGAGGGACATGGTCATGGTCACGTGATTATCGAAACCAAAATTTCACTCTTTTGTTCCTTAGTTAGTACTTACCATTGGGTGCCCACCCATTCCAGAGGCCAATACGAGCACAATGCACGGCTCCCCCTAGTGGGACACTTTCAACTGCTTAGGCATTGATCCATGACCATCCGCCGTTAAGTTGTGCCACTTAGGTCCCTGGGAACACTCAATTATTTTATTTGACTGCTGCAGGTGAGGGCTCTGCTATGGCTGGAGGTCTCCATGTGGGCTCAATGACCCTGTGGCAGTCAATGTACTAATCATATGCTTTTATTCTAGTGTTATCTTTGACTTGGGTGCTCTCATGGGGTGTTAGCACCTTGCATGTGCACATGTTCATGTGCTCCACTTCTCCGTCTTTTTTTGGTGAGCATCCTTTTCTTTTTGGTTTGATTATACTCCCCTCCCTACGAAGTCTGGTATGGCCCACTCCCTCCCTGAGACTGAGTGGTGGAGCACCACTTCCCCTTCCACCACATCCACATATTTTGACCATTTTTTTGCTCACTCTCTATCTAATTTACGTCCTGACCAGCGACTGCTGCTACCCAGGTCACGAGGTGAAATCATCCCTTCAATTCATCTGCATCACCAACACTAACATTGTCTTCTCTTTCAGTGTCATTCCAGCGCCAAGAACGTGTTCTGTTCATATCCGACTAACACTGTTTTCCCTCTCTTTCCCTCCCTCACTTGTTCTCAGTTCTTCTCTTCTCTCCCTCTCGTCCTAGAGCCATTTCTTTCAGAATACTAATGAAGCTGTAAGTAAATGATCTTGTCCTGATCCGTTTGGTTTTGCTCAGATTGTATTAGCATGTCCCGGCCCCAGGTACACTGGTACCCTTGCATACACGTAAGTTTCTAAGTTTCTGCAGCTCAGGGATGAATTCAGACTGACAATAATTTCTTATTTCAGTCCTCTCACCACCACCGAACCCGCATCCTACTACTGGGGTATCAATGAGAGCATCACTTATGGCACCACGACCACCTTGGCCGAGATGGCTGGTATCGTTGACACTGGCACCACCCTCATCCTCCTTGCCAGCAGTACATATCTCGACTTACTCTCCTTAATGGTCTAATAACTTCTTCCCATAGGTCATGAACTATCCATCTATCATCTCATTTGCGATCAGCCACAATGCTACAGGGAGCCTCAAAGACATGACTGCAAACCTGAAGAACAGCCAAGGATGGGTCTTGATTTGATCCCTTCGCCTCGCTTCACGGTCGACCATGTCACCCGCGCCGATTGCTGGCAATGGCTTCTGACACCAGTCTTGACTCCTCTGCCAATACCTCTGATTGTCAAATTTCACCATCCCATTTTTGCAAGTATGTGATTGTTTTTTATTACTACTAAATGACCTGATGTACTCTTCAAAGCACGGACACGACGATTCAGAGCTACATCAATATTCTGGATGGTCTCATGTGAGCAGCTCATGACACCATTGTGATTGTCCACTATGGGTAAGAGAAGCTTTCGGGTATATTTGAGCTTGATCTGACATTCCACGACTCCTGGCATAGCTGAGAGTCTGGACCTCACAGGGATGGAGTACGCAATGGACGCCAGATTGAATACATCTAAATGCTGTTTGCCAAATACTCGGAAGACCTTTTGAAGGACATTCAGAATTGGATCAGCAGCACCGAGGAGGGTGCTCCACACCTTTCATGGTTGTCTGGCACAGCAGACAAGGGTAAATCGGCCGTTGCCCATACAAATGCCGACTGGTATATTAGTGGTAGTCAGAGTGGATAATTTTGAGGTGATTCAGTGTGTGATTCAGAAAACGATTTTGGATGCTGAGAATCAGATTTTGTGTTGAATCATGCTGAATCGTCGAAGTGCCTCTGGAGGTGCTTCTTGCGATTCTGAATCGGATTTCAGACTGTAAACAGCTGTATTTCTCTCATTTAAAAATACAAATATCTAATTAAATATACTTGTCCTGCGTGCAAGCAACTGTGAGCACCCTCTCTGCACTAGAGCAGCATGGCACCCAAAGGAAAAGGTGTCCAATCTTCGCCGAAAGCTCATAAGAAAACACCCATCAAAAAAGTCAAAAAAGCGCAGCAAGTGGGTACCAAAGTCGAAGTCGGAGATACCACGAAGGCTATTGAGAAGGCTGAGAACGAGAAAAATGATGAGGAAGTCCCTGACATCGAGTGCATGAAAAATATCAGAAAACAGATGAAACATAACTCACCTTGAGCTGTCAGTTGGACAGATACTTTGACCTGGTCCCTTGTCAGTGCCGTGACATCTGATGACACCATCTGAAAGGGCTTGTACCCTGAACCAGGTGCAAATGCATCAACTAAAAATGGAGGAGGTGCGAAGAAAACAGAACACCACTGGGCACTCTGTAAGGTTCTGTTTGATGGCCATGAGGAGTATGGCAGTGCGTTCAAAATCGTACTTGGCAACCCAAAAGAAAAAGCCTTACGACAAGCATGGGTGCAAAAGATCAAAAACTGAATGCAGACGTATGTCATCGTTTTGTTCTGTGATGTTTTAATACTGACCCTTTTGGCAGTTTAGAATGAAAAACACTCACATATGTCAAGGAGATGGGAACAACAGGAGCTGGCATTGAGCGTGAGGAAGATATCGACATGAGTCAGGTTAACAGCTTCACTACAAGATGAGGTAAGTGCCACTAACTCAGTCATCATTTTCCGTCCTGACACAACTTTACCAGCGCAAATTAAAGAAGAATTTCCGTGGTTCTTCGAGATGTGAGCTCTTGTGGCTAATCATCCTAGTCGGATTCCTACAGGTGTTGGTAACATGGATTCAGCTGCCGACCTTTCAATTCTGTTACTGAATGATAGTGAAGAGTTCTATGAGTCACAGAGTGAGCCTGCAGGATTGTCTGATGTAGAGCATGATGAAGAAGACTCTAGTGTTGATGACACAAAACCTCCAAAATGTCGGCATCCAACAAAGGTTGAAGATCCCGCCGATGAAGATTGCAAGCCTGCAAAGAAGTTAAATGTTGCAATGAGCACTAAACCATCCAAGACAAAATCATTCCTAGACAGGTATGCCGAAGTGGCTGAGCAGGAAAAGCTGACTGTGCAGAAACTGGGCTGATGCACTCATGGCCAAGGCATCACTTGCTGTTGTCAAAGCAAAAGCCAAGGCTCAGATCAAGCTGGAGAAGGAGAGACGCGAGACTGGAGAAGGAGAGGAGGAAGACTGAGTATGCTTTGAGGAAGCTGGAGCTTGAGCATCAATTTTGCATGGCTCAATTGCCTCGCATTGACCAGGCTGGCCCTTCACAAACACACTATCGAACAAATGATGATGATCCATATGAACTTCCAATTCTCCCACAACCAGAGTACTCCAATGGTGGAAGTTCAACTAGCTATCATAATTACTAGACTTGTGACCGATGTTGAGCTCTTTTTTGTTTATATTTGAGTAATGCACCTTTCAGCTGCTCTCAAAACCTTTTGGCTGATTTTAAACGTTGCTGCCATCCATTTTGTGCAACTTCAAAAGAGTTATCTTCTGAGTCCGAAGATGATAAGAGACCTTCCTCAATGAATGGATCATGTGTTGGTGTGTCGTAATCACCATCCTCCATCTCATCTGCCTCGCACATCATTGCAAAGGCATGCAAAGTAATGCAGGCCACAGTCCAGTATGTGGCAATCCGGTGAGTTGCTTTGTCCTGTATTTTGACACGAATACCTTTGAGTGAGTGAAAATGCCCCTTCAAGTAGCCAATGGCATGTTCCGATTGGATATGAACCATGGAAACATGGTTGTTAAACATCCAATTATCAGGCTCCTCCCGTTCCAGCATCTTATAAGGTGCAACCACCCAAGTTTGTATCTGGAGCTTTATGGTTAGTCTACTCAGGCTTCAGCGAATAAAAACTCTTACTGGGTATGCAGAATCTGCCCAAATGAATTCCCCATCTTCGAGTATGTCATCGTGGTTCTGAGCAATGAATGTCTCTTGCCAAGCGCTTGCATCATGAGTGCTCCCAGTATGCCCATAGCTAAAATCAATAATCTGGAGATTTGGGAGTGAGACGATCTATTAAAATCATCAGCTCAAATATACTGAGTTGCAGATAAAATATATAAATATAAATACTTGGACATTCAATGAATAATTTGACTTTCGGTCAAAGTAGCTTTCTCCATACCAATGAGGTCGGTCATAAAGAGGAATGAGTGTGCCATCAACTAGGCACCACCCGTTCCTCCATGCATGACAGGAGTGAGCTTCAACCCAGGACTTTGCAAGTTCTTTTTCATCTGCAGTGGGAAATTGAACAGCAGATTCACGGAAAGATGGGCGAAGGACAGCTGTCATGACTCTGCGGGTGATGAGGTGAACAGTTCCCTTGCCAAGCCCAGCCCAATCTGCAACTGCCTGCATGCTGGCTCCATTACCATCATGTCCAAAATGATATAGTGCAACTGCGAGTTGGTCAGCAAGGGGAATTTGTTCATTCTGGGAGTTGTTGGAGAACACAGGATCAGGTGCAAGTTTGGTGCAGATTTTGTCGAAGGTACATGGGGATACTCGAAAACTCTCACGAAACTTGTCAGAACGTTGTGGCTTCAGGACATCTAGCACATGGCGCATTTGCGATGGGCCACGAGGAAGCTGATTGCGAGCCATCTGGTAGCGGTGTGAATAAGAATCACGAATGAATTCACACACAAGCCGGCCCAGGTGTGCCTCCGCTATTACAGTGGGTGAACTGGGAGCAATATTGTCATCGTCGTCGAGCTCATCATCAGCCTCAGTGCCTGAGTCAGGGTGCAATACTGCAGATTCCAAGTCAGAGCCCATGTCCAAGTCAGTACTTGAGTCTAGCCCTGACACTGTACTGAAGCTGGATGGATCCAAGTATACTGATGAGTCGTCCAAAAATTCGTTGGTGTCTGACTTGGAGGCAGAAGACGAGGATACTATGGTGCCAGTGAAGGAACTCAAATGGTCAGAACTCATGGACATGCTGGTATCAAGGTCCGAGTCTGAACCGGATGTTAATACTGAGTCTCCATCCTCGAGAACATCATCTGAACTGTTGAATTCATGTCCTGTCAGGCTTTCAAGCCTCAGTTGGTGACGCAAGCGGATTTGCGCTCATTTTTTCTTTACCTGCAATGCAAACATAATTAGATTCTGTACTTGCACTTGCCTTTGTGTCCGTCATGGCATCTTAAGTGTGTGTAGCAGCAGTCTGCGTCACTGGTGTGCTTGAAAGAGATATCTGGTAATTGCATGTATAACCTGTGAGGTAGCTTAGCATACATATATAAATAATTTACGAATCCGACGAGAATCGCATTGAGAATCTGTTCTGGTTGTGGGGTGTTCAAAGTGGATGGTGATTTTCACGTGATTTTGAATTTTGAATCATCTCGTAATCACACACTGAATCACCTCAAAATTGTCCACTCTGACTACCACTATTGAAAATGGTGGTCTTGGCTCATGCTTCTGCTTCGATTGTACAGCTGCTTTTTGTATATTAGCAAAGTCTTTCAGAATGATGAGGTGTGCAAGATACCTGTGAGACCTTGCGAAGTTAGTGAGCCAAATGCGCAGATGTTTCATTGTGGCATCTATGATGAAGACCAGGATCCTTGCGATGGGTTACGGTTGATGCTCAACTCAGTTTGAGTTGTATGGTCAAGATCTTGGCACTGTACCATGATAAGATGGCATTTTATGTGGAACAGGCCTCCTTTAGTCTGCCTTCACCTCAATGATGACACTAACATAGACTGACAGGTACATGGATGAACCTGTTGTCGAGGAAGAAGGCACCCAAAATGATTTATTGAAGAGAAGGTACCGGTGGGAGTACACTCATATTTGGAATTTGGGTCGCCTCCAAGAGGCATTGCCATCTCATACACCTTCATACCATATGGTTCACTTGCTTCTCATCTTCTCTGCTTGGTTCCACTGCATGTTAATCCTCCAGCATGTCACCCGATCACCTTGGTACTGTTTTTGCAACTCTACTGAGGTGTGTACTACATCCATTGTATCTTGTACCATTTTGTACTGACTCATACCCTAGCCTCTGCCAGGTGCTTGATTGTATAGTATTGTTCATGCAACTCTACTGAGCCTCTGCTAGTGTACACAAATGGGTGCTTGAAGCTTTATCACAGTGCATATTAAGGAACTTGTCAGTTTTATAAAGAACTAAGAAGGTAATACCAATCTGGCACCAACCCTTCCGATCGCTCACTGGCACTAGAAACTGGCGGGCAGGTGAGCAGCATCTCTTGTCTCTTTTCCCCCCACCTCCACATGCCCACCTGCCTACAGCCCCTTTCACTAATGTCTACTAATTCTGTTGTCCCTGCCAGATGCTGTGTGTGCGGTGATGATTGCGCTGTCTATACACCATGTACACCATCAGATTCACAGGTAAGCTATGCCTTGGAGGTTGATGCCCGCTCACTGGTGTTTTCTAGTCTGATTGCTATTGTGGTCATAGACTTACCCAGCATCTGCTGCCAGCTCCCAATTTCCCTCCCCATGGGGGTCTTCAAATCAACAATATTATGTGCCTAGGTTACCGAACTGTATGCAATGCTCCAGTGAGTTTCCCACTTTCTTGCCAGAACGCTTCAATCCTAAAATTGGGCGGTCACTAGATATCAGATTTCCGTCAGCCCTGCACTGGCTGTACAATGGGCTATAACGCACACAGCCCATTAGCTTCTACACCTCCTGCTGTTCTATCCACCATGTCCAGACCCCCATCTGCCAGTACTCCAAATTCTCATAGCACTTCTGCATTTTATCAGCCTCCATCTGCATCTTCACAGCCACATAGAGCCCTTCTGTTAAGACCATGCACAAAGGGTAGGACTGGTTCTGAAGGGCTTGGCTTCAGCTCATGCACTGCGCCCCTTACCCGAGTATGTGCCCTTAATTGCAGATGACATCCGGAGGAAGTCCAAGGAAGTCTGTAGGACTTCTGAAGGAGCGCGGGAAAGTCCGGAAGGACTATCCGGATCCGGATGAGTGTGAGAAACTTCCGGAGGGGTGCGGGAAAGTTCCGGAGGAACTTCCGGAAATTACTATGAGGTTTCGTCCTGGTACAGATATGTGTAATGGCTACTCAGGATGAATCCTGAGTAGAATGGATACAGAGGAAAGGCTGCAGGGACAAAGTCCGAAGCAGAATAGGTCCGGAGGACCACGGGAAAGTTCCGGAGGAACTTCCGGAAACTCGGAGGAGTGTAGGATCAGAGGATCGGAGGAGCGGAGGAGCAGAGGAGCAGAGGAGCAGAGGAGCAGAGGAGCAGAGGAGCAGAGGAGCAGAGGAGCAGAGCTCCGGCCTAGGGAATTCCTCCCTAGGCCTGAGACGGATATTGACTAAGTCGGAGGACTAGAACTAGTATGAGGACTTAGTGTGAGGTCTAGTGCGAGGACTAATATGTGTAATATTCAGACTAAGGAAATACAGGAGTTTCTACAGGGTTTATATACTATGGAGGACATAACGGAGAATCAGTCAGCGCAGTCCGAAGCTATGCGAGGCTGTGGACGGAGGATGTAGAAAAGTCAAACACTAGTCTATCGGAAAATAGTAAATGAAGACGGAAATGAGAACATAGGAAAATAAAGGTGGAAATGAAATGAGGTACGGAAAATGAGTATAGACTAACTCGAGAAGGAACATACAAAGGGAAAAGGCATGGAAGATAGACGCGGGTCGGATCTGGATGTCCGGAGATGTTTGGATATGAGGGAGTGATTGGTCCGGGTCCGGAAACAGGTGATTACCATAAGGGGATGAGCGCTGATTTAAGGTTTGGGTTCGGATATGAAGCATAGGTCGGATCCGGAGATCCTGGCAAGTGGATATCAGATTTGAGTGTCCGGGTTTCGGATCTGGATGTGTGGATATGCAAAGGTACAGGCATCCGGGTGTACAGGCATCTGGACAGATAAAGGACATGGACAGGGGGTCCGGAGGTCCGGATGAGGCGTGGGAACATTGTCGGATGTAGGTCCGGAATATGGGATATGACACCTTCACTTTCCCCCTATTACTGGGTCACCTCTGGCACAATTTTCTCGTCCTGCACCTCTACTCATGACTCGCATGCCTGCTACTTCATCATCTTCCCAGCCTGCTATATCTTCTTTGTCACCACCTGCATGTTCTTGGCCATCTCTTCCGCATTACACCCCAATCACTACTCCATATTCTCATAATCCACGCTTCAGTGCCACTCAAGTTTCACCCAGTTTTGGTGTACCTCATGCAGGCATTCCGATGTCTACTACAGCTGGTCACAGTCATGTTCATTCTAATAGGAAAACTGCCATGCCATGCCATATCACCAGATCAGTGAAGCAGGTCTCCAAGAAACAGGTCAACATTGTCATTTTCCCTAATGAGGTGAGTCTGCCGGCAAGCAGTAGTTAATGCACACTGACTTGTATATCTAGATTCATGCTGCACCTGCCACTCCTGACAGTGTTGATGACATCTTTGAGGATACTTACCTTTGTTTTCCCCGCTGCATTCATGTTGGGGAGCGACTTGCCTCTGATCTAAATGGCCTGCAAGATTTTGGCCTTGTCCACTGCATAACTCTTACTGCATCCTCACGCAATGAAATCATAATGAACCAAGTGTATTTTCCACCAGAGCCTGAATGCTCTTTTGATCTTGATGCATCTGCACCCAACCGCGAGTTTCGGATCCAGTTTCAACATCTTCCATTTCGCCTTCTCAAGATCAGTTACCAGATGCCTAAAGGGCACTATCTGTCCTTCAATGCTACTGAAACATGGCAAGACTACGCCTTTCATGCACTATCCAAATGTGTCAATCAAATCCAGCATCCCACTGATCCCAATGTCGGACTGCTTATTATTTGTATGTATAATGCTGTTCGCTCCACGTGCACTTACTGACTTTATGTAGGTCCTAAGTATGGGCCTCTCATTGGACCTATCCAGCAGCACAGCACCCAACATCACATGTGTTTTGCTGATCGAGCATTCAAAATCCTCATTGATGCAGATGAGGAGGAGTTAGAGTATCAAGGCTTGGAACCTGGCGACACTGTTTCTGTTGAGTGTAAGGCATTCTGCCCATTGATGGCTGGCACAAGCCGACGTTCTCAATGGGCTCCTGCTTCAGTCCCGAGTCCAATTGATAGTGATGGAGATTTTTATGCACCTCCAACAATTCTCAGTACTCCTGACAATCAGCCCTATGCGCTTCCCAATCTATCCTCTCCAGCTACCTCGCTTTTGTCTATCTCAAGTCCTTCACTTAATTCTCTGCCGGCCCTTGCAAACCCTCAAACCTCTTTCCCTACTGTCATCGACCTGACCATGTCATCTCCCAATAATTCCTCACGCCTCCCACACTCACCCCTGCACTCGCCCATCATTCGCCGTGATTCCCCACACCTTCCGCTCCCACCCCTGCAATTGCCTATCGTTTGCCATCAATCTGTCTACACATCACCTACTCCACCTCCTTATGAGACCTTACTCGAGGTTGATGATGCCATAATGAGGGCCTTTGGCAGTGAAGTTGAGCATGGCATGGTCCATGTCCGTGGTCCAACTGTCAAAGCCTGTGCAGAGGGCTTGATAGATTTTTATGTCAGTAGCGATGCAATTCCGACACTCCATATGCACATTCCTACCATGTCAATGAGCGATTTTCTATCCGGCCCCATACTCAGAAGCTGTCTGACAAGATCTATTTGACTCTGAGTGAAATAGGACATGTGTTAAATAAATTAGTTCATCATTCTATTGCAATTATGTGATGTTACTGATGTAGTTGTAAATAGAATGGTAGTGTTGTGGTGATAATAACTTGACTAGATTGACTTGATGAAATTTTCGCATTTTTGATATGTGATATTGGGATATATTGGTATTATTGTTATGATATATAAAAGGTCTTGTGGCCTAGTGGTAATGATGATGCAGTTATAATTGCTGCAGGTTCTTTGGTTCAATCCTCACCAATTGCAAAATATCCTGTGTACCACAAATTATCTGATGTGACATGTGACATAACATGGTGCCATATCTTTTGGTATTTGTGCTTCGAAATCCACAAGCTTTACAAGGTGCCTTGTACAAGCCTGCACAAGGGGGACTTAGCTGTAGGTTCTGTGAGTCTGTACAAGCTTGTACAATGCTGTACAGACCCCCAGTAGTTTGCTGATGAAGTCAATGTATTATCTAGGATATGCATAACTGGGATGTGCATTATTGGGATATGTACTGTATATTGTATCATAGTAACACTTAGACAACACAATCATTCAAAAATAAAAGACATAGAACTACTTGTTAACAATGCAGGACCATTTAATTACAATAGACAAAAATGATTCGTGATAATTTGCATGTGCTAGCTCAAAAGCACGAACTCGTGGGTATCTCATTCCATGCAAGGCAAGGTTGCCAACAGATCTCTCTCTATAGGGTAGATCTTAGGTGGCGGTCTGCTGGCATTGCAGACGTTATCTGTTCGAAATGCAATTTCAGGTGGATAAATTCTCACTACATTGTCATGAAGATCAATACTCGGCACATAAAAGCAAGTCGTCTTCCCACTATCACCTTCAGACTTACTCGATCTCATACCACATCCTCACAAAAAATGCGTCTCTCCTTTGTCCTCGCAACTGCAGTTGCTTTGACAGCAGTAATATCTGTCAACGGGGATGAAGACTATCCTCATTGTCCTTGGTTTTGCCGGCATAGTCACGAATGCAAGGGCTGCTACTTGGCACATCACTGCGTGAGTATGAGAAGTTCGTGTCCTGGCATCTATCCACATGACTCACCGGCATTGTAGATCCTATTTACGTGCTGCGATTAGCGTGGCAGTGGTTCGTGTTTCTGCCCTCACATCAGTGCAGTATGGTCGATGGCACGCTGCGTGGAGCCTCGATCGGTTGCCCGACAGTTGGGGTGGACAAGGACTGTCGAAGCAGCGGAGGAGGCGTAGTTTGGGGCGACCGAGTAGTGAATTATTTGGAAAGGAAGCTAGAGAAATCATGTGGTATCAGAGCCATAGCTAGCATATTGTACAGAGCCGGTTCTCTATGAGCTTGCTTGGCGAATTATGATTGTGAAGGGATAGGATTGCTTACCATAAATAAATATGGGTGCAATGGGGACAGGTTGTCGAGCGGCTGTACGATTTCATCAGTTCGGCTTTGAAAGAGCGGGATGCCCTGTGGCCTAGTAATTACTTCAAGTTGAAGCATCGAGGCACATAGTGCGAATAGGATAATTGGGCTACATACAAAGAGCCGCATAAGTAACAATTTGTACGAGGTGCGCGCACCATGCTAGTGGCATACGTCTGTGTTCCTATCGCCTCCTACCATTGCTAAGCAATGCAAAGGAACACGTGGTAAGGGTTGTACAACTGTGATACAAGACTGATGCCAAACGGACAACACCGAATACATGGTGCAGTTGATGGCGTCGGGGTTTGCATGGTCAGGAGATACATTCTAAATCTGTAGTCGGTCTGGTAAATATATGATGCCATCCGTGATTCCTACATAGCTCACCATGTCCTCCGAATTGTATAACGTTCTATACCGCTATGCAATCAGTCGGATGTCTGCACGTAACTGCGCGAAATGGATAATGGGTGAGCAACAACCCAGACACATTACCTTCGGTGTCGGGAGCAGGGTGCGAGGTGCTCGCTTGCTTGCAGTAATCGATCGTGTTTCACCATCTATTGGACTTCAGGTTGCAGTTCAAGAAATGGAATGGAGTAGCATATAGAAAGAAAAAACAAGAAATTCAGGTAGCTCTAGCCAATGCTGATGCTGATGAGCGAAGGACCTGGATGATTTGGTTCGATGTGTGCCGCCGCACGCGGCCTTTTTCAATGATGACTAATCGCAGACCCTCCTGCTAATATTAAAGGCCTAGTGACTGTGTCTATTTGCAGAGACGAATGAAGGACGAGATGTTCATGTTAGGCTCGAGACCAGGATGGTTTATACACCACGGACGACTCAAGTTGCGAAGCCAGGCTCGGTGGTAGGGCAAAGCGAGGAGTTTGAATTTTAGCAGGTGCCGGTCGAGCCGACCGTGACATATCCGATCGCCGTACAACTTCAAGTTGGCCATTGTGCCTATATATGTTAACATCTAACCTTTTGTCATTAATACTGTCCCACCTTCTTTGTATGCCACTATCGACAATCTAACATTTTACGAGCGCCCTCTTGACGAAACAAAACCAGTAAACGTAAACTTCCGAGGCTTTCGCACAACTCAATTTTATTTCGCGAGGAGTCCATCTAACTTGAAGCATCGAGCAGTCATTAATATCTTCCTGCATGACTTTGATCCTGCAGTACGTGTATGCAGGAGCTTTTCGTAACCTCCGATTGTTGCACCCGACTCGAAGCGGATCATTATTTTCCCCGAAGGACATATTCCACGTCTCACGCTGACTCGAATTCGAAGTTCGTCATACAAATAGTGTTCTTCTTTATTGACGAAACATTTATTGTCACAGTTGTATGTATCAATATTCGGTACTGCTTCTCGATGCATTATGATGTTTGAGAGGCATATCATACAGCAATTTGCACGATGTAAACGAAGAACGTTATGTTGTCGACCGCTGTACGATTATCCAAAGCAACGCGACTGACATGTGGCAGATTTCAAACGCCTCTCACGCGACTCCGTCAGACGCTAAGCACTTTATCAGCATCTCCGAGACATAGTAAGACTGGTGACGAGTCTGTGCTAATACTGTATTTCCTGATCATGAGTTGCTACTGTACAATATCATATATCGTCGAGGAGGAGTGATATTTTGCTAAGAAAATACAACAATGATGTGTTTGAATACTCTCTGTAGCCGTCGGAATCCTCCTCTTTATCGATAGCACCTTCCCCGTCTCATGATCAACCTCGCTATCATCGTCATTTTCATCCTCCTTCAAATCTTTCGCGCACTCGTCCTCTAATTCTGAACCTGCATCTTTATCAGCTTCATCATCCAAGAAACAAACTGATCAGTCCTTGCGAGCTGGGATTATTGAACTTACTTTGCAAGGTAATGTCTCATTCCATGCAAGATTACCAACAGACCTTGCTCCTTAGGGTAGATCGTAGGTGGCGATCTGCTGGCATTGCAGACGTCACCTGTTCGAAATGAAATTTCAGGTTGATAAATTATCACTACATTGCCATGAAGATCATTACTCGGCGCATAAAAGCAAGGCGTCTTGCTACTCTCACCTTCAGATTGATTTGATCCCATAGTACCACATCCTCACAAAAAATGCGTCTCTCCTTTGTCCTCGCCACTGTTGTTGCTTTGACCGCATCAATATCTGTCGACGGTGCTGACAGTGAGAACTGCCCTTATTTCTGCAGGCATACTAGAGAATGCAGAGAGTGCGAATTTGCAAACCAGTGCGTGAGTATGAGTGGTTTGTGTCCTGGATCTATCTACATAACTTACCGACATGGTAGATCCTCTTTGTATGCGACAGTTGGTGAACAGGTAGCTGGATGATATGCAGATCGTACAGAGCCTGTTTTAGTATGTGGGCTTGTTTTGCGAACTAGAATTGGGAAGGGAGGGGACGGGATACTTACCATAGATAAATCTGGGTGTGATGTAGACAGGTTGTCGAGCCACCATGTAATTTCATCAAATGGGCTTTGAAAAAGCGGGACGCCCTGTGACCTGGTGCTTATTTCAAGTTGAAGCATTGCGACACAGTGGCACACAGTGCGAATGGCAGAATTGGACTATATACTATAAAAAGCCGCATTGATCAGTAACGATTCATATGAGATGCGCGCACCATGCACGGTAGCGTGTATGTTCTATCTGTGTTCCTATCGCCTTCTCCCATTACTGAGCAGAATGCAAATGAATACGTGAAGGTTGTGCAACTTGGAGTTGACTTAGAGTGTAGTTGTCCTGAGTCTTGACGCGGCATGCATGTGACGCAGTTGTGACGTACCAGCTAAGCTTCATAATTAGGTAAACTAGCAGTGATGTGAAATTCGAACTGTTTGTTTTCAAAATAGGCGTCGCGGAGCTCACATAGTGCCAAACACAACCGACAGTACTTCCTCTTCGCCTCAGTGTGAACGAGTGCACAGTTGTCTTACTAGTATCGACGTACCAAATTGGTTATTTCCCGTCGAGAATGCATACAGCTACAGCAACATGATTGCCGACGAGTGGCTCTCTCCTCAAACACCGCAAGATAAAACTCACTAATTCAATCATACAACACCTGCCAGTGTAGCACGGTGCACCGTCATACGATCCGAGTCCCATCCATGGTTTGCAGTAGTGGTCCTAGCCCACCCACGCAGGAAATGGCAGCACTCACTACTCTGTGGACCCATCCTGCTGCCCATGGACCGTACTTCTTGCTACTGGTACGTTTCTCAGCTTGCGATGCAAGTCCAGCAATTGCAAGGTCAATGAATTCGTCCTCGGCATATGAAAGCTGACTAATAGCCAAGCCTTCAAGCTCGAAAGCCATATGTGTTTGAAGGGCGGAACTTCAAAGCTTCACGACGGAGGCGAGTCTAGACTCCAGATTTTAGCGCTTTAGCGTTCAAAAACTAAGGGCAGCGGCACGAACTCGGCATGTTTTCTATTTCAAACTCCGGCCTAGAGGACGGACGAACTCAATTTGTTTCTCGGACGCTGTTTGTTTGACAGTTCGTGAGAATTCGTACATGAAATGGACGAAATAAACTGCAAACCACCTCCGCCCATACCGAGTGCTTGCATGGCACAAAGGCACGCAATCTTTTGGTGTTGATATTGTTGTCCATGGGAGCAACGTGCAACCATTTGCAAGGCACAAAGGCACCCAATTTCCTGGTGTTGATATCATTGTACATGGAGCAACGTGCAACGGATGTTCATCACAGTTTGTCTATAACGGGAGAGAAATTAGTTGGACCTGCAGGGCAGTAGTCAACTCATCACCGAGGGACCGATCGTTGATCTGATCCGGGCCAATCTGCCCGACCCGGTTGTTCTGGCGATACATAGTGAGTACGACTCATCTAACAAAATGACTGGGTAGATTGCAATGCGGCGGCCTGACGGCAAGCGCCACGGTTCAACAACAACTGGGCCGGAACGCCTTGAGAGTATTGATACCTAATGCAACCGCTCGGCCATGGCACGCACAAGGCAACCTTGACTGCGTGCTACTAACCGAGGATTCTCAGAATCGAACCACGCGGTTTGATGGTACTGGCCTCCTCGCAGAGTAGCACGCTGTCAGTGGCGACTTTGACGCGGTTCCTCTTGAGTTCTTAATATGGGCTGCACGTCATGATTGTTCTCATGAACATGCACATCTGTTATGTAAATTCCACATTCTTCCATTGCGGCTTATTGAATCCAGGCTAATCCAGGCCGCCTTACAATGGCATATTTGTTTGATGTATTGAGTGATCCAACTATTTATGTCAATATTGTCGGCTCCATCGATATTATCCTTTCCCACTCAACAAGAATTTCCATCAGGTTAGCCCTTCGGACCTCTTCGTCATCATATCTGAATGATAGATATGGAATGCGTGGCTAACTTGATGGGTTGGACCGCCCTAGGTGCGATTCGGCGATTCTCGCCCTAACCCGCATGGACACAAGTTTGAGCATGAAAGAATATTAATCTCATCAAAGTACTGTTCGGATTAGCGACACGCAGGATCTGAGCAGTCCGTGATACTGTTACAACGCTTTGCGAATTAGCGTGATCGACTCGGAATTTCTCGTGACGCTTCAATTGGCACCTGTCATGATCGTGGATCATGATCACCGTTGATTAGTAAAATAGCGGAAGAAATAACAATGTTTGCAGTCACCACACCAGCTAGCGTTTGATCCCAGTCACTGTACCAGTCCATTACAGGAAAAGCATAGCCATAAGCGACCACTGCACAAGGTAACAAAAACGCAACAAAACAATAACGTAGGCTATGCCTTGTGAAGGTGAAAAAAGTCCAAAGCCGCGGACAAGCGACTTATATGCGTATCAAACGGAAAAACGAGTGGAACGTGTGTAGGCATGGAACCGAACACCAAGCGCGGTGATTGTTTTACCAGTTGCTGTTGACTGATGGTTGCAGGGGTAAGCACATGGATACAAGGGCATCAGGGAACAAACGTACTGGGCGAGCAACCAACATTCACGAGGCCATTGTAAGAATTGTCTTCACAACAAACGGGTTGTTGGTTGCTGGTGGTTACAATGAACGTTAATTCTAGCACGATGAAACGCGCACCGTAAGAACTTACCAGTTACCGCCCTGGCCACCCCCGAAACCGCTGAAGGGGGAGCAGTTTTGACCACAAGGGGTATTATGAGGGACTTCAATTTTCATGAGAGACAACAAGTCGTCGAGGGAGGTGCCATAGCCAGAGTTCGTAACAGAATCGCAACACTGGGTAGAGCCAGTGTTGCACTGGCCACCACCTCCCGAGGGGGTGGTGCGCTTGGCGCCTTCGGAAATAATCAGAACGCGTCAAGCTACAGGAAAAATAATATGCTTACCCTCGACGGGCGTAGCGCGACGAGCGGGGGCCATAGGGGGAAGACCACGCGCCATTCTTCCAGCATTGGTCTCCGCGCTTACAACAGTAGCGGCCACGGCAAGAGCAAGGACAGACGCGAACCTCATTATGTTCTTTGTGTCTTTGGGGATCTAAACAAGACAAAGAAACTTAAGGAAAGTTGAGGAAGGACAGGACGGTTTGAGAATAAGAGAGTTTTATAGGGAGTGAAGCCAAATTGCATTATATATGAAAAGAACCACCGGTTACCAGCGGTTACCAAATTCAGCACTACCAGATTTGAGTTTCCGATCACCTCTCTAGGATAACTAAAAGTCTTACTCAGATCAGAGTTTTCCATGCGATCCTTGTACACGATATGTATAACAACAAAACCTGTGGTGAATGCAAGGATCACAAACCCTCCACAGTACTGTCTCACCCGACGATGATATCCAGTAAATATATATTCAAAATCATCTTTATTCGAATAATTACCCGATAAATTGCCTGGACCCGTTCTATCTCCTTTCGAGTTTTCAGGGACTCTGTGACTTGTGCCGTCAAGAGTCCACTAAGATAGTTTCCAAAATGGCGCCCATGCAGGGAATGAAGGGGAGTCTAAGGATGCCGTTGACTCTGTCTGATGTCACTATCCCTAGCCAGCGTAAGTCCGTGGCGCACTTGCGCCGAACATCATGTAACCTCGACCGGGGACGGCTATTCGGCAATCTATGATTCATGGAGGATGTGGCAGATACATAGAAGCTTCTCTACAGCATGCACATCACACACGTTTCTGATCTGGTCAGGTCAATCTGATTCGAGTTGGGGTGAATGATCAAGTGCCCGTCGGGTTGTCAGGAGCAGCTTCACGTCTCTACTATGGCCCGGGGTCACGGGATTCCTGAGGTCTCCGTTCATGTCGCGGTACTATAATAATCCTGCACCATACAGGCTACTACTTCCCTTAACGATGGATTCATCAATCACAAAGCAGGGGTCTTCGGTTTCTAAGTACCTTGCCCTGTCGCGTTCATAGTTCTCGGGCCTTGAGGTAACATTATTGCCAATATGGTTTGACCATAGGCGGCCCTCCGAAACGGACGCTTCCTCGCCAAAACTAAGGTGCATGGCAAAGCGCCATAGTGGACGAGATGAAGGGGAGCACAAGGACACGTACCCTGAAGACGTGAAGTCCGATTGCCCGTCCTATAGTTATCTCCGGTCGGTATCGGTGCACGGTGTCCCGCACGACGTCTGGCGTCCCTTTGTCAGCCACCGATTCCCTTTGCAGTTCACAGCCTTCCATCAGCATCTATCATCAGGTTCAAATATAATCACATAATAAGCCACTATCGGGGTTTTCCTTGGGGCCCTTGTGCGAGTTATGGGCGCTGCAACTAATGGTCAGGAGTAAACATTGACAGTTCACTGTTCGGGTACGTACTAGCTGCTGATTCACCAACATAGCAAGATGCCGGCACCAGGTCAGGGTCGTGGTCGTCATGTTTGAATACAGGGCGCGTCAACGGGGTTGGCGGGGAAAATGAAAGAAGTCGAAAATGGAACAGAGGACACGTAACGTTTCTTCGATAAAGTGCCGCGGCTTGACGCTGACTCCACATGCAGATCACATCGCGCGACGTTCAAAGGTGGGCGCTTGTCTCTGGTTGACGAGTAGCACATTAAATTACGCCCGTCGTGACTTCTTTGAGGGCCTCGAAGACTGTGTTGTTCTCTTCCCTTCACGAAACACTTCTACGGGTAGTACTTACTCCTCGAGGATGGTGTATCTTTTAGTCAATATAAAATGAGCCAACGAGCAGCGAGGAGTGAATATGCCCTTACGTCGATTGCAGCAACGTAATGTTTCTCGGTTGCCACGAAAGACTTCTACAAGCCTCGAGGACGGTATTATCTCATCAATTCACTTTCCGATATGAAACGGGCAAGTAATTCCAAACCTCAGGTCGTACGTCCTCAATTCGATCGTAGGTTAGTCTCTTCGCCGAGCGATGAAACATTCCTACAAGTACAAGAAATGTAGTCATGAAAGGGCGATGGTGCACCAAATTTGCTGGCTGAGGGAGATGACCATCGGCATTGCGGGACCGAACTGAATCAGCGATAGGAGATGCCCGCAGCCAGTCGGGCTGCCTGCTCCAAAGCCCCGAGTGCATGACGATTAGGAAAGACCGCATGGTAGTGGGAAATGATTGTGTGGAGAAGACCACACGGGGCCCGCATGGCCCGCATTCCGTCATTTTATCTAACATCTCTCAGCGATCGTTTGGAGCGTCGAGATAGTCAAGGTACAACTTTGGAAACCATCCAGGGCACACCATGGAGGCAGTAGGACATTTGATTTAAATCTGAAAATACTAGACTGGCCCCTGGGCCTAGGTCATGGCGTCACAATGGTTGATGATGGTAGGAAATAACCGATTATGAAGGGAGATAAATTACAGATTGTGCGAAATGCATGCAATTGATAACGATTTAGCTGTAAGTGTCAGGAGGTGTCAGGTCGATTGTCCTGCGGGAGCGAAGGATCCGTGAAACTGTGGTTACACTTGGTACACACGAAGAACAGAATCATGCGGGTTTCCTTCCGTTTTGACTGATCCTGGTAGAAAACGGCGCTAGAGTGGAGTAGGAGGTATGGTTAGCAAGGGTAAGCTGTATCGTATTGACATCGCGTACTCGTCTTGGCCACAATGCGGACATGTAATATTTGAGTGCGCCTGATATCAGAATTAGATAGGGTAATGTAAGATGACGCGGAGCGGTGACGAACCAATGTGGGATCCGATCCGAGGTCGGTAGTAATTCCCACCTGTTCTCTGTTTGATTTAAAGGTTAGTAAGATGGCACAAAAATATTTCAGCTTCAAGCACTTACTTGGTGACCGTTAGTAAATCATTCCTGTAGACACACTTGTTCTCGCCGATCTCCTCTTCGCTACATATTCGGCAAGCGTAAACCATGATGCGGCGCCCAGTGTCAGCCTTTGGGTAAAGCAAATTATTGCACTCTGAGCAGAAGTGAAGTGATGCCTGCATGTGGCAAGGACGACCAGAGTATAAGAACGGTTACATGAATACGGCACAGATATATGAGGACGAATAGAAGCCTTTAGCAGTGAACTGCAGCACAAGAGATTAAAAGACAGACCATAGCAGGGGTGTTGAAGATATCAACCTCAGTACAAGATGGATTTCAATCTCCGACAGCGTGTCGTGCCCACTCTGATCCGTCCAAAAGTACTCGACATTCAAGTCCAAGTGCAATACTTGGCAAACTATTTATGATCTGTTAGGTGCTCAACAAGTCCTACACGAGCTTTGCTTATTGAAACGTGGTGTTAGCAACACGTACGTTCAGATGGATATATGTGGGTCTATGGACGTTACGGATATGCTTTGCGCTTCTTGGAACTGGGTACATTCACCCGGATGAACACATGCAAAATGGAGAAGTGACCTCCGGTGAGTCTGATCCTCGTGTTTCTCCTCCCACTCTAATCCCAGAATCTAAATTCTTTAAGGTGATCTCATACCTTACCATACCATCCGTACTTGGGAATGGTCTGCTGTACTTCCCGTCCGTTCCATAGTACCGGCATTTGCGACAACTGGAATCCCCGTCTGGTTTGCCAAGGTCCTCAGCAGTGAGAAATTTTGTGCTAGAACTGTCATGTATGTCTTACACGGCCTGTTTAGAGAAACACTTGATACAGGGAGTGCATCCAATACTACTCTTTCGACTAGAACGGTCCGCCTTCTTGTTCTTATCCGGGCTGATCGGTAAATCGTTGGAATGCATCTCTGCAGCTTATGAAACTCAAAGCATTATTAGATTACAGCTTGATGAGTTTGGTGCCGACGCCGAGTGCCCGACGCCTTGGTCTTCTGCTTCTGGCGTCGTCTCATGTCATGAACACGTTCCAGGTTCGGCCCTTCTCGAATTCTATCGAGGCAGTCCTTGTTTCTTTGAGCCTGTTGTTCTTGCGCAAGATACGTTCGGTAAAGATGCTGGATAAGGTCCGTTTTGGCTATTCTCGACTTCTTGAGGATCTCGATTCTAATCTACCGGCAGAGTTATTATGTCCACTTGCTAGCCATAACCTTCGTGACTGGTATATTCACTCGCCCAACCTTCTTGATATTCGGGGCGCCCATCGCATTTCAGGTTGCACTTGGAACGTTTATACATGCCAGAACTGTGACCAGGTGGCTGCGACTTGTCGTCCCGCCGTTATTCACTGCAGCAGGGACATGTACCGCATTTTTGGTGGTGGACACCCTCTATTTTCGAGGCACCCTTGACGACATCGTGGTGACACCTTTTAATTTTCTCATGTATAATTTCGCGTCCCAAAATCTGGCAGAACATGGACTTCATTCACGCTGGCTCCACGTTTTCGTGAACCTTCCGATGTTGTTCGGCCCCTGGATCACTTGGCTAGTAGTGCGCGCGATTGTGGACAGCGCCACATTGTTTAATAAGAAAAATGACAAATCATTTGAAGTCGACGTTCTTCGCCCGAGTAAGGGCTTGTATATTGACAGCTCGTAACCACTCACATTTTGTCCACTCACAGCAATCATACAAATGATCATTTTGTCATTGTCTGTCCTATCTGTGCAACCTCATCAAGAACCTCGCTTCTTGGTGCCTCTTTTGTTGCCTATTATTGTCTTGATAGCAAATACCGGACAATTGGCCCATGTTGGCAAAGCATTTTGGGTATGTTAACACATTGAAGTCAGCCAGAGGCTGCTAACAACTTTATAGGTATCCTGCTCCATCTTCAACTTCGTGCTTGCGGTTCTATTTGGAATTCTACATCAAGGGGGCGTAGTACCTTCCCTATTCCACCTCCATCCCTTGGTTGCTAATGCTTCCCTCGGCACGCGGACAAACATAATCTACTGGAAGACGTACATGCCACCGCTCCACCTCCTTGGCGTTAACGAACAAGGTTGCTCCCATTTCCTCGATGCAAGCAGGTTCAGCTGATGTAGTATCACTCAGATGTTGCAACTGGCTTAATTTCTTTCGTTGATCTCGCCGGGGCGTCCCAAGATGATCTTACTGCATCCTTCAGTGTCGATGATTACGACAGAACATTTGTTGTGACTCCCGTGGCCATGCGATACACGCTACCTGCTGCAATTACGGGCTGTATGGAACTAGACCAGACCATTTTTCCGCATCTCGATCTTGACCACATTTCGGAGAGCATGGATGTAGGCGTACTTGACGGCCTTCGTTTAGGGGTGTATACCTTGTCACGTAACTGTGTCTTTGTTTGAACCACTCATGGACTTTAGCGAATTGAGCGGTAATGCTGAGAGAATTGACCGTTGGTCTCCATCTCTTATAACCATTCGGCACCATCTAAACATTATTTTCTTTGCGATTTGTCAACCGGTGAGCCTGAACATCGTGTGCCATAATGTGATAGAATAATTCAACCACGTCACAATCTGAGACTACAATATCAGAGTGCTGACTCGGCTACTACTGACAGATGTGGCGGTCTGAAAGTCTCCCGTTCACAAATTGCAATATGCAGTAGCTGCAAGCGTTACCATAGTCTCTACCCTTCGTGGTTCCCCAATATCTGCAACACGGGAAGATGAACTCCATCAAAGACGTCGAAAAACTTGCACCGATCATCATGAAGAAGCCAGGAGACATGGAGGTAAGGGAGCGTGGTTGAATGGCCTTTACTGCTAGAGTGTGGTGCAAATGCATCCACTACAACAGTCTCCAGATGCGAGAAATGGAGCGATAATCCTGGCAAAGGGCTCTGGAGGTGGAGATGACGTAGACTGGGAAAAGGTCAGTCCACAGAAATTTGGCGCATCGAGTTTTGGGAGAGTTGACTGGTAACATTCAAAAGTCCTCTGTTATGGTGTATTTAACTTATCCCATTCGTATACACTTGACACTCCAACTGCCGTTTTCCAGCGCCTCCTCTGAAAAAAAGATCTTGATCAGGCGAGGATCAGCCTGTGCGAAACACAACATTTATCTGGTTATAACGCAGCATCCTATTTTGAAACGGCTTCGGTGGGAAGAGCGATCAATGCGGATGGAGAGGTCTACTTCCATACCGGGCGAGCCAAACCTGCAAAAGAGACAGAAGGAACGACTTGAGTGCTTCGGCGAGTTGTCTGGGAAGCGAAATATTGATGCGGGACCAGATACTTGTTATTGAGCTGGCAAAGACTCCCCATTGGCGGCACACCCGTGTGAAGAGTAGGTGTGTGTCGGAAGCATTGACTGAAATGGTGGTTCGTGTCACTGAAAAGATGCCGGAACATTCTTGAAAACGATGATGATGAACAAGATACTTCCTGTAGAAGTGATAGGGGAAGCCTCCGAATGGAGTTGGGTTCAGGGTAGTTCAAGTTATCATGTGAAGAAAGCATCGTTCTATGCACGTGCGGGAGCTTTGATGTCGCCGAATAGACCAGACTGGATGTTTTTGATGTCAAGAAGGGCTTGTCGCCGAAAGCAGATGTGGTCTGACAGCACGTGACTATGCATGTGCTAAATTTACAAAGTCCGCGCGCCGCGACCGCGACTCCGTCCGCCGGGGGCCCATCTTTGGCTAAGACTCCCTAGTCCGCGTTGTGATTTTCATTCATAAAATGATATATGAAATAACTTCAGCAAGACGTCGACACGGTCATCATTTTGTTTACGCCCGAACTAATGGCCTGGGGTAGCAATTAGGATTTTATCTGGCGACACTTTGTCATTCAATCGTACCCTTTTTAGCCAGTTGAAGCCTTTATGCTCATGGTCAAACATCAGGACTCTCGGAGGTTAACACTGGGTTGATGGTTATGTTCAAGCCAGAGCTGTGACACATGTGGTATGTACATTGTGATCGAATGTTTATCTTCTGTGCTACTTTCAAGTTTGCTTCTGAGAACTTGAATGCCGTGACATCTTCCAACGATGTATTGGTCACCGGCCACTTGGTTCTATGTGCGCATGCCCCACTAGGAGCTGCATGCTACATGTTCAATGAAAAGCACGCGGATCAAGCATGCCTCGTCATAACGTGGTGCGCAGTCTGCCACAGCTCGAAGATATAAGTAAGACGCTCGACTACTCCTACTTCAAGTCAACCAACCCGACAACACAAAACATCATCATGAGCTGGAGAAGTCTCGACAGTACCCCAGAATTCTCTCACCCAGTATTGGCAGTCCCGTATCGTGTTCCGTCATCGGAAGGCTTTGCCTCTCGTGCGATGAGCCCTCTCTCAGCCTCGGCCTCTCAACTATCGTTTGGCTCACCAGTTTCCCGGTCTTCACGGTCGCCGAACATAAGACTTCCTGGACTCCTCGGCCAGTCATCCGTTGTCGCAAGCCCGGTCGAGTCCGTAAGAAGCATTGCCTCATTCTTTACAAAGCTGCGGCCTGGTTCTCCGCCGAGACACTCCGAGTTTTATTTGCAGGATCAATTATCTGTCTTCCTGGTAGGTAGTCCAAATCTCTACATTTCTGAATTTTCACATTAAATATCATTGTGATTCAATAGGTAGACGGGGTGTTATTCCGCGTACATCGCTTTTTTTTGCAGCGCGAGTCGGATGTGTTTCGCACTATGTTTGTGTGTCCTCCAACCCAGGACGGCCCTGAAGGACTCACTGACGACAAGCCTATCGTCCTGCCTGAAGTTACAGTCACTGAGTTTGAGGCTTTGCTCAAGTTCCTATACGATGGGTATGCCTCTCACACATCACCGTACCTCGTATCAACTAACTACCTCTCAGGGGTATCTCACCATCACCTTTCTCGACAGCAGATGAATGGATCAGACTGCTGTCGATTGCAACCCGCTATGCAATGGAGCGTATCCGTGCGAGAGCGCTGCATGAACTAGAGTGCCTCCCACCGCTCGATCCTATCCAGAAGATTGCCCTGGCGCGGAAGCACGACGTGCGGGACTGGCTGTTGCCCTCTTACGTAGCGCTTTGTTTAAGGCGGGAGCCTTTGAATGTGCTCGAGGCAATAGAACTTGGGCTGGAGACCATGGTGCTCATAGCGATTGGCAGGGAAACCGTGAGGGACTCTGGTACTCTGAGAGATTTCGAAGACTTGAGGCAGCCACTGGGATATGAAGAATTTATGACAGCAATCGTTGCTAACATCTTTGGAGATGGGGAGTTCTCGGGTGCTTGAAATACGTAACGTGGAGTGCGCAGTATGGCAAAGATCCGAGGGGAGTGTATTTGACATAATACAATTCAACGGTGACAATACAATTTGTACAATTACAGGAACAAGCGTGTTATGTATGTTGTTTTGCGGTAATTTTGACGTAAATCGTCAACACGAAGTGAAATGTTGAGCAGACAGTTTCACATCCGCTTCATGCTGACCTTATGCTGGCAGTCTGACACAAATATGTTGGGTCCTCTGTCTGGCGTCAAAAAAACGACGTACCTCCGCACTGCCAGTAATGGAGACCGGAGGCGACCTGGTGGGTGGAGATGTAGACGCAGCGGAAGAAGTGCGCGCAATCATAGACAAATCGAGGTCTGATAGACAAGATAACAATTAGCTGTTGCATGTGTCACATTCCACACAGTGACCGACCTTGTGCCTTGAGTGCGTTCTTCCTAATCTGCCTAGCACTCTCCCTTTCTTCCTCCGTGAAGGAGTTGATCCGCTTCTCGAGTTTGGGCTTCTCGTGAACGGCTAGAGCACCGTGATGAGCGTGGAGCATGACAGTGCAGTCATTACGTACAATTGTTGCGTTGCCGGCCTGTGGTATCTTCCTCGAACTGTTCCTCCTCCTCGTCTGCAAGTGCGGCGGCCTCAAGGTAGCGTTCATCGTTGATACTACCCCAATTGTGTTGACCACTGCCATTCTTTCGAACGGATTTGTCGAGGCCGGACTTGGACTCAGAGCGATCCCGCAATAAAGCACGAGGGAAGCCAGCGCGTTCTGTGCGAGTCATGATGAGCTTTGGTAGTGATGAGGTCTGTTGGGGATCAAAGTGGTCGTGTGTTGGGAAAATAAAATTGGATGTAAGAAATCGGAAGACGTAGTAGTCTGCTTTTATAACCTGCAGTGCTTTGCCTCACGCCACCCGTGACTATAACTTACAAAGGTAAAGATTCGAGACAATTCTACGATCGATGAGGCTCGTGACCGGCACAACGGCTTTTTGTTAGTTTTTGTTCCATCTAGGGCACGTCAATCAATAGGTTGTACCTTTCTGGTTTCACTACGGTGCTGCGGCCGTTCGTGCTAACCTGATTGTTTATGACAGACCTCAATGCCGTCTGACGCTCACTGAGGCTCTGGACAGGCTGCCTATCCCCAGTTCCAAAGAAAGAACTTTGTGGGGAAACGTGAGAATATCATTAAGACGTACGTGGTCACATCAGTCACATGGCTCCACGGTAGCAGAGCTTTAATCACACCTTTGTACTTACAATAACCCTTTGACAACAGGTGAAGATTTCTTTAGGAAGTGAAGTCGTCTAGACCACCCACCTATGAATGGGACAATGGAAGCCGCAATTCAATCCCTTCTGCGATCATCTGAGAATCTCCAGGCGGCACTCGAAGTCGAGGTCACACAACTTCAAGAACGCGGTGACCTTTCAAGTTCTTCTACAGATGACCGATCCAGACGCATTCTGGCCGTTGTATCGCACAGAAGGGACTACGTGGGAGATGAAGAAGGCAGGTGTGTAACTTGCTTCCTGTGTCAATGGTTCTCGCGCAGGATCTGTTGTTTTCATGCCAGAAGCGGAATACGTCAGGGTCCTTTTCCTGCCGTACAGATGCTTCTACTAAGCTCCGCTCGTTCAACTTTGTGCTGACTCTGAGAAGTGTTCTGATTTTTAAGCGCACGCCGGGTCGCTCCATGGAGGACTTGAGTGTTGAAGTTGCGTATCCGATCTCTGGAAGTTTTTCGTTCTCTGTTGCACAAGCAAGGCGAAAAACTTTAGACCTTCGCCCATCTGGGGGAGAGACTGGTGCTTCGCTATGTCAGTCGAGATCAGGTGTGTAAATGCGGCTGATTCGATAAGCTGCATTCTCATCGCATCGACAGAACTTACTTTGACCATAAAGTATGAGCTGGCTACTGAAATACGAAGCCATACTTTGATCGCACGAGATACGCGGAAATTGCAGTCCTTCACCGCAGAATGCAGACGTTTGAAGGACATGTTCAGTCAGCTGTCCTTCTTTTACGTCCCCTATATTGACTTACCAGTGTATCTACTAATTGTAGCTAGACATGAATTCGATGCTGATTTCTCTTGGCTATCACTTTACACACAAGAGAACTCTTTGAAATGTACGATACCTCCGATCACGTAAATGTAAATACACGAACTGACTCGATACTAGCCTTTTCATCTCCTGTAGATTTGCGCATGGTCAATGTACCGTTGCATACGCGACTTTCGCCGGCAAGTGCGGGTCTGCCAGGAGACGATGCGGACGATATCAGCATTGTTCGCGAAAATTGGATCTATAACAAAGCTATTGAAGAAGCTTTCACTGGGTCATCGGCGCGCCTGCTGTATGCTCGCTAATACTGCTCTTGAAATATTTTAACGGGCAACTTCGCTCATGAACAGCATCCGCACAGGGACATTCAATGTCAATGGAAAAATGCCGTCGCAGGACCTATCTCCCTGGCTCAGACCAACGAAGCGGAATTCAGAGATATCTGGATGGATCTCGCCTTTGAAAGCCATATCACCACTCGACATACTTCCAAACCCAGTTGATGAACGTCAGTGACGTTTTTGTCACCATGTCAATTTGTCATTGATTGCACCTTACTCCTTGATTAAGAGATGACCACCAGCCTAGGAGCTTCTTCTGCCACATTAGCCCATGCAAGTTTGAACAACGACGCAAAGGTCTCTGATCCAGATCTCCTTGTACTAGGCTTCCAAGAACTGGACCTTTCAACCGAAGCCCTTTTGTATGCTACCAGTACCGTCAAGGAAGATGCGTGGGTGGAAGCCATCTTGGCTGGGTTGGGTGAGAGAGGGATTCTCTACGAGAAGGTATCGTGTTTCATTTATTTATCTACCGCAATACGATATATAATGTCCGTCAGCTCGCTTCCAAACAGCTGGTTGGCATGCTGATCGTAGCAATTGCGAAGAAGTCGCGTCTGTCATGCTTTAGTGACATCAGATTCAGCACCGCTGGTGCAGGAATCATGGGCATTATGGTACAGGCATGAACATGATTTCCGTGGCATTTAATCAACATTCATCCTGCAGGGCAATAAAGGTGCAACAGCGATACGGATGTCATACACACCTTTAGCCCAAGAAATCTCCCCAAGTCCCACAGTACTCACTTTCGTTAATGCACATCTCGCAGCATTCGATGAAATGGTAGAGAGGCGAAACTTTGACTTCCACGATCTTTCCAGGCGTCTAGTCTTTGATCAGCCTGACGAACTTGATTCTAATTCTTATGCGAATACCGCATCGGAAACTTCGAGAAGGCCTGTTGGGTTGTTTGAAAGTGACGTATTATTCTGGATGGTGCGTTGTAACTTGCCCTCTCCATTACCTCACTTACACTTTTGGAACTTCAGGGAGGTTGGTTGATTATTACCTCACGAGATGAATGATTGATTTGGCCGTCACAGATTTGAATTACAGGATAGATCTTGCGGACGGGGACGTCAGAGAACTACTAACATCTTTTCCAGGCCCGGGTAACGTCCCACTTTTGCTAAAATATGATCAGGTTAGATGATGACTGACATAATCGATCACCGTGCTGATTGTATCGAGCACTTAGTTGAAGATGGCTATCGCAAGCAGGAAAGCATTTGCCGGGTTCTCGGAGCATGCAATCACACATATGCCGTGCGTAGTTTCCTGCCGAATAATTACATAAATTCAATCGCTAGGCGTGGTAGTTCGTACAGATATGCGTCAAATACATCAGAAGATTCTCTGGGATATGATCGAAAGTGAGCGGTTTTCGCAATTGGCTTACTATTGGAGCAATTGACTTATCCTGCTAGGCGCAAACCCGCATGGACGGACCGCATATTACATATGTCGGCTCCAAGTGTTCCAGTCACCCAACGTTCATACTGCAGCCATCCTCAAATAACATTGAGTGATCACCGTCCAGTGTCAGCTGATTTTGATTTAAACGTGTGTTTTCTGTTCACAATGCCATGGGGATCCATTCATGCTCGATGTTTATCAGGTATCAATTGTTGACAAGCAGAGACGTGAGATCGCCGCCTCTAAGCTGTATCGGGAGTTATGGGGCGTGGAACATTCTTCAAAAACACCGAAAATCAAGCTGCAGCCAATGAAATTGGACTTTGGAAAAATCTAGTAGGTTCTTGCACCTCCTAGTTGGTGATGACTGAAGTTTGGCTCAAAGCTACAGGCGTCCAATCAGACAAACGTTATCCATTCAGAATAATGGACAGGCAAGTTGACTCAGTAATTTGCGCAGCCTTTGATGATTATGATTTCCAGATCCCCTGCGTTTACCGATTTGTCACTGCAGATGCTGAACAGCCAATCTGTAAGTAATACCTGAGCTCTTATATCAGCAATTGATATGTTGTATTAAAGGTCCACAATGGCTTAAGATTGATCCCGTGGCGGTACGAGGCATCCTCATACTGTCAAGCTAAGGCTAAACCGCAAACTTCTTTCTTTGCAGGGCCTACTTCGTCCGGGTGAATCGTCGACTATCACCGTCACAGTGTTTGTCGATAACTCGTCTGCGTCACGACTGAATCTTTTACCGCCCCGCTTGGATTTTACCCTCATATTGCACACTGCTCTAGGGAAAGATCACTTTATCTCGGTCACCGGCGAATACCGTACGTCCATTCCTGTTCAGCCTGATACACTCACTGGAGATGACGAACACAGAACATACTTGCTTCGCAAACAAGCTTGCCAGACTTACACGACTTCCCTGTCCCGTGCGATCTATGAAGTCTCCGAACGATCAGGTACCTGCACAGCAGTTAGTGAACGCTCCGAGGGAGGTCATGAGATTGATCAATTGGTTGATGACCTATGTCACCGATCCAGTTCGTGCCATAAAGGTTCTAACTGCATGTCCTAACGTCGCTCTAGAGTGATTTATTCAATGGTCTTATTGAAGAGAGCATATGCATAAACATCAGAGAGGTGTTTGCGAGTCATCTTCGACATTCATGCATTTGTTAATAACTGTTTATAGTGTCTTGATACAGGAGATCAATTTCCATCCCCCCAGTCTGGAGGAGAACACGGTCCGCTGACGACTGCCATTGTATCTACGTTGGTACAGTTATTGGACTCGTTGGTAGATCCTGTGGTGCCCCCGTACCTCCATGCGCGGTGTCTGCAAATGACAAGTAGAGACGAAGCATTCGAGGTACGTTCACAAACTCCAGCGTCTCGAATAGTCTTTACGCGAGTCCCAGCTGCTGGATGAATTTCCTCCTGAATCAGTCAATGTAAGATTCCACACATAGTGCACACGCCTCTCGTTAACTCTTTCTAGGTATGGATCTCGCTTACTGCATTCCTCCATTATATGTCCCTGCAAAAACTGTCGTCACAATCATCGACGAATCAAGCGGAAATGGCAGAAAGGCTGGGTGCGTCTATCATGTATTATACAGAGTTCATTAGAATATCTGCTGAACGAGGTCTATAGCGACTGTATTTGCATCAGTATTACTGCGGGACGACTCAACAGGGCTTTACACTCCCGTGTCTCCAATCGGAAAACGGAAGTTTTTGCTTCATTTTGTTGGGTGACATACACGCGACATCCCAGAGGTCCTGTGGATATATCTCAAGCGCTTTGGATTTGTAGTGACCATGAATTCGATACAAATATAGGCAGGACAATACATGCAACTAGCAACAATGAAATTTATAAGATATCGGACGGAGAACAAGTTCGAAATCAGTTGGAAGCAGAAACAAAAGCAGCTGCTTTCGTGTTGTCCGGCGTGGACAATCCCTAGGCGTATGCCGGGATTAGAGGAAGGAGAGGAGAGGGGAAACATAGTCTTCGTTGCGTATCAGGATATCACCATAGCACCCGCTGTAGTGTTTCATTATACATGGATGTAGTAGGGAACTGTAACGGAACCGTCAAATCAACTGGATAGCAAATAGGTTGAAAAACACGTCTAGTGGACGAGGCTCATCGGTGCGAACCGCGTCCGTACCAGAAGAGGAGGGAAGGAGCTTGCGTAGAAAGTGAAGAAAACATGTGGGTCACTTGTAGACAAAGGTCTAGGTGGGCGAGAGGTGTTAGACATGCAACAGGTATTAAGAGTACTAGACCATAGATGGTACCGGTGTGCCCTTTGAAAGAGCTCCGACAGTCTTGAGTGACTCATAGATTGTCGTGGCGCGGTCATCCATGATTCATGAAACTGAATGCAGTTACGATGGTTTTGTCTTTTATTATCCAGGAAACCAGCGCAGATGTCCCCCTAGCCAGGCCTCAAGAGCAGAATGACATCCGCTTGGACATCCCACTGGGCCACACCTGAAGGCACTGTGTCATTACCACGGCCAGCTTCCGAGAGTCTTCCGAGAATCGAAGTGCTAGTATGCCAGGATAAGCGTCATAATTTTGAATGGACCAGCAACGAGTTAGCCTGTGTCCAGGCTCTATAACAGCCTGCTGTCTGTGGAGACTGCGTGCCTTCATCATGAAATGTTCTCACGATCCTCTCAACTCAAGGACCCGTGACAAAAGACAGTCATTCCTTTACCCAGGATTCATATTTGGGTTATCATAACTGTCGGGTGTCCGTGAATGTGACTACCTAAGTTATCTTTGACCGTTTTCCCAAAACAGCGAACCTAGTAGGTCTGGCTCTTATCTTTCCTCCACTCGAATCTGATGAGTTTCAAGGCATCCAGTGTCGCTTTGCCTGATCTTTACGAGGCTTCAATCGTAGAACTTCAAGATGGTCTAGTCAAAGGACACTTCACTAGTGTTCAACTTGTCAAGGTAGACTCTTACTGTTCCAGTACGTATCCGATGCAGCGTCTAATCAATCACAGGCCTACTTGAACAGAATCGAGGAAGTCAACTTAAAGGGTCCTGCATTACATGCGGTCATCGAGACTAATCCAATAGCCTTATCACAAGCTGCGGCCCTTGACGACGAGCGGAAAGGCAAAGGCGGCCGTGGGCCATTGCACGGAATACCATTATTATTGAAAGATAACATTGCTACGCTGCACGAAGAAGGTGAGATTCTCTGTGTTATATGTGTACATGCAGTACTAATAAGTCGATATCCGAATAAGGAATGAACACGACTGCAGGTACATTCTGTGCTTCTGCCTGCCATTTTGTAGATAACAGCTTTTGGGCGTATCCTAGGTTCCTACGCACTGCTGGGTTCTGTCGTTCCTCGGGATGCATTTGCTGCCGCACAATTACGTGAAGCTGGGGCTATATTTATAGGAAAAGCAAACCTCTCTGAGTGGTCCGGTATGAGGGGCGAGTGGGGTCGTTTAAAGGGACAAGTTCCCAATGGCTTGTCAGAGCGCGGGGGACAAACTCTTTCCCCCTACTACCCGAATGCACATCCGTCTTCTTCGAGCTCCGGAAGTGGCGTTGCGATGGCCATTGGTCTCGCAGCTGGGTCACTTGGCTCAGAAACTCATGGCTCTATTGTCTCTCCAAGTAGCAGGAACAATGTTGTGGGCATCAAGCCCACCGTCGGGCTGGTATCTCGCTCAGGCGGTAAATTTTTTAGTGGTGGCCTTTCTGCCCTGACTGATTATGAACGCCAGTAATACCTATCTCATCTCATCAAGATACTCCTGGCCCGATGTGTCGTTCTGTCACTGATGCCGCGCTATTGTTGAATTTCATGGCTGGGCCTGATCCTCGAGATGAAGTCACTTTACATCAGCCCGGACTAGTCCCAGACTACATGAAAGCGCTCGACAAGAACGCCCTTAAAGGTGTTCGTCTTGGAGTGCCTCGTTCCTTCATCCGCAATACCAAGGCCATAGAGGAGACCTTCAACTCATCTCTTGACGTCTTTCGAGCTTTGGGCGCGGAGATCGTTGATCCTGCGGATTTCCCTGATACAGAAGAACTACTGACATCGAAGGCGGAGAAGCGGGTACTGGACGTGGACTTTAAAGTTGATCTTAACAAATACCTATCAGAACTTGTCGACGTTCCGACAGGCGTCAAGACTCTCGCTGCATTGATAGAATTCAGCGAGAAACGTGCGGACCTAGACCTTCCACCACCATTTTACAATGACCAATCGCAGTATGTCGGCTCACATCTCATACGCGATATGCTTTTAGCCAGGATATCTAGATTCAAGCAATCGGAAGCCTCTCAAGTTGATGACGCCTACTTTTCGGCACTAGCCGAGAATTTCGACTTGGGACGTACGAGAGGAATTGATGCCACTCTGGCCCAGTTCAATCTCGATGCTATAATTCTACCAACCGAAAATGCATCGGGACCCACGGCAATCGCAGGGTATCCGTTAATTTCAGGTTAGTACTTCTCACTGCAATCTCAACCCTACTCAAATACATCTGATATTTAGTGCCCCTCGGATTCCAGCCAGATGACGTCGAGTTACTACCTGTGACGCCATCGCCAGTTTATACGCAAGCCCCAGGACTTCCTTTTGGAATTGTTTTTATGGGAACCGCGTATAGCGAGTTCAAGCTCATCGGCTATGCGTATGCGTTTGAGCAGGCTACCCATGTGAGACTTCAAAGGAGGGCCTATGATGATGCGATTCCTAGAACCCAATTAACGGACGTTATGTCCCAGCTGTGAACGTGGCTTTAACAACACACTGTCATACGATGCTGATGCAGATGTTCGAGCTTACCGTGAGTCTAATAATAGACACTCTCAAGTCATGTATTCAAGTTTTTGAAATATCTCTCTATCCTAAAATCGTTATTGCTCGAGCAGCAGTAAAATTTGTTCAGAAGCAAACATTTACGCCAATTTTCCGCGACAAACTGATTACGTGTGGTAAGAAGACGGCTGCATGCTACTACCACGCGCCACGCCAAAGGCTCCAGAATCAAGAATACAGTAGTAGCTCGTCTCTTTTCCCACTCACCTGCTCCCCATGGTCATCCTTCTCGCCCACATAGGATTCCCCTTGTAGACGTCTTCGCAACACAAAGCAAACATGTAGGTTTCCTTAACCTTTCGACATTCATCTCGTGATGCTGATATTTCCTCGCACCATGCTAGTGCCTCAGGCAGCAGCACACCAGCAATGTTACAGATCAGAAGCATCGGTACAGCAGTAGGCCCCTTTCGCCGTTGGATGAACATGTTCCAGACACTAGCTGCTTTGCAATTATCACGAGGTGCTTCCTGCGTCTTTTACGCACCCGACGAACAAGTCCTTGACGAGGAGGGCCACGAAGATGAGGACTATGAGGATGAGCCTCAGACCCGAACAGTCTACGTACTACTCCTCTCCTGTATGGTGGACGATAGGTTACGGTTCGATTTGCCGATTTGCCGCGACTTATTTTGAAGTTCGATCACTGTTCGTTCTAGTCTTTTGAACTATTTGTTAGTACACCTCAAATATTGCCGTCACAGGAGGTAATAAGCGGTTGTGTACTTACAATAGACATGGTTTGACCGCTCCAGAACTTGAGTACCAACCGATCGACCCCAGCCTGACTCAGACGGACTTAGAGACGATGGAACGAAGCCATGGTTCAAATATGCAGCATCGGTAAGCCAGTTAGAACTTGAAGAGTGCAACTTGATATACTTCTTCAAGAACAGTGCACCACTGCTTCGTTCGCGGTCCGCTGAGTCAGGCCTATGTATAAGCAGTTAGTATCCATTCAATGATAGGAACTTTGTTCACATGGAACAAATTTCGGCAGAACCTGCGGGAGCGTATTCGATTAACAACGACCATTGAATCATAACCTGCCTGCAGGCATCAACAATTCTCCGTGATGACGTACAACAGATATGCCAGACAAAGAGCCGCCCTCCGGGCTGAGGCCGGCGCCCAGGCAAGCCAACTACAATTCCTCCTCAACACCCAATACGGAAACAGAGAGCTTCTGAAGTACATCGCACGTACCAGAAGGATAGAAAAGACCTTCGGAGATGTCACACCCCCCGAGCCAAAGGAAGGATGGAGTGGCTCAACGTAGAACTGCTCCCACACATACCACCCTAGACCCGCCTTCAGTTGGCGTCCCCGTTCTCGCGTTTAAACGCGCCTGAACCATTATCACGGTCACCCCCTCGTACTTTAAATATGTATATCACTAGTTACTTAACGCATGTACTGTCTAGTATAGGGCTTCGCCCCAACGGACAATAAACTTCAAGAACACAAAAAACAAAACAAAACAAAATCTTCTTCGTAATGACAGAACCCTCGCTCGAATCACCGGCCTCTCGTCCTAACCCCTCACTCTTCGCTTCATCATTTGAACCTGCACTGACCCTGCCAGTGCAACGACAAAGTCAAGAAGTTAGCATCATTCTCGCCGATACTTACAGATCAATATTAATTAATCTTTAGTGAAGCTGGTATGAATGAGGCAGTGGACACCAGGTCGCAGAATGAACCGGTTGTTCTTTCAAGACTAGCCGCAGCACGCAAATAGCATGAGTGGAGAAATTTGTATTTCTGAATTGCAAAGAGTGGAGTGCTGCCAGAGATGGTTCAAGCGAGTGATTTATGCGAGAGAACTCACTATCATGAACTACTATACTAGGGCTATGTCCGACATAGGGTCACAGACCCCAAAGGACAAAAAATTGGATTTAAAAAATAAAATAAAAACTACTATACTAATTATGGCCCCAGTGATGGCAGGTTGTGATACAAGGGTCGTAATTGAACACGCTCCTGCAGGTTCTACCGAAATTTCTGCCGTCTGACCTGAGCCATAACAATTCTGCCAGATTGATCAGAATCGTGCCCATAAGTGTATGCAGGATATAAAAGCTGGCCGTCGTCCTACAGTGTCCCCCCAACCTCAGAGATACTATTCAAGATCCCCTCAGAAGATTCCATATCACCTCGCACAGAAAATGCGTTTCTCCTTCATCGCCATTGTTGCTGCTTTGACAGCATCTATGCATGCCAGTGCACAGTGTTTGGACACACCTTGCAAAACAATTGCGGACTGCTGCACAGGCATGACTTGTGGACTTAATAACGTGAGTATGAGCAGGTCGCTGTGCAACCAGGATTCAACCGCATGACTCACCTGCGCGCCTTAGGATGGAAAAATGTCCTGCTTGATTGTCAGTTAGGTTACAAAATCGAGCCGGCAGTACGAAGGGCACGCGCGGACAGTACTAAGTCATGCTTCTGCTTTCGCTTTGGTACCATGGTTGACAGTGCAATGCCTAGTCAATCAGTACAGTTGTTTTGGGACAAGTTTTTGTATTGTTCGAGCAATGTGGATGTCGATTGTGCCTAGTCTTACTTGTGGTTCACTGAGCTTCAAGTCGAGTTCGAGGGGCTGTCGAAGGTTCAACAGAGCTCCAGCTAAAGCCATTTCTGACATTATGGTTTGACCGGTCAACGATGTTAATTGGCTGACTACGCTACTATCCCTTCCATGGACCACTGCAATCGACATCCCCGTTGCAACGACAAGGGAAACTAGGAGACGAGCAATTCATAGTCAGCCAACTAAAATGACAATACTATCCATGGGACCCACAAAATTATTAGCACATCTAAGCGTGATCTGGTTGGCCAGCACCAGTAAATGTCTCTCTGCCTTCATGCCACGCTTGAAACCCATCTGGAATCGATTGCATTTCCGGCGCATTCGTCGATAGGTATGTGGGGATGACCGATTGCTCCCAGGCTGTTCGCTTGAAGACTAAATAGTATTCGCGAAGCGAGAACACTGTGCACAACAATCTGGGGTCTAAAATGTCGAGGGCCAATCCACATGGCACAAACGCGGCGTTGGTCAATCAGCATAAACGGGAACAACAAACATTGGAATGAATTAAAGCGCTAGTACTAGTCAGTGTCTTCGTTCTTCCCCAAGGCAGCAGAACATGGACATACCTGAACCCACAAGCTCCAGCCTAGTGAAAACACTCCAATTCAGGAATACAATAACGAGAATGGCAGTTGTCCAGCCCTTTGTTTGTGTCCAAAGCAACAGACTCAGTGGTCTCCATGATGCCATCTGACAACGAAGGCTAGGATCCCTAAACGACGACACTGGTACTGAAGACTGAACCAGATGGAGGTGCGCGCCCGCGGCTGTTTTCGTTGATTGGAGACTGCATTGCATCATTTGCATGTTGGTTAAAATAAATATAGATAGTCTACGTACTACTTTTCCAACAGCCTCTCCTGCAGAAGATGCCAACAGGTGGTCCAGTACGATTCGCATGAGGGGTATAACTTCAATTGTCGACTTCTTCCACGAAACGGGTTCATGGAATACGTTGTTGTCCTTGCTTGATGGGTCTCGCACGCTAGGAGGTAAAAATAATATTAAGCGCACTCTTGACGCACGACTTGAGGCGACTGTCCTCACGACTCTCTAATTGAGCGAGGCATTCAGACTTTGAACACTTTCTTATCACTTGCACGGATTTCCCCTCTGCGTCATTCTGTCAACCACCCCTTCATACAACATTGTTCTCCCGACAACCATCCCAACATCACTTCCGGAACTCGAAGCAAACGGATCAGCGTTCGGATAGTACGGACAACAAGTCTGCCCCCCATGCCCTGAGAATCTACGAGGAAGTGGAATAGGCCTCGCGCCAGCCCATACGTAATTTTGCTGCTGTAGCAGATGCGTCTCGAGAAACAGGACTCGGCAATGCGTAGGAACCAAGAACGGAGCCACAAAGATTTTGGGATGTAGCCAGTAGGGCGGGATGTACCTGCAGTAGTACTCAGTACTCATTCCTTATCAAGATCAATCTATTGGTGTTGCATATGTGCATGTACATGTGTGCAACGCGAAGTGTGACCTCACCTTCAACTTCGTAGTACAACGTAGTCATGTTGTCTTTCAACAATGATGGTATTCCGTGCATTGGCCCACAGCTGGCTTTTTCTTTCCGTTCATCATCAAGGGTCGCAGCTTGTGTAAGGGCCTTCGGATTGGTCTCTATGACTGCATGCAAGTATACGGTACGAACAAATGATTAGTGTCCGAGTTGAACAGGTTTGAACAATAACATCGACTTACCCAACACGGCACAATCGGCAACTGCAGATTTCAAACTCCGTGCCTCCCCTGATTTCGAATTCAGTCTACCTCAGGTGCCTACAGTGATCCCAACATGTCGAGTCTACCCAATGATAGTAGTTTGTGTATTTTCTTTTTGGAAGACTCAATCCTCTGCGACCTCCACCGCAGACACGTCACCACTGCCATTGTTGGCCTACCTGGAAAGTCCGCTTTCCCATATTGAACTCTGAAATTTGCTTTTTTTTAGACACAAATATTGATCCTGTGTATCATCGCTGGCCTGCTGTGCCCGATGTATCATGGCCTGTGGGACACTTTCCTCGCTGTATCTTATTGCACACTGGCAGGTCCTGGACCACTCATGGTGGCCATGTAAGTTGAGGTTCCTCTGTACATTCCAACCTTAGTTGAACAGTCCGGCTACTAGGTCGTATACTATTAACTAAGGCGGTGCTAAGACAGATGGCCAATGCACACTTGAGCCACAATTCCAATTGGTTTATCACACTATTCTTCTGTGGGTCCTTCCATGGCCCGCCATTGTTTTTTTTTGTGCAGGCGCCTTGACATCGACAATACGCCAATGGATGTTGATCCAAGCCAGTACCACCAAGGGCCACAAGCGAAATCATTTATAAAGCCATCGAATTCCTGTAAACTGCCATCATCCTTCTCTTCGCCAATGTCCCCCTCAATGCTTGCTGACTATTTACAAAGACGTGAGAAACTTATCACAGAGGACCGGGCGTTGCGAACAGACCATGTTCGCTCGAATTACACTGCAGCTGAACTGAAGGCAGATAAAGTTGTACGCTCCATCCGTGCTAAAGAAGCTACCACTGTTTGGGGGATTGATCACGAACACGTCGCTCACCCCTACCCAGGGATGGAATTCTTGAATGGTATGGTGCTTGGCTCGCGCTTAGCACTTCTTCTCACATCTGTGTACAGGCAAAGACCTCATTTTACAGACGAAACTCTATGAAATAGTCTCCAAAGTAAGCGTAGCGAATTACCGTGTTGCTCGTCACCGATCATCTCGATCGCAATTTCCCCGTAGATGCCAAAGGGTGGGCTATTGCATGTGCACCAGAACGCCTCGGTGGAGGCAAAAACACTTCTTGATCTGGCACTGAGTCATCCCGCGATACATATCCGCGTCCTGGGTCCGTTGGACGCAGCTTCTCTCGAAACTGTGCTGCCTACAATCCAGCCAATCCCTGTGGAACAGTATCCTGCTACCGATGTAGTTGGTATCACGGATGTTTTATACACCGGTGACTGGGTTCCCATCAAGAAGGCGCGAGAGCTGTTCGATCCTGCACTAGGCGGCCCTGCCGGATTTGATAAGTGGGTGCTCAGCGCCTTTATGATCAATCCCAGTGATGCGTA